GCATATGGGAGCTCGCTAGATGGCGCTTCTTATGAAAGAACGTTCCATGTTGACTTCAGGCCTTCTGGACCGGCTACAGAACTTAAGAATCTCATATGGTTACAAAGCCCAGAGCGTTGCTTAGCCAGGAGGTAAGTTGTCTGTGGAGGGAGGATCAAGAATTAGCGAAGTCGAATAAGGGGGGCTGAAAGGCTTCCATTAGACGTCATAGCTGTCGCCGAACTTAAGATATCTCCAGGGGCGATGTCTTAGGGAGTCACATTGGGGTTGAAGGCGATGTCTTCAGGAGAATCTCCCTCACCCGGAGAATGTTGGTTGGTGGCCCAATGACATGAGTAACCATGTTCTAACGCCCCACACAATGCGAGGCCGCCTCCTGATTCTTATTTCCTATTCCCGGGCTCCACGGTCAGCGAACTGAAGATCTTGGGTAGAGTAATACTGACCGGGTGCGTTCCAGCCATGTCAGTCCTCTCGGTTCAGCGCTCGACACAATGCTAAGAATAAAGTGGCGAACTCCCCATGCAAATGCAGGCCATTTCGAAGGGCTGCATATGTGCCAAGCGGCTTGTCTTCGAATCGACGATCGCTTTGGCGCCCGTAAGAAACAGTATGTAAGAATATGTTGGGGAGTGCCACATTAGTAACTTATCGCGATTGCTGATGGCAAATTGCGGCACTGTCGCTTTCTAGGAGCGAGGGTTACGAGCACCTGCGGTCTAGGGGAATTTACATAGAGGCATAGAAAATCTAGAGCTCCCCTTGTCCTATAACAGGGATTACCGGAATAATCCTTCTTTATATTGATAAGCAGCTGCGTTGTCAGCATCAACGCTCTGTAGCCCTCGGGATTCACGTCCCCATCATATTTTCATCGTCCTATCGGATCAATCCCTGTCGGAGTTCGAAAGCACCTTTCAACATACTAGAGACATCTCCGAAGCGGACGACGTCATTGAAATCCTAGACATTCCTGGGGTTAAACTGCGACGGTATGCTGATGAGAGTCGGAGAAAAATAGTCACGCAACATCATTCATCGATTGGAAGTCGAAACCGAATTAGTTCCTCTCACTGCGTTCACTCTACTAGCAGTGCCACGTGTCTTCGTTGGGCATCAGTCACGATATGATGCTTAGCACGCATATCTGCAATTGAATAGGGTTTCGAAGATAGGACGGAGAGATCTTAAGATCAAGAAGGTATATGAGGATATGATATAGCAACAGGGAGCGACGACAGGAGAGATAGTCGAGCAACACAGCGAGGAAAGTTGCGCGACTATCTGCACCATTTTGGGCCGACGATATCCGCCACACTTGAGGTTTCGCGATTTGCCCAGCTCTCTAATATCTTAACATCGAAACCTTGCACTCGGATGTCATGTCGGCACCATGGCCTCGGTACCGAGTTCCAGTATATTCGGTTCGGGTAGAACCAAGACAAGCCACTGACTACGTGGCGCCATGTGTTCACATCACAAGCAACACCATGCACACTATCGCGGGAAAACGTCCGGTTGATCTTTGTTGAAATCGGCCAATTGGGAGCCAGGGTGGACCCACTTCGCGTACGAGGCCGGTTGAGCCAAGGGATCCATTGCGGAATGTGAGCTTCACGCGAACGCCGCAGTTCAGGAAACTCTTTATTTCCGCCGTTGTCTCGTTTCAAATGCACATATGAAGGCCACAACGGCTGATGGGCCAAGATCCGTGCCGGATCTGGCGGTATAATGCGCACACTAACGAACCCAGCTCCACAAATCATCGAGCATGGGACTTTCAAAACATTGTTTCCTTTATTTGCCTCTTGGCGTTAGATAAAATAGGTAGTTGCGCTTTTGGTCGTCTCGCATCGATCTATCGAAGTATGTCAGCATTGAGAGGCGTCAAGAGCTTCCCAGATGCAGAATCCGCACATGACTTCTGAAGAATGCCCCTTAGAACTGGAACTCCCTTGATCATTCCAGGAGGAATTGTTCAACCCTCTCTTAGTTGAAGCAATCTTCTAAAGCTAGGAGGAAAGGCTGATTGAACGTGCGTAAGCACCGTTGACCTCTCAACAAGTATCAACACGGTAAAGTGAGGTTTTGCATTTTAACGATCTACTGGCGATCTTTTTAGTGGCAGTTTGAGACTCGGCTCATACCGAACGCTGGGCTTTCCCCTCCAGGAACCCCGACCTTGGGCCGGTCGGAATGCTTATCCCATTTGATCCAGGTCACGCAAGGACCCACTTCGACATGAAGCTCTAGCATAAGAGATATCGTTGCGGCGTAAAATTGCCGCTTATCCGGAACACTCCGAAGTGCAGCTCGCAGCTTTCGGCTCCCCCAAACCTACCGTAGAAAATCAACAGCTCATGCAGTGAGCAAGAGAGGCTGCAAGCCAAAGTCTCGCGGCTCCAAGGCTGTCAACGAGCAATTAATAAGCGAGGAGGCAAAGCTGGAACACGAGTCGCGACCTAGTTTGTCTATATTCTGTTATACCCTATTCTTGAGAGAATAGACCCTTGATGTAAGACGGACAGTGGAGCTGCGAGTGGGTGCCGGCTTGAGGATACGGAAGTTCGGGCATTTTCTGGCAACGAGATCATGTGCACCCCGTTAAGCGAGGATTCCGTTGCCAACGAATGTCCGAACTTCCGTGTCCACAAGCCTGGTGCTTATCAAGGAGGGGGAAGAGGTAAGGTTGCGGAGGCGGAAGCGGAAGCGGACGCGGATGGGAAGACGGACCTAGCTCCGAATTCAAACACCAACACCACCCACCCAAATTCAGCGATTGATTTGGTACATAGTTTGAGGTTGATGGAACGCATAGTTAAATACAGTCCACGGTCTCTCTCTGGCTGGTACTCAAAGAAACCATTTAATCGATTCTAGAGCTCTAGAAGCACATCGCCGGGTTTCATCCACGTTACTCTTAGTCGGTTCGGAAGGGCAGAAGGTCTTGGAAGGCTCGATTCGCCGGGTCCTGCAAGAGTGGATTGAATTCACTAATGATATATTCGAGCTTCATGCTCGGGAGTTATAATGATTCAGCATCTCTAAGTCGACCAGCACTGCAAGTGCGTGACCGTTGACCTCTAGATGAGGGTATGGAGGTGGTTGATTTGTCTTTGGCGCGGTCATGTCTTTTGTCATGAGGTAGAAGCTTAAGAATGTAGCTAAATCACCTGCATGATGTGGTAGAGAAGCCTATAAGTTTGAGGGATGGTATGTCAGCGGCGTTTACATGGGTCGTATGTTTGGCCCCGTCTTTGTGGGTACATCTGGAGGCTACAGGCGAGAGCGAGAAGTGATTGAATCGCTTAAGATTTCATGCTCGTACTTCAGGATCTAGAGAAATGGCTCAAAGGTGGGAAGCATGCTCTCTCGAGCTCGGTTCTGGCAGATCCCCCTTTTCCTTTGTTTCAATAAACAGCGAAACTGCAGCAGCTTCAAACACGGTAAGACATGATCTAACAATACCAAATACCAGAAAGTACCGTAACAGAGACGCATCAGGCAAGAGCCTGGACCTCAGCAACTTGAGATGCAGTACGACAGTCGAGCCGTGCCCGCTAGCGCTTTTCCAATGCGAATCCAGGAGAATCAGGCCATCGACTTCCTCAAACTGCCATGGTCACGTCTCTCACGGCCCAAATGCTAGGCAAATAGCGCGGTGTCACATCGGTTCTGCGTCTCTAGAGGGCACTACAAATCGTCGACGATCGGCGCTGGTTCCGGACGAGGAGATGGCTGCCTTGCCCTCGAATCGCAATCTCATGGACGGCACAGAGCAGAGTTTGATGCCCGCATCTGTGGTGGCGGCGTACAGGGAGCAGCGTGCAGGACCATACGAGAGGTTGGCTGAGGGAGCGGTAAGCAAGCGCCCGCCACCATCGCGCCTGGCCGCGTTGAGGCCCAATGGGAAAGATTGCGGTTCATGTGAACGGTAAGGTTTTCGACTGTCAGGATGCGGCAGCGTGGTGGTGATCACGGTACACTGGATGTCGTCAGCATGCCTGGATCCGTGGTGCTTTCGCCTCCCGCCTTCGCTGGGACCCTTCGCGACGGGCAATCACCAGGCGCACGAATCGCGAAACTGAAGAGGATCGAGGAGCAAAGCAAAGAATCTGGCGTTTAGTCAACTAGACCCCTGTGTGGCTCGCCGAGGCTGGAGCGCTACATGGTTATTTGGGGAACCATTGTGGCCGCACGGCAACGTCATTCGTGTAACAGTTGCTGCGCGGTGGTTCGTCTAGCCATCCCAGAATCATCAAGGTGATGGCTCCGATGAGGCTCCATAGGTGGATCAGATCTTGTAGAGCCTGGATCGGTCGATTCGACGAGGAGAAAGCCCATCAGCGGCTTGATGATGTCCATTGCGCCTGCGGAAAGGCACATCATTGTGCATGACCGAGATATTGTCGGTCTCGCTAAACACCGAAAGTCTAGACTCTCGACCGACCTGAACGAGCAACGGTCGCCGGGTAGGCCCGCCGCCATGACGTCAAGCCGGACCCTTCTCACCTTTGGTACCTAATGGGGAAGCAGCAATCGAGCGTTTTCACTCCGTCTCCGCTTCTCCTTCCTGTCAGCGAATTTGGCTTTCTTTCACTTCTCGTCGCAGAAAGATTCCAAACTTCCTTTCGTCCAGGACGCCAGGGCCGTCGGTCCGGGCTATTTGTTTCCGAGCGGCTAAAATATCCACTGAACTTCGTTTCGCCGACGCGCTGATTGGAGGCGATATTGTCGCAGAGCACACCTCAAAACGAGTATTCGTATAAACGAGCGTCCGTGTTTGCAACTATTCCTCCGTGCACCCCGCAGCACCGTCCAGGTCCGTTTCATCGAGGTGGAGATGACGCCCAGGGAAAAAGAAGTCAAGGTAGACTTTAAAGTCGACCAAAATGCGGCACAGCAACAGTAGTTCCCGCGAACCTTGTTTGCTCTCTTTCTTTTCCCCCGCAGCTTCGTTTACTACCCTGTCTTTGCCGCTTTAGGCAACCACCAAAACGATGCTCTTCTCCGCGCTCTTGCTTGGCAGCGCCGCCGGCGCTCTTGCTGCCCCCAGATCCGTGGCAGTCACCTCCTTGGCCGCCGTTGCAGCAGCGGATAAGCCGGCGGCTTTTTTTCTCGCAGGCGACAGCACGACGGCAGTGCAGGCTGCCAACGGTGGTGGCTGGGGCAATGGCTTCCTCGAAACCACCCTTCAAAACGGCGCGACGGGCAAGAATTACGGCCACAACGGTGCGACCACCGTTAGCTTCCGGGAAGGGGGAGACTGGGACACTGTGCTCCAGGAGGTCAAGGATGCTGTGGCCGAATACACGCCATACGTGACGATCCAGGTGAGACTGGGGCTTTCATTCCGAACTATTTTTCCCCTTGTGATTCTCGAAAGGAAGGCGTAGACGGGAATGTGTTTGGGGGAATTTTACTCCCGGCGGAGCTGGTGATATTTTTCGTTTGTCCCATGGATGAGAGGGCTTCTTTACCCCGATCCACGCACCCCTGGCAAGATATGACAGAGCACTGACGATCGACATTTGGAAATCCATCAGTTCGGCCACAATGATCAGAAATCCGACAAGGGCATCAGCATCGACGAGTACACGGCCAATCTTGAGCAGTTCGTCGAAGATGTGCGCGATGCGGGCGGCAAACCGGTATGTGAAAAGAAACACATCTCTTTCGTCTTTTATACCCACTTTCATCGCCTTCTGCAATTGAACTCTTGCAAACAGACCAGTGCAACATCATCGCGCGAGCAAAAGAGGTGGCAGTAACGGCAGTAAAGCGCCACAACCACCACCACCTCCTCCACCAGTCCTGTGTCTGTTCTCAAAGAACCGCAACAGGATGACGCGAATTCAACCTCCACCCAGAAACACTTCCCTGCGATCCCTCACCCCACACCAGAAATCACTCTTCACCATTCCTTCTTCCCCTCTCATTGAACTTTCATCACAATACTTACTCCCCACCCCTCCGTCCAGATCCTCGTGACCCCCCTCTCCCGCCGCCAATACAGCTCCTCCAACTCGTCCATCACCGAGAACCTCGCCGCGCAGCGCGCCGCCACGCTCGCCGCGGCCGCGTCGACGTCGGCCCTCTCCATCGACCTCAACCGCGCCAGCACCGACTACCTCAACGCCATCGGCGCCGACAACGCCTACACCTACAACCTGGACAGCGACGACCGCACCCACCTCAACGCCGCCGGCAGCGTCGTCTTCGGGAACATGGTCAGCTGGCTGATGGACCAGATCGAAGGCGCGGAAGGGGAGGCCCTGAAGCAGTGGACCGTGCCCGGGGAAGCGTACGTGAGTGCGTTTGAGGAGGGGGTGTATATCGCGGAGTGAAAAAGGGAAGAAAGAGGAGGAGAAAACTTGGGTCGAGCGGAGAGAGAAAGAGGGGAAAAGGAAAGTTGGATGAGTGTGGCAGGAGCTGTGTAGATAGCGGAGGATATGACGGAATGTAAATAACTCATGCAGCAGGGGACGTTTGGCGTGTACATAGCATTTTATGAATGCATACGAGTGAGATCATCGATGGTGGCTGTGAGCGATTGCTGTTGATCTACGATCGAGATCGTGACACCCAGTGATTTGAGGACGGGAAAGACGTCATGGGCATAGGCTGAAGAGCCTCGGGCGCTGCGAGGAAAAGCTGCCCGGAAGCAAGATAGGGAATGGGTATGGGGGAAGTGAGCAGAACTTTGACTGGGCTGGGAAATACAAGTTACCAGCGACGCTGAAGATGAAAAACAGAGTCAGCTGTAGGTCAACCTCAACGGGCACCAAGGACAAGCGAAACAATGTTGTAGACAAGAGCAATCAGGCTGGCCCTTGGCCTCGTTCATAAGCACAAGCACTGGTAAGTCATCTTGAGCGTTGGTCTCGGCGAGGTGGCAAGCTACACCACCACAGGCTAGCAAGCCTGTATACAGAGAGTTCTCAGCTGAAAGACATCTCAAACGAACAGCTCCAATACCTTCATGCACTCATCCTCCCCACCCGTGCTTGGCACCTTCATGATAGCAATGCTGTAGGGCTTCACCAATCTCAACGCAGTGCGTCTTCCACCGCCATCCAACGGCTTTCTACTTATCTAACCAGGCTTGGAAAAAGAGAAAAAGGCCCAGATCAACTATTCCTCCCAAGCCCGGGGAGAGCGTTGAACCCCGAAATCCCTCGAGGTGGCGTCTAAGGTGGCTTGCTGACCATCTGGTATCACTTAACTCACCGCCAAGATCCAAAGCTGTATCATGTTGTACCATGCAGCCATGATCCCGTTCGACCTGTCAACACATCAGCTTCAATTTGACCAATGCAAGAACACGCATGCGATTCGTAAGTTTATCGGACGGCAGGACTTCATTCGTGGGAGAATTGGGCCCAAACGCTGTTCTGCAATATTCCCAGGCGGCCGGATGGTAAACGATGCATTCGGAGGTACCTCCTTTGCTTAAGCGAGGCGCTAGGTTCAAGATGCACAGGAAAGGTAGTGCAACCGTGTCTGATGGCGCGAGCATCCTCGTACAGCAGCCGTCAAACACGAATGAAGCAGACAGCACGAGGTTTGTGGGGCAATCGTTCCGTCATGCCGCTTCTCAAGATGCTGTCTGGAAACTCACATCCTCCCTACTGCAAAAAGATCGACAATAAAGGCCGCGAAGACAATCCAGGGTGGACTGAAGGTATGCAAAATCGTGGGACTGGGAAAAGCACATAGCCAGGCGGCGGAGGCAGCGGTGGCCGTTGGAAGGGAGCTGGGCGTCATTGGCGGTGTTGCTGGTCTCCATGGCCACGGCAACTGGTGGTACAGCGTGCTGCATACGAATCTGTCGAAGTAGCAGAGCCTTGATGCCCGCGCGCCAGCCTGACACGGGGGGCTGCGGGAAACAGGTCATGGCCCAAGTTACAGGTTTCGTGCGGCGGGAAAGCCGCCATGCATTGCAGGTGATGCAACTCAAGCCACAAGTGTGCAGCTGTGTTCAAAGTGATGCAGCTTCCATTGTCGGGGTTTCGTCTTAACTAATTCGTCGAGGATGGCATTGGCCTCTCCGGGTCGCACATGAAAATTGCCGGCTTCGCCCTTGCCGGGCTAAGTGTTTGCCGTTTTACTTCTGAAAGCGCAGTGCCTCGCACCAAAGTCTGACCTCGTCGAAGACCTGCTCGTCAGGCTCACGGGCAGCCGGGCGGGAGGTGATGGTTTCCTTGGCTTGAGGTACGCTGAAGCGTGACCAGACATCGCGGACCAGCGCCTGACCCGCCTGCAACTCCTGGTCGGCGTCAGCCTGGCCAGGCAACGAGTCCCCGTCGTCCGACTCTTGTTTCGCTGTCTGGATGCACACGACGGTCCCGCGTAGTGCCATCTGGCCGCCCTTCTCGCGCAGCTCGCCCAAGCGCACAGTGAATTCCCCCAGGGAGTATGAGGCTCCGGCGGTGACCTGCGAGCCCATCCGGTACATCCATAGAGCGCCGAATTTCAGGTTCAGCAGCTGGCTGTACGGTTCCATCTGCTGCAGCGGAATGGCAACTGTGGAGGATTCCTGTGGGGATTCGGGCTGCTGATCAGGGCCGGCGATGTGCACGAACGCACGGTCGGGGTAGTGACCCAGGCCGAGGACATGTTGGAAGTGCGGAGGAGACTTGTCGGTGGTGTTCTGCGGGGTGGAGCGGAAGACGCGGTGGTGGAGGCCCCAGTTGCCGGCGGGCACCGGGTCGTAGGCGCGGATAAGGCGATCGGTCAGGTCGGCCAGGCTCGGCGCATTGTGGCCTGCGGCGATGAAGTAGACGCTACACAGGCGCGGTCGTCAGCGGGGCGGCGCGGCGGAGCACGTGGTGGAAGGGGACAATTGGACGCACGCGGTGACGGCCATGGGGTGGGCGATAGGATTTCCTGTGGCGCGCGGCTCAGTTGAGATTAAGCGCCCACCGGCGCCGAACAAATGCGGAGTGCGGCCGGATCGCCGGCCCTGAGTCGCAGCGCGAACGATGATGTGTGATGGTCGTCGCGCGCTTTGCGGGGCTTCGCGGGCGAGAAGGCTGGCCCGACCGCTGACCTCACCTTCACTTAACGTCGCTCGCTCGTTCGCTGCTCTCTCCTCACTCTCACTGCTCACGTCCAACACCCCGCAGTCTGGGAGGGATGGCGTGCGCTCGCTGATCGACACTGATGAAGCCGCCAGGGATATTCGGATGGACAGGCGTCCAATGGCTGTGGTGGTGAGTGGGCTTCTGACGCCATTGGTGGTTATCGATACCACAAGCGGACGCCTCCTGCCAGGGTCTTAACTCAAGCTCGTGTGGCTCGTATGCAACTCCTTAACCCGCCTGCTATTTCTGGCTTCATGCGAACACCTTCCTCTTCTCCCTCTTTCGCTACACTCCCTCGTCTTTCATAATAGCCGTTCGCAGCCACTCTCCGGCGCCAAGATCAGGCCCGCTCTTCCGCGTTTCGGGTCATCCCCAACAGTGTTCCGGACATCTAGCTTACTCCGCTCTCGTTCCTTTGCGCCAACGCATTCTCCTCTCCCTACTTGACCTGTCCGTGGTCAAGACCACATGGTTTCCGAGTCTTGCCTCTTTCCAGTTCCGTCTTGCCAGCAGACCAAGGCAAGATGCCCGTCATTCGTCGCACCAACCTCCTTGCCATCTTGGCCTTCTGCGCCATCTTCGCTTTCTTTCACGTCTCGCACCTCTCTGTGAGAGAGCCCCCAAGCCCTACACCTCTGCGCACATACGCCGACCGCGACCTTCAGAGGCCAATCCGGTGGAAGGATGTCCCAGAGTCGTATCCGGTCTCGACTTTCACTCCGCTGCCGGCAGCCAGGCCAACAACGATTCCCAGAATACAATTCGACGGTTTTACAAAGGAACCGGAAGATGTCAGAGCTGAGAGGGAACGGCGACTGCAGGCAGTCAAGGAGAGCTTCGTGCACTCGTGGGAAGGATATAAAAAGCATGCATGGCTTCAGGATGAGATCACGCCGCTTTCTGGCGGCTGGAAAAACCCCTTCGGTGGATGGGGTGCCTCGCTGGTCGACACTCTGGACACCCTCTGGATCATGGGTCTTCATGAAGAATTTGAAATGGCTGTGAATGCCTTGAAAAAGGTCGACTTCAGCACTTCGGACCTTGGATCACTTAATGTATTCGAAACCACCATCCGCTACCTTGGTGGACTTATGTCTGCCTATGACCTTAGCGGCGGCAAGTACTCCACTCTGCTGACCAAGGCCACCGAGCTTGGTGAGATGCTTTACCGCGCGTTCGACACTCCGAACCGAATGCCCGTTAGCCGTTGGGAGTGGAGGGCCAAGGGCATCAATCGAGTGGACCAGTCTGCTTCCAGCTCCGCCGTGTCTGCTGAGGTCGGCTCTCTCAGCCTGGAATTCACCAGGCTTTCCCAGCTTACTGGTGATCCCAAATTCTTCGACGCCATCCAGCGCATCACGGATGAATTTGAGAGGCAGCAGAACATGACCAAAATTCCCGGTCTTTGGCCTCTTGCAGTCAACCCGAGAAAGAAGGCCTTTGCCGACGATCACACATTCACCCTTGGCGCAATGGCCGATTCTTTGTACGAATACTTCCCCAAGCAGTGGATGCTCCTTGGAGGCATCATGGACCAGTACCGCACCATGTACGAGAACGCCATTGAAGCCGCCAAGGAATACCTATTTTTCCGGGTTCTAAACCGCGATAACCTGGACATCCTCCTATCCGGGACCGCCAGGGTTACAGCAAAGGGCAAGGTCAAGCTCGATCCAGAAGGCCAGCATCTGGCCTGCTTCACTGGTGGCATGGTCGGCATCGCTGCTAAAATCTTTGATCGTCCTGATGAACTCCACACGGCCCGCCAGCTCACGGACGGCTGCATCTGGGCATATGAGAGTATGCCCACTGGAATCATGCCCGAGATCTTCAATGCCGTTGCCTGCACCGAAGAAGATGACGAGTGCTTGTGGGATGAAGGACGATGGCTCGACGCGGTTGCCTCACAGAACAGCAAATCAGACCGCGAAGTGGCCGAGAAGTATACTCAGCGGTACAGTGTTGCGCCTGGGATGACCAAACTCGTCGACAGACGCTACCTTCTGCGGCCGGAGGCCATCGAGAGTGTCTTCCTGATGTACAGGATCACAGGCGACAAACACTTCCAGGAGAAGGCGTGGAATATGTTCCAAGCGGTTGAGAAGTACACGCGTACGGAGTTGGGTAATGCGGCCATCAATGACGTAGGAGCGCCGGATAATGTCAAGATGGTGGACAGTTGCGAGAGCTTCTGGATGGCAGAGACGCTCAAGTATTACTATCTGACGTTCAGTGACCCAGAGTTGATAAGCCTCGACGAGTGGGTATTCAACACGGAGGCGCACCCGTTGAGGCGTCCCCGGTAACAGGTGGCGCTTTGGTTGACAATGTAAATGGGCACTGGCGTTAAAATATAGATGGAATGCGTGAGGTAATTTCTCAGTGATTTCGATATTTGGGCGTCGCCCTTACAAAATAGCAGAATTCTCAAGTCATACATGAGAGCATCGTGAAGAGACAAAGAGTGTTGTGATCAGCCTCCACGGGATTGGTCGCGCCCCTTATCGTTATCGCCGCACTTGTCTCCGGCCCTAGCTGGGCGTCATGACCTTCTCACATGCACCTCCCCGGACACCTCCGTGTCCCCGGCTGACCCACGACCCCACCGCCATCGTGAAGCTTGAGATATAGTTTCAGCCCGTCCTCGCTCCTTGTATATACCTAGCCGCTGCTTGCATTTTCCTTTCTCTCGCTTCTGCGTCGCCGCGTTCCCAAGAGCCAACATCCACTCGCCCCCGCCCGATTCGCTTTCATCCATCTGTCAACCTCGGCCTTTTAGGCTTCGCATCAGCCCTCAACCATTCGTTTGAACACCATGGATCGAGTTCGCAGGCTTCTCGATCGGGAGCAGCCCTATGAGCCGCTGGAGGGCGGTTCCGAAACTCCAGATGGCGCCAGAATAGAGGAAGAGGAGGAGAAAGCGCCTTTCTCATGGCTGGACTACTCCATCTTTCTGCTTCTAGGAGTGGCTATGCTGTGGGCTTGGTAAGTGAGGCCCATGAAAAGTACTACAAGCCGTCAGCTAACGCCAAAAAGGAACATGTTCCTTGCTGCCGGTCCCTACTTCCAGGGTCGCTTCGAATCAGACGAAAGCATTCTCCATACCTTCCAATCAGCCCAACTATCAACGTCGACGGTGGTGAATCTGGGCTCCATGCTCATCCTTGCCAAAATGCAGTCCGGCGCTTCCTATCCCAAACGCATTATGGCCGCCCTTCTGGTCAATATCGTTACTTTCACCCTCCTGGCCATATCAACCCAACACTTCTTGGACATCTCTGCCAAAGGATACTTTAGTTTCATGATCATAATGGTTGCGGCGGCTAGTTTTGGGACTGCGCTCATCCAAAACGGCGTCTTCGCTTATGTCACTGCTTTTGGGCGCGAGGAGTACACCAACGCGATCATGGTTGGTCAAGGCGTAGCTGGCGTGCTGCCCGCTATCGCTCAGATCGTATCCGTCATGTCTGTGCCTGCAGATGACTTGGGAGATGAGGAGGCCGCCGACGAATCTTCGAAGTCTGCTTTCGCATACTTCATGACGGCAACCGTCATCTCTGCCTTCACCCTCTTCGCTTTCGTCTACCTTTTGTTCAGACGCATGTCTGTGCATCATACGAAGAGCCTTAGTGACAGCATTGGCGATCTGCGTGATGCAACGTCAGCTCCCACTCGGGAATCGATCCCGCTCCTCACGCTGCTACGCAAGCTTTACTGGCTCTCCGCCGCCGTCTTTCTCACCTTCGCCATCTCTATGGTTTACCCCGTATTCACCCAGGAAACCAAGAGCGTCCGCCCTATCGAATCCGCGCCGAAGCTTTTCCAACCAGGCTCTTTCATCCCCCTCGCGTTCTTGTTCTGGAACTCCGGCGACTTGGTCGGTCGCATCCTGCCGGCCTTTCCGTCCCTCTCTTTGACCTCGAAGCCCAAGATCGTCTTTGCCATGTCAGTCGGTCGCCTTGTTTTCATCCCGCTATACCTTCTCTGCAATGTGGGCGGTCGTGGCGCGGCGATCAGCAGCGATGTCTTCTACTTGATCGTTCAGCTTCTTTTCGGCCTGACCAATGGATACTTGGGCAGCACTTGCATGATGGGCGCGGTCGAATGGGTGGATGTTGATGAAAGAGAGGCTGCAGGTGGTTTCATGGGACTCTGCTTGGTCGCTGGGTTGGCGGCTGGCAGTCTTGCGAGTTTTGTGGTCGCTAGTGCGCTTTCATAAACGGGGAAGCTCAGCAAAGAATAGAGGGATTCAACGATTTTGGGAAAATTCGGCAAATCTCCACACAAGGTTACACCTCTCAGGTTCCTACAGCTTGCAGCCACCCTCCAAACTGGTTTCTTAGCCGACGAGCACCGCGTTCGGTCAAGCAAAAAAGAAGGCAAGGCGCCTGGGGGTACAAGTAGCCTCCGAGCTGAGCTTCTTCAACAAGAATGGGGACCATCGAACGAACAAATTCCCATGGCGAGAACGGGGATATAACTGAATACCAGCATTCCTACAGTTATGACGGCATAACGGCTACATGCAAGCGTCACCCAGTTGGCGCATGTTCCATGATTCTCGACAGAAACAAGCAATCTGCCACGCCCCTATGCATATGCGCCGCGAGGCTGATACGCTTCTCGGACCTCGCTCCCGCCTGTGGATCATGCTTTGCCTTGCACATAGAACGATTCGAAAACGTTCAACTTGTAACAGTCGACAGATGTGCTCCAGTCGGCTCACTGTATCTGTGATAGCGGGTGGCTATAATACTCAATAGTGGCGAATGTTTGCAAAGGAATTGGCATTTGGGCGGGCTGCCCACCGATCTGATTCAAAGAGTAGGCCCCACGCCACGAAACAGATTCCAGGGATAGAATACCAAAAAAAAAATGGGACCGTCTTCATCGGAAACGGAACATATTCTGCGTGTCGGAACAAAGCACGGATTGATAGAAGCTAGTGAAGGAACCAAACTAGACTCATAGACGGTGACTGGTACACAATTAAACAGTCGGTCTTCTTTCTTTTCTTTCCTCACAGCCTTAGAGATACTGGCAAATCTTCAAAGGAAATTTTTGTTTTAATGCGTGACTTGTCATGCGATATCGAAATTGCTCAACTAGTGATGTCTGAGTTGAGCATGAGGATTTAGCAACGGCTGTTCCAATACATAATTTGGTGTACACCGCATGCCACTGCGGTGGGAGACATGAGAACTGCTCGTAGAGTCCTGGTCTTGAATCCTGGCGGAATCATGCTGACGGCGCCCCCTCCAGGTGCTGAAAGATGTCCGGATTATGTAACACGTAACGCAAACAAGCTGTGCATGGTGCTGACTCAGCGGGTGATCATCGGTCCAGAACAATACGTCTTTGCTGTGCTTTCGGACCTCACAAGTAATTTGCGCGCCACCACACCCACTCGCTCGGAGCTTCAGCTTCCTACCCCAGACCCTGAACTCGGCTGCTTGGTGACAAGATCACTTGAGCCTGGCAAAAATATCATCCGGTAAGTCAAGGACTTTTTCCCTTCATTTCCACGAAAATACCCTGTTCGCCAAGTCTTTCTCCACTAGGCGCTGTCTCTGCTCTCTTTGGATTTCACTTCACATACGTCTGCTTCTTCCCGTTGCTGCATCGTGTTCCACAATCACTAGTTTGCCCGCCCCCGCCGCTGCCGCTACCTCTATCTTCACTGCCCCCTCCACCCTCCCAGCATGCCCTGTCTCGCCGCATAGTTGCATGGCCTGAGAGGAGTACCAGTGCTTGTCGTTTAGCTGGGGATTTGGTTTCCGATGATCGCGAATTCTCGCATCGCTGCATGTCTTCCTTGCCCACGGTATTGCCGTTGAGCACAACACCAACCAATCGTTCCTTCAGCGGTGCTGTGCTACGCTCAATAGTTGACGAGGATTGCATTTGCTGTAACATACATCCGCACGATCGGGAACTGACGTCCCCTGCCAGAAAAGGTAGCTGCCCGACGCGCGATCTTGCCGACGGGGACAGTAACACACGCCAGCCGGCAAGGACAGGTCCAGGCCCAAGCCCAATCTCAGGCAGCGGGGACGCCGACGCTGGTTTGAGAGCGGGCGGGAAAGAGAAGGGAGAGAAAGAGAGAGCGGTCAACACGAAGGGACAGGCCAACCAACCCATCGTTCCATCCGCTCACTATGTCGCAACACGTGCTGCCGCACACGGTGCGCATCAAGCGCAAGAGACAGGATGAGCCGGTGGAGACGCTGCATGTCCACCACACGCCGCAGGACGACCCCAAGAAGCGCCGTTTCACCCTCGACCAACCAGCCTCGTCCTACCCGGCCGTGTTCAGACGCGTCCTGCAGCAGGATCCTGCCGTTGCGGGTGCCTCCTCCACCTTGGACGGCTCGACGTCCAGTCTTGCAGCGGCAGGTCCCACAGCGGCCCCCACTGCCACCACCTCCTCCGGTCCAGTCTCAGCAGCAGCTACTGCTGCTAACGACAGCAGCGCGGCCCCCTCAAGGACCGATAGCCTTTCCTCAATACCCTCTTCTTCGGATCGGAAGATCCTGGCGCCAGCCCCGGCGACCCGTCGCTTCCACCTCTCCACCAAGTCCGCGCCGAGCCGCTCGTCGAGCCCCGGCGGCTCGCTCCAGAAGCGCAAGAATGTCGCAACGCTCGTGGAATCCAAGCCGAAGAAGACGAGGACCGCAGGCGGGCCGGAAGTCGCCGAGTACGTCGCTCAGAAGGCAGCAGCCGGACGCGACGGCAGCGGGCACGATGTCGAGATGCAAGTGGACCATGAACAGCCGGCTGTAAGCGCGCAGCCCACCACTCTCAAACGACCGGGGAGGACGGCGAGGAGCGCGAGCCCGGCCATCGACCGCGGCACGAACGGTGCTACCACCACTACCGCAACCGCTACTGCGGCCGCCGCGGCAGGCAACGGCGATGCCGGCAAGTCTGGCAAGGCTGCCGTCGACCTCGGCCTGCTCTCCGAGATGCAGAAGTTCGCGCAGGAGGTCGAGCACGCCGAGGAGCGGAAGGAGAAACCCGCCCCCTCGACGCCTGCCAAGCCGACGCCCATCTACCCACCGACCCTCGCCTCGCCGCCGTCGCATCAGAAGCTCAAGTTCCAGCCCAAAGCCACGCCGCGCTTCCGCGACCGCCATCCGGAACGGTTCGCGAACAACAACGGTGCTGCGACGGCGGCCATGGACATCGATAATCACCACGCAGAGTCGGACTCGGACGACGACGACGGCGACTACGTATACGACACGTACATCCGCTACGACGGCCCGCCCGACACGGTCATCGACAACGCGACGGCCGCCACCGCGCTCCCGCCCGACATCGGCGTGCTCGTCATCAACGTCGAGGAGCAGCCGCTGTGGGAGGCGTACCTCGAGCAGAATCCCGCCGCCGAGGACAGCGACAAGGAGTTCGACACGGATGACGAGGACGAGAATGCTGAAGATTTCTACGCGAACGAGTACCCGGAGGACGAGGTCGCGAGCGACGACGAGAGGGACGAGGGCGCGTACCGGTACAGAGTCGCGGCGAGTGATGAGGAGGAGTGGGGCATGTATAGCGATGAAGAGGATTTGGGGAGGCCTTGGGGACGGAGGCCGGCGTGGCTGAAGGGCGGGAGTGGGGATGAGAGGAACGATAGTGACTGAGAGGCGTGGCATCTGTTGCCGCTTGGGGAGCTGATGCTGATGGAGAAGCTTTATGTGCTCCCCCAAGGCACGCATGTCACTGCTGGGATAGAGGAAGATGATGTGGGGATAGATGGAAGTCGCTCTAAGGAGCGACATCATAGACCTGGTGCTCTGCCTTTTCGGAGAGGCCTTGGGGACACCGTGGAGAGTTGCATCGAAAAAGAGACTTTTAAAGACAGTTGTAGATATCCGTACCGCTTCGTACTTAACGCCATTGCAGTCGATAACCAAACGCATGTCGAGCATAAATTCTTCCAGCTCCTTTCGATGTGAAATCACATCTGTCATTGCACTTTTTACATACTACCTTATCTACAAGTGGACAGTCTCTCCGATCCAGATCACCACATTCGCGTTCGTGAAGTGCAACCCGCATCGTGAGGTAACGTTGCCTCAACTTGTGCTAAAGGCGGGGTCTTACTTATGTTTTTCTTTCCTTCGTGTCACCCGGCCTCCCGTTGTCTCATCCCACGGGTTAGGTGCGGGGCAGGAAAATCATGTATAGGAACTCTTGCCGATACCAGTGCCAAGCTCCAACTCCTCTTCGTTGTTTCAATTTTTCTCATTCACGTTGAATGTCTCAAATAGGTAGGAGAACATATCAGCATCTCTTTCTAGTGTTCAGCAATCTCTTTCTTTATTCTATGAAAATTGGAAAGACTAACTTAGTAAAGAAATGGAGCGTAGCATGAAAGTGTCATAGACAAAATGTAGTTTACATCAGTGGATGGTCAATAATGCACACTCGGACCGCCGTAAAAATGGCCTCCCTAAACCCTGCTTAATCTTTCCATTCGTATGTGTTCTTTAGTATCTGAGGGGTCTTGTTATTGCTTTGCTCCTTTTCTTTCTTTAACTATATCCCTTCACCTACTTCCTTCTACCACCTGTCACGACCTGCAAAGAACGAAGGTCGTGACACCACCTTATAGAGTGCTTATAAGGGCTGATCTATTAATTAAGGGCTTCATCGCTATGAAATATTTCCTTATCAAACCTGTCGAGGATACCTATTAAGAAAGTGGTAAGTGTCCAAGACGTGGCTTTGAAAGTGATATGAGAGGAAGCTGGTGGAGGATATATTTGAGAAAAAAGTTATCGATTTAAACCGTAGCTGACTGTATACTGGACGAATTGCAAGAGAAAATGAATATGTGAAATAACGAAAGGCTTTTTCCTTATCTAATTCTTTATCTGATTTTTTTAAGGGGAAATTAAAGGAAAACGGTTAAAATGTGGTCGTAGATTCGTTTGCATCTATTTTTTTCTTCAACAAAAAAATTGAGAAGTGACATTCGGCAGCGTCAATTAAAAGCTATATTGCTATTTTGATTCTAGGTTTTTGAAATTTCGCTGACGTAGATCTTGTTCAGATAAGTAGTAGAATTTGGAATAATTGTTCCATAGTACACGAGAGCTTCAGACCTTACCGGATCAGCGTACTCTAATGACATTTACAATTACTACGGCCTGATTGGACAACCCTAAGCACGATGGAAGATGACAAAGTTGACTTTTCTCTACCTTTGATATTAACAACTCAGGCGGCCATTGGCTTCATTAAACACTTGGGAGCCTTTTCTTTCTTTTTTTCCCCGCTTAGTGGTTGGCCATAACTTATTTATTGTTTCTTTTCATCTTCTCCGTACATTTCCTAGCATGGCATTTGGACGTTCTTTTGAAACCAGTCATTTCTCATAAACATTTTCATCCACCGCTTCCAAAGCATCTGCATTTTGAACGCCGGACTGACTAAACGATCATACAATCTTTCAGTGACGAGTGCCGTTCACGTTCTTAACACCCTGACCCAGCTGGCTCGCAACAACGGTAGCCTCCCTAACGGCACGCGCGACGTGGCCCCTGACAGCGCCCTCTTCGAGGGTCAGCAGGCCGCCGATAGTGCAGCCACCGGGAGTGGAAACCATATCCTTCAGGATGGAAGGGTGCCTGTTCTCCTCGAGCACCAGGCCGGTGGTACCCTTCATCATCTGGGCGGACATGAGCTGAGCCTCCTTGCGGGGGATGCCCATGGCGACAGCGCCGTCAGCCAAGCCCTCGAGGATCAGGGCAACGAAAGCCGGGCCGGAGCCGCACAGCGAGGTGCAGGCATCCATGAGGTGGGGCGGCAGCTGGACGACCTTGCCGCAGCGGTTGAAGATCCAGGTGACAAGGGCGGTCTGGTCGTCGCTCAGCGGCGGGGTCGGCTGCGAGATGACGGTCATGCTCTGGCGCACGAGGGCGGCCGTGTTGGGCATGACGCGCACGACGCGGCACGGCTTCTTCTCCGGCGCGGGCACGCCGTCCGGGTAGATGGTGCGCTCGATCTGCTCGACCGACACACCGGCCAGGATCGACATGATCAGCTTGCCGTCCAGCGCCTCGCGCATGCCCTCCGCACCCAGCACCTCCTGCAGCATGTACGGCTTGCACGCCAGAAGCACCACGTCGGCCTTCTTCACGCCCGTCAGGTTGTCGTTGACGTAGATCTCCAGCGGCTGGTTGTACTTGCCCAGCACGCCCCGGATGGCGTCCGGGGCGCCTGCCCAGGCATCGCAGGCGATGAACTTGGTCGGCAGCTTGGGCGGGACGGTCTCGTCGGCGGTCGAGGGTCCGGAGGGGTCGGCCAGCGCGGCCATGATGCCGCCGAGAATGGCGTTGCCCATGACGCCTGCAGGTGTGAATCATTAGCTATGTTGCAGCTTGGTGGGGAAGCTCAGGAATTGCGTACCGCAGCCCAGGACGGTGAGGGTGAGTCCGTTGTCAGCCATTGTTGCTTGCGTATTGTTCTGGGGTATCTGGGTATCTCTGGAGGGTCAATGGCGTGTGGAGGTGTGTTTGGGCGCGGGGAATATTTGAGCGTGGGGGAGAGCTCCGAATGTCGCAGCGCGGAGGTGCTGAAAATGTGTTGGCGGGGCCGACGCAAGCCGCGCAGCCACAGACGGCAGCCACACCAAAACCCCGTGCCTGTGCCTGTGCCTGGCAGCTACGTGCTCCTCTCTTGTCATCCGTCTCATCCGCGTTTTTATTCGTCCTCGATGCTCGGTCCGACTGTCCACCTCGTCTTCGCTTCGAATACGCTCTTCATCATGCCTTATCAGCCTGTAGTAAACGCCGCATTGTTTCCGCCTCGTTCAGCGCCAGTTAAAACGACCAGGTGGGCGTGTTAAGCTTTTGTCCAATATCTCAAACATGTGAAGTGGGGAGTTTATCAGCATGTTTGCCTCACTGTTGAACACGCGATGTCAAACGATAAAGTTTGCAACCCCTGGCAGGTGATCCTCGGGACGTAGCGGCAATGTCAGACGATAGAGAAACTGCCAGCCAGTACTCCAATGTCGCGCCATCCATCTCCCTCTGATTCGGATCCTGCCGAAAAGTCTAGACCGCCCAGCCTGCTATAGCATGGATGATGTTCGTCTATCACTTTCCTCATTAGCGAATTCAGGCGCCCCTTTGAATTTCCCTCTTCCGCTTCCCCACGGCCCTTTTGGGTGGCACGTATGCTATTTTTGACCCACCTCGACACAGAGTGGTAGGTGCGTGAACGGGCCGCTTCACCATTACCCGCGCGCGTCGGAGCTATAGGCTGAAAGAGACCCTTCTCGGCGAATGGATCGTGTCTCGCCAGCCATGGCTGCGGAGATAGACTTTTGTGGTGATACAGCGGAAAGACCCATGTCTCGAACAAAAATCGATATTTAATCTAAGAACCGCCTCATCGCATGTTTTCAAAGTCTTAAAAACAGCTTGGATTCTCACGAGTGCGGAACGACAGTCTTTTCCACAGTCAATCGCTACATTCCATTTCGAGTTCTGGTTACAGTCTCTCACTTCCACCAATATTTTTCATTCGTCAACACCAACAACATGCGATCCTCATTGTTCAACATTGCGGTCTTCTCCGCCATCTCTTGGAGCACAATTTCTCAAGCCGCACCCATCGTCGTCGGAAACTTCGACGTCACACAATCTATCCACCAAGCCGAGCAGCGCGCGCCCTACGCGCCCAAGACAAAACTTTTCCTCAACAAACTCCACGTCTCCGGCGTTGACACAGAAACAATTCCCGAGACCCGCGATGCCGAGGAGGATGATGTCTCAGTCTTCGACATTACCGACGAGAGTGGCGCTGAGCCTCAGATCAAGCACATTATCGTCCCGAAAACCTTTCCCAACGACACAACCGAGGAGCCCAGCGCCGAGAGCACAGAAAGTAGCTCGACTTCGAGCCGAGATCAAGCAGAAGAGCAAGAAGTGATGGGCAGCATCTCGGCGTGCGGCGTGGATAAGGCAGGGAGAAATTACTGCCGCACGTCGGACGGGTGGTTTGAGTACAGATGCGAGACGGGCGAAGTCACGTACTACAGGCATATGCCGTATGCCGACGAGGAGGTGTGTTCGGATAGCAGCATCGCTTGATCGCTGCGAGAATGGTTGGTGGTGCATGAGTTTGATTTACGAACGGGCGCGATGCCATCAATGCTGCACTACTAGTGTCTAATGTAATTGGGAAAACGACATGAGCCTTTGTTTTGATAGATATCAGGATACCCAGAAATTGTGGAGGAAGATGGCAATAGCTGATTGTCACGGTAGTGGAGCAATTTACTAGTATGGAAATGATCCAAGTCTCAGTGTGCATGTGAGACATCATGAGATCTAACTGGAGATTTGCATAGGGCCAATGATTTCCAGCTTCTGGATAAAGTTATATTGGTGGTGCAAGAGCATGTTGAAATTACTGTTGATCCAGACCAACCTAGATCGCCGCCTGCACCGGACCCGGCGGCATGCAGGGCCAAGCTTCGCGCCCGTCCATCGCCGCCTGCCGCCCGTAACCGCGTGCCGAGCATCAGAGCTTCGCGCGTCAACAGCGACACGCCCCTCCACTGCCGCTGTTCCCCACCAAGCACCTTAATATCCCCCCGGTGCGTGCGCGTGAAAGCGCCTATTCGAAGCGAACGATGGCGGACCCGTTCGAAGTGCGCATGCGCTTCACAAGCCAGCTGCAGCACCTCAACGCCTCCGTCACCTCGGCCCAGAAAGCCGCAAACTATGCCCTCAAGTACCGCGACATGGACGAGGACCTGCACTCGTGCATCCTCGAACAGCTGGAGAGGGTGCGAAATTCATTTTCTAAAGGACCCGGAGGAGATCGGCGTGCTGATTGTTGGGCAGAATAACATGAACAACCGTGCGAACATCATGTACTTCATCGAGCACCTGTGCGACGTCGCCCAGCGCGAGAATCACCTCGAGTTCGTGCGCATGATGCAGCGCGACATCCTGCGCGTCATCGACGCCGTCGCGCCCCCGGACGGATCAGGTGCCGCGAACGTCAAGGTCGTGAGGAGGGTGAGCAGCCTTCCCCCGTTGAATCCTTTGGGGCTACGGATATACCGTTGGACTTGGGGCTAAAGTATGTCGTCTAGGTGCTAGCTGGCTTGCAAAACAAGCAGGTCCTCATCCCACAGACGGTCCAGGAACTGGAAGAATGTCTCAAAGAGCGCGACATCGCCGTGGCACACCCAGCGTTGGGGTCGCCGACAAATGGTGCGACTGGGAGCGGCAAGCACACGCCGCGCGGGAATGGTGCAACGAGGTTGGACAAGCGTCAGGTCGAGCAGCGGATAGAGGAGGATCGAGAGAGACATAAGAGATTGAGGGAGGTCATCTGGCAGGTGGAGCCCGAGAACGACCGCGAGTTCGAGAAGATGTGGGAGGAGAGCAGCGACATTGGAGACGACGACTACATGGCTGCTGAGGAAGATGCCCAAGAGCGGAAACAGGCTATTGCGTTTGATCGTGAGCCTTGAGCCTCCGGTTACTGGTCCCATCGGCGTTCTGGAAAGGGAAAAACGGAGAGGAACGGTTTTGCATGTTAGGCGTTGAGGCTGGAGAAAATCATGGCTGCATAATGACGGCGTTGAGTGGTGATGGACCTTTGTTATTTTCAAGTGTTGGAGGTTTGCGAGGCCTCCATACCTGGCGTTGATACCCGCCTTACGCAAACCATATTTGTACACTAAAAGAATCCATCTATACAAATACAGTCCCAAAAGAACACCGCGGCCATGCCCTCGCTTCGTGGTTCCGTCCGCGCGTAGCACATGTTGGATAGAGCCTATCAAGACTCTGGAAGCTTTCCATTTCCATTTTTTCCATACATTCATTCCCCAAAAGCCGCTCGGCCAATAGCACGACGCTTACTCCATGACGACAACGGCGCCAAGACCCTTCATGGTCTCGATGATCTTCTCGGCCTCCTCCTTGGGCACAGACTCCTTCATCAACTTGGGTGCGCTCTCGACGAACTTCTTGCTGTCCACCAGCGACAGACCAAGCATGCTCTTGACCTCCTTGATGATCTTGGGCTTAGAGGCCGTGTCGATGCTCTGCAGCTTCAAGTTGAACAGCGTCTTCTCCTGCGCGGCGGGCGCAGCCTCCTCCTCCTCAGCAGCTGCGGGGGCTGCGGCCTGGGCGGCGGCGGGTGCAGCGGCGAAGCCGCCAACGGGCATGTCGGGGATGTTGAGGCGAGTCTGTGTTCGTTTCACGGACGAGCGGTTAGCGGAGGGTTTGTTCTCGGAGCCGTCGGCGCTTCAACGCGCAACGGATATGCAACATTGGGCCTCCGGGGGCTAACCTTGAGGGTGGAGACGAGGTCGGCGGTCTCAAGCAGAGTCAATTGGCTGATCTGGTCGACGATGGTGGCGATCTTGGGGTTCGCGGGAGCTGCGGCGGCGTCGGTGGACTGCCATCTCCGGGCTTGCTGTAGGCGGGAGACGGAGGCGCGGGCGGGCGAGGCGCGGGCAGCGCGGGCGCAGACGCGCAGCGCGGACTGGCACGAGAGTGACATGGCGGGCGGGATGGTGGGGGTGCGGTGGGAGGTTTGCAATTGCCGTACGCGGTCAAAGTCGGTGGTGGTGCGTGTTTCCCGCCGTCAAAATCTCAAGGCTCGCCGCTGCCTAACGCGGCATAGGGTGCACAGGCCACCCAGTACTCAAGAAATTATTTTGGCTACTGGGAAAGCATGAACCAAACACCAAATCAACCCTCGCCGCCGCGCAACTTTTTTCCTACCCCAATTCCTGGTTACAGTTCCGGAGCGCGACCATGGAATGCGGCTGGGGTATCTCTGCGCTTCAGGCGCGCCCCGACGGGGTCCCCGAGGAGCTGCGCTCCCTCCTCCGCCCGAGCTCTAATCGCGACTTCCTCGCTGACCTCGCTCGCGAGTCGCTGAATCCGCGCCACACCGATTACCTTTTCGCGCTTTTCGAGCCATTGTTCGTCGAAGTCCGCGCGCTGTGGGCTGCCTCGTATCCTTCTGTCGAGATCATACCCGCCTATGCCCGCATATTACAACTTGCGCCATACCTTTCGGACATTGCTGAAGCTATCCTTTCTCGTGGCGCAGACGAGATCGCTTCGGCTTTGCAATATGATGCCTCCAAGGCTTCACAGACCACCGCAGACGATCGCATGGTCGACCTTCTTCTTGGACTTTTCCGCCTCCTCGTAAGCGATAACGAGACCTTCGGCCGGTCCATTCAACCATTGTCCCTACAATCTCTGCTCGCACACCCGAATCGAACCGTCCGATACCTTGCCATTCGCTGTCTTTGCCTGTATCTACATGCTGCAGATGCGGCGCAGGAGGAGATGATATCCAGATACGTTGGTCAAGAGCCCGTGAGCGGGAACTGGGAAGGCAAGACAATTGACTATCGGTTCCTGAGCCTTTGGGAAGAGAAGCGGTATGCGGAGGTGAAAAGGAATCTTGTGGAGGCCCGGTCGGCGCGAGAGGCGTACCTTTCGTCCCCACAGATTAGCAGAATAATCACGCAGAGTGATCTTGGCCCTCATACCGCTGAAATCCATGGCGTTTTGCTTCCCCGATCAGATGCGCCTGTCACTGCGGACGGCGTCCAGCTTATTCCGACTGGAACTACCGTGCGGAACCTCACTTCTGTGGCCAGAAGTCTGAACGGTGACAAGCCTGTCATGTTGACCGGCCTTGCTGGTTCGGGCAAAACGCTGATAATCCGCCATCTTGCAAGGGAACTAAACAAGCTCGAATCCATGGTGACCTTACATCTTAACGAGCAGAGCGATGCTAAGCTCCTTATTGGCATGTATACGACTGGAAGCACCCCCGGCACTTTCACCTGGAGACCCGGTGTTCTCACTACCGCGGTAAGAGAAGGCCGGTGGGTGTTGATCGAGGATCTGGACCGTGCCCCCAACGACGTGATCAGCACGCTTTTGCCGCTCATTGAATCCGGAGAGCTCCTCATTCCTAGTAGAGGCGAAGTTGTTCGTGCCGCCCGTGGCTTCAAGATTATCGCAACGCTTCGTACAACACTCAATCTTCGTGGGGAACAAATTATCCCCGGTGCCGGCATGATTGGAACGCGTTTCTGGGATCGCATTAGCATTGAGATGCCTCGCGAGGGAGAACTTGGAGAAATTGTCCAGCGCGCGTTCTCCAACATCCCGGAGGCTTTAGTACCTCAGATCATGAGCGTCTATGGGAACCTCCAGGCTTTGTCCAAAGACAAATCCTTCACGGCCAGCAAGTCTGGCATGATCAGACCTGTTACTTCGCGCGACCTGTTCAAGTGGTGCAGTCGAATTAACCCTCGGAATTTGGACGATATGTTTCTCGAAGCAGTCGACTGTCTCGCTGGAAGCCTGGAAAACGGACCAGCCCGAGAGTTGATTGTTGCCTGCATTGCGCGGGAGCTTCATGTTGATCCGCAGAAGAGGGACCATCTGATCTTGCAGCGTACAATCGCGTACAAAACAAATGATACCAGCGAAGTCACCATCGGACGTGCTACCCTGAAAAGATCTCAACGCAAGAGACGTGCAGACCGAAGACCGTTTGCTGCGAACGACCACACCTGTCGCCTATTAGAGAGAATTGCGGTTGCTGTGGATCATCAGGAGCCCCTTCTGTTGGTTGGTGAGACCGGTACCGGCAAAACCACCGCTATCCAGCACCTGGCCACCGAGCTTGGCCGGAAAATGGAGGTATTCAACTTGTCGCAACAAAGCGAAAGCGGCGACCTGCTAGGTGGCTTCAAGCCTGTCAATCTCCGCAGCATCATGGTGCCGATGAAGGACCGCTTCGACGATCTCTTCCTGTCAACGTTTTCCCAAGACAAGAATCGCCTCTTTCTCAATCAGCTAAACGAACATATGGCGAAGGGCCGCTGGAAGGCCGTTTGCAAATTTTGGCAGCAGGCTCTCCGCATGGTTGACGACGCGGTCAAAGCCTCCAGGTCTGACGCTGCACCGCAAGCTGATGAGAATGACCAACCCAAGAAGAAAAAGCGCAAGGTCGAGAAACAACCCAAGCTACCTGCATCTTTCTCGCAATCCGAATGGGACGCTTTTGCCAACGATCTCAAGCTTGTCGAGTCACAGATTGCCAACAAGTCCAGCGCCTTTGCTTTCAAGTTTGTAGAGGGCAACATTGTCAAGGCTGTCAGAAACGGCGATTGGGTTTTGCTCGACGAAATCAACTTGGCTGCACCAGACACTCTTGAAGCGCTGGCTGACCTGCTTACCGGTGGCTCTGGAGGCAAGCCATCCATTCTCCTGACGGAGACGGGCAATGTTGAGAGAATCGAGGCACATCCCAATTTCCGTGTCTTCGCAGCAATGAACCCTGCAACCGACGTTGGAAAAAAGGATCTTCCTATGGGCATCCGTTCTCGATTCACGGAGCTGTATGTCGAAAGCCCCGATCGCGACTTCAAGAGCTTGCAAAGCGTCGTGGAAACCTATCTTGACCAGTACCTGCACAAGGACCGGAAGATTTCCGCAGATGTTGCCAACTTGTATCTGCATATCCAGGCCTTGAATGCGGAGAACCGACTGGTGGATGGCGCAAACCAGAAGCCTCACTTCAGTTTGCGTACGCTCACAAGGACACTAATTTATTCGTTGGACACCGCGCCGCTTCATTCGCTTCGTAGAGCCCTGTACGAAGGCTTCTGCATGAGCTTTTTGACGTTCCTTGACAAGTCTTCCGAGGATCTAGTTGCTGAGGCGGTTGTTAAATACCTTAAGCCTCAACTCGGCTCACCCCTCCAAAAGCCTACGGAGAAGGATAGGGATTACGTCCAAATACGACGAGATGATGGCCGGAGAAATCATGATTTGAAAAAGAAGGGCATCAGCAAAGCGGCAGATGATGCGAACTTTGAGAAGTGGCTCGACGCGGCCGGCAAGGATCCGCAATGGCTCCGCCAGGGCAGGTTCGAATCGTCCGATGAGGAGCACTACATCATTACCAACTTCGTTTGGCGCAACCTCACGAATCTTATCCGTGCCGCCTCGACTCGCCGCTTCCCAGTGCTTATTCAGGGCCCTACGTCTGCCGGTAAGACGAGTATGATCGAGTATCTTGCGAAGAGATCCGGCAACAAGTTTGTTCGTATCAACAATCACGAGCACACAGACTTGCAGGAATACTTGGGTACTTACGTTTCTGGAAATGATGGCAAACTCCAATTCCAGGAAGGTATCCTTGTCAAGGCTCTGCGTGAAGGCCATTGGATTGTTCTCGACGAACTGAACCTTGCTCCAACGGATGTTCTGGAGGCTTTGAACCGCTTGCTGGACGATAATAGGGAGCTTCTCATCCCGGAAACACAGGAAGTCGTTCGTCCCCATGAGGACTTCATGCTGTTTGCTACGCAAAATCCTGCTGGTCTCTATGGTGGAAGGAAGAGCCTCTCGCGGGCCTTCCGCAACCGTTTCCTCGAGTTGCACTTCGACGACATACCCGTCAACGAGCTGAAGTACATTCTTGAGAGGCGAACGCAGCTTCCTCGGTCATGGTGCGAGCACATTGTCAATGTGTACAGGGAGCTTTCAATCCTCCGACAGTCCAGTCGCCTTTTCGAGTCCAAGAGCTTCGCCACTCTCCGTGATTTGTTCCGATGGGCAATGCGCGCACCCGAAACATCACAGCAGCTCGCTGAGCAAGGTTACATGCTTCTTGCAGAGCGTGTGCGAAAAGCGGAGGAGCGTCTGGCTGTCAAGCAAATCATTGAGAAGGTCATCAAGCAAACCAAAATCGACGAGGATGTGCTCTACTCCGTCGAGCGATCACCGGAAATGCGTTTATATCAAGAGAACGTCTCTTCCGACGGTGTTGTCTGGACTCGCGCAATGCGTCGGCTTTACGCTCTGGTTGCCAATGCACTCCGCCACAACGAACCGGTCCTGCTTGTGGGTGAAACTGGCTGTGGTAAGACGACGGTCTGTCAAATGCTTGCAGATGCCTTTACCAAGCAACTCTTCATTGTCAATGCCCACCAAAACACGGAGACCGGCGATCTCATCGGTGCTCAAAGGCCTATCCGCAATCGCGCATTCCTGGAACAGCAACTGGCTAAGGACCTCGGTGAACTTTTGATGGAGGCTGGGGTCTCATTAGAAACGTCGACCACGTCCTTGGCCGACTTGCTAGCTCTCTACGACAAGCTTGTGAAGGATGAACCGGAGCGGCTCGGTACGGAATCTCGCCAGGCTATTCACACTCAACGCGTTAAGCTTTCATCTCTCTTCGAATGGGCGGACGGCAGCCTTGTTACTTCAATGAAAACGGGCCAGTACTTTTTGCTGGATGAAATCTCGCTTGCCGATGATTCGGTCTTGGAAAGGCTGAACAGCGTGCTGGAATCATCACGCACCATCCTCCTGGCAGAAAAAGGCCCTACAGACTCAAGCATCAAAGCATCAGATGGCTTCCAGTTCTTGGCGACGATGAATCCAGGTGGAGACTATGGCAAGAAGGAACTTTCTCCGGCGCTGCGAAACCGCTTTACCGAGATTTGGGTCCCCGCTTTGTCTGATCTGGACGACATTACCCAGATTGTGAAAGCCAAGCTCATGCCATCCGCAGTAGACTATGCGTCGACTATTGTCAACTTCTCACAGTGGTTCAACGAGAAGTTTAACACTTCCGCTGCGTCGTCGATCTCCATCCGTGATACTCTTGCATGGGTCCACTTCATCAACCGTTGCGGTGTCAATGATCCAGTTTTTGGAGTCGTCCACGGAGCAGCAATGGTATTCATCGACACACTTGGAGCCAACCCGGCGGCCCTGCTTGCTATCTCTGCAGCCAACATAGACCGTGAGCGCGCTACCTGCCTCGAGAAGCTCAGCGAGCTGGTCAACACAGATGCAAAGGCCATCTATTTTGCCCCTGCTGCTATTGGCACTTCCGACTCGATGCTTTCTATTGGTGACTTCGCCGTCCCGCGCATCGGCAAGGCCGTCTCGGACCCTTCCTTCTCCATGGCCGCGCCAACTACTAAGTCCAATGCCATGAGAGTTCTCCGCGCACTGCAGTTGCCGAAGCCCATCCTTCTAGAAGGTAACCCTGGTGTGGGAAAGACCACGCTTGTCACTGCTATTGCGAAGGCTGTTGGTGTGCCTCTCACCCGTATCAATTTGTCTGAGCAAACTGATCTCATGGACTTGTTCGGATCCGATGTCCCCGTCGAAGGTGCCCAGGCAGGTACTTTCGCATGGAAGGATGCGCCTTTCCTAAAGGCCATGAAGAACGGAGAGTGGGTTCTGCTCGATGAGATGAACTTGGCCTCGCAGTCTGTGCTTGAGGGTCTCAACGCCTGTCTCGACCACCGTGGAGAAGTTTACATCTCTGAGTTGGATCAAACCTTCCATCAGAATCCTGGCTTCAGGGTGTTTGCAGCGCAGAATCCTCACCACCAAGGAGGTGGTAGAAAGGGTCTCCCCGCTTCTTTTGTCAACCGTTTCACTGTGGTTTATGCCGATGTCTTCAGGCTTGAAGATCTGATCACCATCTGCAAGCAACAATTCCCGAACACCACTGAACAAGACATCGAAACCCTAACTGGATTCATTTCCGAACTGGACGCTCAGGTCTCGAATAGGAAGTTCGGAGCGCTCGGCAGCCCTTGGGAATTCAATCTGAGAGACACTTTGCGGTGGCTACAGTTGCTCACCTCTCAGCAAGGTCTCCTCCCAAGTGGCATGACCAGAGATTTCTTGGATACCGTTATTACGCAACGCTTCAGATCAGACCACGACCGAAAATGTGTTATCGGCTTGTTCGAGCAAGCAACCAAATCAGCCGTCCCTGAGCGAGCCTACTTCCACAACTTGGGCACGGATCACCTCCAGGTAGGACTCGGGCTGCTCCCTCGGCATGCACTCCTCCAGCATCTTCCTTCGAGGCATAAGCCGAGAAAGTCCCAGCTTGCCGCCATAGAATCTATGATGATTGCGGTTCAGCTCAACTGGCCTGTCATTCTTGTTGGGCCACCGGGCTCTGGGAAAACTAGCCTCGTCAAACAACTCGCCTCTGCTGTGGGCGCCGAGCTGGTCACATCCTCCATGAATGCTGACATCGACGCTATGGATCTCGTTGGTGGGTACGAGCAAGTCGATCCGTCTCGACAGGTGCTCCGTTTCCTTGAAAAGCTCAGTCTGTTCTCGCGTTCTTCAGTCATTCAGAGCCAGATTCAAGGGGATTCTGAGCTTTCTTCTCTCTTTCTCAGTCTCATCCGCCTTTCTTCTCCAGTCGATCTCTCTCAAGTCTCTTTTGCTGCCATTCATCAAGTACTAACACAGCTTCAAACACGGGACGGCCGTTCAGAGGCCCGCGAACTAACAATTGAAGCTGAAGCACTCGCAAAGGAGTCTGTCACTATTGATCAGGCCAGGTTTCAGTGGGTCGATGGCCTTCTTGTTCAAGCTCTAGAGCAGGGCAAGTGGCTTGTGCTTGACAACGCCAATCTCTGCAGCTCTTCCGTCCTCGACAGATTGAACGGTCTGCTTGAGCCTAACGGATATCTGATCATTAACGAGCATTCGACAGCTGATGGCGAGGCTAAGATTGTCAAGCCTCATCCTAACTTCCGTATATTCATGACGATGGATCCACGTCATGGAGAGCTCTCTCGTGCGATGAGAAACAGAGCCGTTGAGCTTTTCTTGCTTCCTACGTCAGATGAAGATGCGGGCAGCAATGATCAGCTCAACACGTTCGCCTTTGAATCAGCCATGTACAGATTCCGCCATGTTAACTTCCTCGGCCGTAACCGTACCCTTGATCAAGAATCTACCGATTCTCTTGTAGCTACTTCGCTAGATCACCTGTCCGTGGAAGATTCAACTCGCCTTGGAAGCTTCTACCAGCAGCTTTCTAGTGGCTTGTTTGACATACCTGTGGATGCCCGGCTTGAGGAATCTCTTCAAGCAAACATGACTTTCTTTTCTCAACTCCCACAAGAGTGGCTTTCCAGGGCAATGGAGTTGATGAGTGGCTCTACAAAGCTTATGGGGATGGGTCAAAATTTTATCAATGCGCAGGTCAGTGACCTCGCTACTCCTAACGATGAAAAGGATAGGTATGCTGATAGTAGATCCGCGTATATAGACAATTCATCCTTTGAACAACCAATCCCTCGTCCAGTACAGCCAGGCTGCTCGTTCCGACACATCTGGAGTTCACAACAACGCATACTTGCTCGGAGGACTATTCGATCTTTGCCTGGACTTGAAGAAAATGCAAATTTTGCTCCAGCAGGCATTGGATCAAGCCAACAAAGTCAAGATCAAAGATCGCACGAGGCTTGGCAGGAGCTTGGTGCCGTCAAAGGCGGCTTCAAAATCGAGCAAAGACCCGTTTGCGGGCGTGGGACCATTCTTGCAGTTCGTATTCGATACACTTGCTGCATGGGTGCTCGATGTTCTGCAGGGCGGTTTCGTTGATGAGACTGTGCTCGACTCGATCAAACCCATTGGCCAGTTCTGGTTCGATCTTCACAGCCTCACCAACGCTATGGCTATTGAAGATGCCGTTTTCCAAGTCTATCTCGCTATCGGGCACCAAAACTTCTCACCACTATTCTCTATTCAAAATCCTCAGGTAGCTGGACTCCAAGAGAGGCTGGTGAAGAGTCTCGCCTCTCTCAAACTTGATAGCCAGCTGTCGACCGGATTGAGCATGGAACTGCTCTGGAACCGCTTCAAGCCTCACACTCCACCCACCTACGATGGCCTTCTCAATTTGCTCAAGCTCGAGGATTTGGCGAACCGGTTCGACTCTTCGGTCTGGCTTGCTGATGCGCCGTTGACGGAGCTGGCACGCGTGCGATCAGCGCTGGCTGGCGCTATGCAGATTGCGCGAAGCCAGGATGTTGACGTCAGGGAGCTGATTGACGAGCTGGAAGTGGCGATTACCGACATTGAGAAGGGAGTCAGAGAAGGCAAGGAGGCGGTCAAGCCGTGGTTCACAGAAGCTTTCGAAGGTATCTGCCAGTTTTCGGACTTGGCACAGCTCGCCGGTGAGTCGAAAAATGATTCGACCACTTCCACCATGACGCTTTTGGCGCAAAGACCGACGAGAACTACGCCATTGACGGCGCAGAGCTTTGCTGAGGCCCTGCTTACACGGATGTCGACGTACCTTGGAGCGTATGGAGATGTTGGACCTGTTGCGCTGAAGGGCGGATTCCATGTGAAGTTGTTGAAAGACGTGGTCGATCTTGACGATGCGACTTTGGCACAGATGGATCTCCTGAGGTCTGAGATTGATGTTCTGGGTCAATCCCTCGTCAGCCGCTCCGGTGACCTCCTTCAGAACCAGACGTCGGTTCTTGCCGGTGTGCACCAACGTATCCTCAAAGAAATCGTCCAGGCACATTCAGAATTGTTGGACCAGGAAACGAGCACCATTACCTCCATTGAACTACGGCAAGACCTTCCAGAGGACCACCATCTTCGCACTGGTCTCAAACTTCTCCAACGCAGCCTCGAATATGCCACTGACCCAGAGGCGAGCAATGTCAATCCCAGCCAAGCCTGGATCAGCCTCGCCATTGCCTTCCTCTGGCTCTACGTTCCCGATAGGCCTTTCGATCCCGCACTTCGCCCGCTCGTCGAGCGCAGTCTCTTTGGAACTCACCGCGATGCTCTTAACGCCAGCCTCACCGCGCTATGCAGCTTCGAACAATCCTTTACCGGTCGTAGCAAAAACCTACGCACTCGCCTTATCGAGCAAGATATTGCGACCATGGGAATCGAACCGTCCGTACCTGCCATTGCGAGACCGCCACAGTCGGAGCTCGCGCAGTTGTCAGGTGAATTCGGCAACCTTCTGAGGGTACTGGATGGCTTGGTCAGGGCAGTTGATGCAGGTGAAGCGGGAGCTTTACGTGATGCGACTCTGGAGATGAACATACAGCAGATTGTCAAGAGGCTGACGGAAGGGTACCGTGCGTATGACGATATCACTGCCCCAGTCGTTACGTTCTTGCACTGCTTGAGGGTTGGAGTCCTCCTTGCTGCCGCTGATGAAGGACCAAATGCTGGCGCTGGCATCTTCGACTACGTTTCTGCGCACACGCCATTCTTTGGCAGAGGCTATAGCGCACTGGTGCCTACGTCTGATGCTGCTATGTTCGGGAAGGCTGGCCCCGTAGACCTCCGCTGGCATGCATTGAGCGCTCTTGCAGTCAAGTTGAGCGTCCAGCCGGAGAAGACACCTTCAATCAACGAGCGAAACCTGATTCATGACATCTTCCGCAGCTTTTACGAGCAGTGGAAGGAGAAGCTCGAGGCCGATCAGGAGAAGGCTGCAGAACAGTCAGGCCTTTATCGGTTCAAGGGAGGTCTGGATGTTGAAGAGGAAGCCACTGAAGCAGAACTGCAGAGCCTGTTCCCCGATTACGAGCAACAAGGCGATGCTGAGGATGGCCTCGCTGCACCAGTCGAGTCACCGCAGGAATTGGCCCGAAAGCTGGCGGTCTGCCATGCTGACATCTTCGTCAACCGCAAGAACCCCATAGAGAGGATCACGGCTTTGATCAAGCAATCTACAGAGTATGTCAGCAAGATCGAAAGCAGCAGTACAAATGGTCTTGAAGCGTCGCTTCCAGCAATTTTCCTGGCCCTCAACAAGCAGAGCGAACATCTTCTCCAGGACAATCCCTCGCCTCGCTACTACAACTTCTATACTGACGCCAACGTCAGCGAGGCCAAGAAGCTGGTTACTCTCGTTCATCGTGTGCAGAAGCGTTTCCGCCAGATTCAGGAAACCTGGCCCGAACACGCTACCCTGGCTGACGTTCTCCGGGTATCCGATGAGCTGCTCACTTTCCGCCATGTCGAGCCCGTCGCCAAATTCCTCACCAAGGGTGAGAAGCTCCACGCATCCATCTACGAATGGCAGCAAGTTGCAAGCAGAGAGTACAGCGCAGCGCCGTTGTACGACGAGGTCACGAACCTGCTTGTCAGCTGGCGTCAGCTTGAGCTCACGACGTGGGCGCGCCTCTTCGACATTGAGGTTGAGAAGGCCAAGGATGATGCGAAGGCATGGTTCTTCGTTGCATACCAGACAATCATCGCAGCGACTGAATCACTCAGTTCTGGGGCTGCGGTGGAAAGCCATGCTGAAGAGCTCTTGAGGACGCTGGAGGATTTCGCTTTGTCCACGACGGCGGGTCAGTACCACGAGCGTATCAGGCTGCTCGAGCAGTTCAGAGAGCAGCTTGCGTTGAGAGAAGTGGATGAGCCGTCGGTCAGACCTGTTCGCACCGCTCTCGACAACTTCATTCGTTACTTCGTGCGTTTCGCTCAGCCAGTGCGTGATGTCATCACCAAGGGCCGCGCTACCCTGGAGAAGGACATGAAGAACGTTCTCAAGGTCGCCAGTTGGAAGGACCGAAACATCGATGCGCTGAGGCAGAGCGCAAAGACGTCACACAAGAAGCTCTTCCGGGTCGTACGTAAGTTCCGGAACATCCTCAACAAGCCCGTCGACGCCGTGTTGAAGCAGGACCTTCCTGAACCCGCAAAGTCTACACTTGCAGCCGCCCTAACTATGCTCCAACCGACCAACGCGACGGTTGACACGGCTGCACTACAGGTCTGCGAGCAGTATGTGCCTAGCTGGTCTACCCGTCCCTCTAGATTCAAGGATCTTCCGACCACTGTCAAGCTCATGCACAAGATGGCGCAACCCCGCAAGAACGGCGATGCGGCCCACGACGGCGCCGCCTACATTCAAGAGTTCTTGGACAATCTCGAAACATCCATTGCAGAGCTGCAGAAGGCCACACCTGCGGTACTGACGGACGACAACAAGACTGAGGTCAAGCACCTGAAGTCGCAGAAACGCAAGCTGTTCGCCGACACGCTCAAGGAGCTGCGCGAGATGGGCTTCCGCAGCCACGTTGGCGGCGACGTGTTGGAGAAGCAGGATGGTCTGGCCAAGGTGTTGGCGCGCTTGCCCACTCTGCCGTCGTCGTCTGACCACGACGGCGTAGCGAAGGGAGCAGAGGAGTACCTGCACAAGACGTTCAATCTCATGCAGCAAGTTCGCGACGTTGCAAGGGAGCATTCGGGCGATCTGACCAATGCGGATGTCGCGAGGTCCATTGGTAGCTTCGAGAGCATGCTACACGCCGCACTCAAGCAGCGGGAGGTTGTTGCGAAGGTGCTAGAGGAAGAAGAGGCGCTGGAGCGGACCTTCGAACAAATCACGGCCGTGTCTTCTGCGGAGGTCAGGCTTGGAGAGGCGTCGACGGGCGTAGAGCGTGGTGGCTTGCCGTGGATTCCCCCGATGCTGAAGGTTGCAGCGCACATTGTCAACGCTCAGGCTCAGCTAGGCAAGATCAGCGTCAATGAGGTTGTGGAAGGACTACAGTCCAGAGCACAGCTTCTGGACGGACTGGTCAAGGAGACCGATGGGCTTCCTGCCCTGCCGAAGGGTCTTTCGTCAGCTGCGCACGAGAAGCTGGCCAGCCGTATCCACGATACTCTCGAGGAGACCAAATTGAACGTCGCCAAGTGGATAGAGCAGCACCCTGCTCTCCAAGCCACATTGAAACAACTTCTCACGTGGCTGCAACTCACAAACACCACCAACGGCGCCATCATCGAGAATGCCAATCAAGAAGATGCTACCGCTACGACTGCCTCCATCGTCGACCTCAGCACCAACCTCTTCTCCACCCTCGATGCCATCCTCGGCTCCATCCAAGACGTCGAAAAGTCTCACTCCGCACTGCCCGACACGACGGAGTCCCCATCCTGGCTCACCAACGAGACGGCTGCCCTGGCCGCCGCCTGCAAGGCTCTGCACACCCCCCGCATCACCGCCGCCCTGCGCGGCGGCGTCCTGAACCAGCTCCGCAACCTGGCAGCAACCGCAGCACCGTCACCCAGCGACGGTCTGAACGCCGCCTGCGCCATGCTAGCGACGCTGTCACCCCTCATCGCGCAGTACCGCGCGACCGTGGCGGGCGTGCGTGCGCGCTTCGCCCGCCTCCACGCGGCGCAGGCGCGCCTCGCGTACCGGCTGGCCAAGGCGTTCCTGGTCGTCGGCTCGCGCGGCTTCTGCACGCCGTCTGAGAGCGAGGGCGAGGGCGGCAAGGGCGACGACGACAAGCTAGAAGGCGGGACGGGCCTGGGCGAGGGAGAGGGCGCCGAGGACATCAGCAAGGACGTCGGCGAGGACGAGGACTTGACGGAGCTGGCGCAGGAAGAGGACAAGTCGAAGAAGGAGCATGAGGAGGAGGATGATGCGGTGGATATGGGGGAGGAGGAGATGGAGGGGCAGATGGGGGAGCAGAAGAGTGAGGATGAGGAGGAGGATGGGGAGGGGGATAAGAGTGGTGATGAGGAAGAGGATGAGATGGATGAGGAGGCGGGTGAAGTCGATGATTTGGGCCCGAGTGCGGTGGATGAGAAGATGTGGGATGATGGCGGGAAGGACGAGGAAGATGAGAGGGACAGAGAGGGGAACGAGGAGTTCGGTAGCAAGGATCAGGACGAGCTGGCCGGCAATAAGGACGAGGAGCAGCAGAAGAAGGAGAAGGAGAAGGAGGGCGAGCAGGGTGAACAGCAGCAGGAAGAAGAGAGCGACGAGGAGCCTGAGAAGGGTGCGGAGGAGGAAGAGAGGATCGGTGGGCCGGATGAGCAGGAGCCGGTCGATCCGCACATGCAGGAGGGAGAGACGCTGGATCTGCCAGATGACCTCAACATGGACGATGATGACAAGTCCCTGGGTGACGACGAAGATCTTGGCGATATGGACGACTTGGGCGATGCAATGGATGAGGACGAGATGCCGCCGGAGGATGAAAAGGGGGATGCGGATGATGGCGAGCCAGAGGAGGCGCCTGTCGACCTTGATCAGAAGCCGGAGGAGGTTGAGGAGATTCCTGACGAAGAAAAGGAAGACCAGGCCGTCGACCCTGAGGAGCAGGAGCAGCAAGAACAAGTCGACGAAGGCCAGCTCAAGGGCGCCGATGACAATGCACAGAACGACAAGACAGAGGACGACGCCGCTGCCGAGACCGGTTTGGGCCTGGACGCGCATGATGACAAGAGAGACGATCAGGACCAGACCAGCGGCGCTCAGCGCGAAGACGGTGCCGAAGGCGAGGCTTCTGAAGAACAACAGCAGGAATCAAACGAGCAGGGCGCTCGTGGCAAGGCATCGCAACAAGACGCTGTTGGTCGAGACGACGAGATGCAAGACGCCGCCGAAAGCCAGCCGTTCAAGAAGCTAGGTGACATGCTCGAGAAGTGGTACAACCAGCAGAAGCAAATCCAGGACGCGTCGGAAAAACAAGACGAGAGCCAGCAACAGCAGCAGGACAAGGACGTCGACATGGCGGATGCGGACTTCGAGCATCTACCCGACGACGAAGCTGAAGCTGACACGCAGGCCCTAGGCGCTGCCGAGGAAGACCAGGCGCGTGCTCTCGACAGGGAGATGGCGCAGGATGTCAACGATAAGGCTGAGCTCCCTGAGAATCTCCCGGCTGAGGTTGAAGACCAAAACGAACAGCCGGAGGACACCCCGATGGAAGATGTCGATCCCAACCAGCGCGACGCGCCCGCTCAAGAGCAAGACCAAGAGCAGCAGACTGGCGGCCAGCCCAATGCCTTCATGGGCGAGCCAGGCGACCGTACCAACGCCGAGCGCGAGGATTCACTTCAGCCTCCTGACCTTTCCGACTCCGACTCTGAGGTCGACGAAGTCGACCGTCAACTCTCATCTGCCGCCATCACTGACGACGAGAACGCATTCCCACGTTCGCTTGATGAAGCGCGCACTCTCTGGCAGCACCACGAAGCTTCAACGCGAGCCCTCGCTCAAGGCCTGACGGAGCAGCTGAGGCTGATTCTGGCGCCTACGTTGGCGACCAAGATGCGTGGTGGACACCGCACGGGTAAACGTCTCAACATGAAGGCCATCATCCCGTACATCGCGTCGCAGTACAAGCGCGACAAGATCTGGCTGCGACGCTCCCTCCCATCCAAGCGCGCGTACCAAATTGCACTCGCCCTCGACGACTCCAAGTCCATGTCGGACGGGCGCGTCAGCGGCCTAGCATTCGAAACGCTGGCGCTCGTCAGCAAGGCGCTCAGCACGCTCGAGGCGGGCGAGATGTCGGTGCTCCGCTTCGGCGGCGGCGTCGAGGTCGCGCACCCCTTCGACAAGCCCTTCGCGTCCGAGGCCGGCGTCGACGTCTTCAGGCGCTTCGGCTTCGACCAGGAGCGCACCGACGTGCGGGAGCTGGTCAGGCGCGTCATCGAGGTCTTCAGGGACGCGCGGCTGCGGGCGAGCGGCGCGGCGAAGGAGCTGTGGCAGCTCGCCGTCGTCATCTCGGACGGCGTGTGCGACGGGCATGCGGACGTGGCGAGGCTGGTCAGGCAGGCGCAGGAGGAGAGGATCATGATCGTGTTTGTGGTCGTGGATGGTGCTGGCAGCGGCGGCGGTGGTGGTCCTGCTGGGGCTGGGGAAGCCGGTGGTGCGGCGGTGCAGAAGCAGAGCAGCGTGCTGGATCTGCTGGACGTGAGCTTCGTGGACGGCAAGGTCGTGAAGCGGAGGTATATGGACACGTTCCCGTTCAGGTGGTACGTTGTGGTCAGGGATGTGCGCGAGTTGCCGGGCGTGCTGTCGACGGCGTTGAGGCAGTGGTTTGCTGAGGTGGTGGATACGGCGGGCTGAAAGGAAATAGAATAGAAAGGAAGGGGAAAACGGAAGGAGAGTAAAGATTGCGTGTCTTCGCGGACTGGAGGGCATTTTCAACTGGAGTTGGGGTCTTGTTTCTGTGTTTTTTATTGTAATGAGGTATAAAAGTTAAATGTTTATTGTATTTGCTTGCTTCTGCTCTCTTCTTTGAAACTTCTATCCAGACTGGGGTTAAGACTTTGCAGCAAGGAATTAGGCCAGCATAGAGAACTTGTATCTCGACCATCACCAGGACATAGATGCCTGCTATCAGAAACTAAAGGAAGAGGAAGCTGGGGTGGATTGAAAGTTTATTTAGCCGAGCGAGCTAAGCGCCAGGCACGACGGTCAGCTCAGGGAAGGGCGACCGTCTTGAACGCCACACACCTCAGAACGTTGTTGAGACGGCGGGGGAACGACGATCCCGAATCCTTCAGGAAATGTGCGTCCATGTCGGTGACGCAATGCTGCATCCGGATCACGGATTCTCTGCCCACAAACAAATCTTCCCGCCATTCTCATTCCAGCCTAGCCCAAACTTGGAATGCAGTGTTGGCTTCAAAAATAGTTTTACGCGTATGAAGGATCGCCAAGAACATTAGGAGTTGCAATGAGTCGCGGAGCCGCAGAAGATATCCTAGTACACGCCTATCAATGTGTTGCAAAAGTTGGGGGCCAACGCGAAAACAAGGTTGTGCCCGGCTTCAGGAGACGACCCTGCGACTTTCTCTCTTCTATGTTTCCCTTGGACTCTGGCTTTCTCCACCGATGCGACTGATGCAACCACCATGTTTTCGAGCCTCAAGTCCAACTTGACGCGGCGTCGAGACCCAAGGGCTCATCTCGAGTTCAGCCGGTACGCTATGTTTTCTACTTGAAAGATGCCATGTTGCTGATCATCTCGTGAAGTTTGGCGAACCCTGCAGTTGAATCCAAAGGCTCTGTCGAGAAAGCCGAAGAAGGCAGACGAGACAGCACCGCCAAGTCACTCAACGGTGTCGACGGCAGAGATGCAGCCGAATCATGGTCGCTCACAAGAGCAAATAGTGAAATGCCCGAGGAGAGAGAGGCCACTCGAGGAGGTACTAGCTGGTGGAAACAAGAGATGCTGGTGGATCGCAGTCTCTGCGGCATGGCCGCCCTCACCTCCGCTTTTGCGCTTACTATGCTCCTTGTCTGCATCTCCACCTCACCGGCCTTCTCCGAACATGTCAGGCAAAACCCTAACTCTACATCAATTGCCTTCGAGAGGGGCACGTGCAAGTCAATAGAGCCCGGCTATCAAGTGTGACCAACCACCTCCCGCACCTGTCTACTTAGTCCTGACCACCGCGTAGGCTCTGAAGTTCCTAATCAACGTCGCATCAACCATGATCCTCGGCATGTCAAATACGTACCAGCAGCTTGCAACCGCCCTGCGAATCGATGACCTTCCATACATGCTGTCAAGATTCGGCGACTGCCGTGTAGGCACAAACTCGCCCTTTGCCATCGACTACAAACGCACAGGTCGCTGGCAATCTTGGCTTCGCTGGTCGTTCCTCATACTCACTTCTATGGTACCCTATCGCCGCTTTGTTCCGCGTGAATAAACCCACTGACCCGTCGCAGCCTATACATTTGCTTGCCAATTCTCTCGTGGGTACATCGACCTATCGAACAACCCCGAAAGTGTCATACGAGCCCATTGCGAACATTTCGTATTGGTATACCGACATCGGCTACTACATAGAAGACTATTCCCGCTCCCTCGCCCCCAATACTGCTTGCACAACCGCATTCGAACAAGGCTCTCTCAAAAGTCTGGCGGCTAATAAAACCTCCACGCTCGACGACTGGGAGGGGTATTTTGGAGACACTGATGCAACTGGAAATTCCGTAAAAATCTGGTACGACGAAAGCCAGTGTAGCGAGAGAAATGCAACTCACTCGGCAAATTGCACTGCGACTTACCTAAGGTGCCTCATCACATCCGGATCTGACGATGGAGGCGATTGTGCGCTTGTACTGCGCATGATGCCCGCCTTCATCCTAACAGGATGCCTGCTGGCCAAGGCTATCTATATGGTCCTCACCATGCATGCCTCGCGTGGCCAAGTCAAGTCACATCTTCTAACTTTTGGAGATGTGCTTGTTGCTTCTTCGCTATATCCTCGACTTCAGGTTCATGGCGAATGCATGACGGGCAAAGGAGACTTCCACCGACGACAGATCAAGCATATCTGTCACAAGCACTGTAAGGATCCAGAGCCATCGGATACAGGAGAGGAGCTGGGCCACTGCCAAAAATGCAAAAAGTTCAACCTCGTCTACAACCATACGAAGCTACCGTGGCCAACGCTGGCCATGAAACGGAAGAGAGCTTTCCTCGGGACACTTGGCCAGACTGCATTGACCCAGATTCTTCTCTTGTGCATCATGTCACTCGGATCTGTAGCATGGTCAATCATGTTTGGTATTGGCGTCGGCGGTGATTGGGACATGATGTACAACAGAAGTAACCCGAGAAGGCCATACGTCAGCCTGGCAGCATATTTTTCCAAGGGCAATCGGCTGGCCGAGCTGGCGCCTAACCAGATCAGCAGCGAGATCGCTTCCTATTTCATCGCCAACGGCCTACAGTTTGTCTACTCGACTATTTACCTGCTACTCATCTACAACCTTACCCTCATCTCCATGGAGTTCGACTGGGGAAAGCTTGAAAAGTATGGTGGCCGACTGCGCTGCACTATCGTCAAAGGCCGGCCCTTTAATCAATCTTACTTGTTCCAGCTTCCGAAACGCATCCTCATCCCGACCATGACCTATAGCATCATCATGCACTGGCTCCTGGGTCTCTCGATGCAGGCGGAAGAAATAATATATGAGACGCCATACCAATCCTTTTCAAAATACACGGTAATTCGAAGGAAAACTCAAATTCAATTGATGGACCTGACTAAGCGCTCACATGCAGGCAACGTGCGTGCCGAATGGTCTTTTCGGCTCCACTGCGATGCTGATCATCATGACCATCGTTTGCTGGCGCACCTTTTCGTACCGTCGCGAAGGCTTCATTCCGCAGATGTACGGGTCGATCAGGGTGCTTTGTGCGTCCACAACCCGCCTGGAGGAGTTCAATGACGACGGGAATATTAAATGGGGGGATTGTAAGTGTTTTTCTATTCATTCTCAATCTCTTCATTTATCAGTCTTCAGTCTCCCGCTACCCTTGACTGAATGGCACCGCATTAAAATCAATATCCCCCGTACTATATTTCCTTCCTGGGAAAGGTTCCTTGATACTCCGCTGTGTACCATGAGTCTATCTTGAACACATCTTCTCCAGCATCAGAAAGAAGATACTAATCAATTTTCTGTAGTGGGACAAGGAGAATTGTTCCGACGTGCCGGCGTATCGTCTGGGCCTGTAGGAAAAATTGTTCCCAACGAACTTTACTCGTAGTCAGCGCGCAGCCGGCATCCGACACTGTAACCTCTACATCCCTGTATTTTCTAATTATTAAGGGGATGCCGGCTGGGTAATAATACATTGCGTGAAGGTTCTTTAAATGCGCCGCAGAAAGTGCAGGAAAAATACCAATACAAAGTTACGGCGGCTCGCCCGTCTCTGGCACCATGAGATCCCAGTATCTCTTTCACCCAGGGACATAGAGCGTCGAGAGCGGCCCTCCTTGCGGCAATACGATGTCATGAGTGTCCGTCCATGTGTTAGTGCTTCCATGCCTTCCAATATCGCCCATTTTCATGTTCGGCGATGTCGGCGCTGACGACGCCGAGTGACTTGCGGCCAGAGAGCGGTAATGGTGGGGCCATTGCGAGCTCAGATAGGGATACTTTCCCTATATATATACTCTTTGAATCTGGGGATCAGAAGGGGCGCAGTAATATTTCTACTGGTTTGATTGGATGCTGTGTATGATGTGATAGGTTGGGCGGGGATATGATGGTACTGGTGGTGGGAAATATGAATTAAAAGCATTTTGATTGGGCGCATTGGGTGTATGACTCTTATAAGAATAAAGTCCGTGATTGCTAATTGTTACATCTTTGTTGTCGTTGAAACAAAGATATGACAACTAGTGCTTGATGCCAAGGCGGAACCTTCCCCGGACCATCATAAGTAGCGCTTACAAGGATCAACGTACAGAAGGGTCACATTACAGCTGAAGGCTGGCGCGAAGGATTATGGGGCTATAGAATACGCGATGATATCTATGGCATAGCAAATTCTCTGTGAGGAGCAACATAAGTGAATAGCGGAAGCTGTCGCCTGGACGTAACTCTATTATTGGTATTCCACATCATTTACGTACGAACACCGCCCCAACCATCCATTAAATGAGCGAAGAATAAATATGCGCTGTCCCTCAGCTGAAATACACCCCTGTCCATCTGTTTCCGAGTTTCATGCGGAGGCAGAATCACCCCCCTTATTGAAACTCATTACAGATTTTGTAGGTAGTAGAAACTAGAAACTATCGCCTCAGCTGGACGTGAATGTATCTTTACAAATTTCACATTTACATCTGAAAAATTGCTTCAACAACTTACTCGCTCCTGCAGGTGTCTGGCATGGCAGGTGTCTGGCATGGAGAAAAACAAATTCACGCTAGTCCTCGGCAGCAACACATTCCCGTAAGCGCCGCGTCAGCAGCCGATAGATTGCACCAGAAAGCTTTCGTGCGATGTGATAAGCATGCTTTCTTTCTTGTACAGTGGCAGGACAGCCTTAACAGAACCTACGAAATGTTAACAGCTTAAGAAATGTGTGCAGTCATTGCGGTATCTGAGGTGCGTGGATGGTACAGCCCTCTCATAATATTCGCTGGGCAGCCTCAAACGTGACCTTTCTTTAAGCACGACCGAAATGGGCAGGTGTTACCCGATCTTCTCCGTCGCCACGGTGCGAAATCCCAAAAACGGATGCTACCCGGCCATTAGAACCCAGCTGAGCTGAGAATATCGGAGCGCCAAAGCTTAGCGAGGCTGACTGGCTGCGTATGGCGTGCAGAAGTATGCGGCTGAGTCCTTCTCAGCCTCGTGTTAGCTGCCACTGTTCGAAAGCTCATAAGCAAGAGGCACCCCTTCCGAATGATCTCATGGACATCTGAAGCAGTTCACTCCCCCTTATCTTGACATGGCAGATCCCCTCAGCATCGCCGCAAGCATCGTTGGCATTGCCGCTGCCGGCGCCAATGTCTCTCTCACGCTCTACCAGTTCGCCGACGCGGTAGGCCCAGCCGCCAAAGATGCGAAGCAAATAGGAAACGATATTTCCCATTTTTGCGCCATTCTCCACTTGCTCGGAACCACGCTCGAAGAAGCGGACGTGGCATCGATCGCGCCATGCGCAAATGTTGCCGAAGAGATGAACGAGAGGTGTCTGAAGATGTTCATCGAGATCACCGAGCTTGTACAAGAACTTGAACGATACATTGGCCATTCCAGAGACAACAATTCCAAGTGGACCGAAAGGATCAAGTGGGCACTTTCAAAGCCCAGAATTTTGTACCTCCGAGCAAGCATCGGATCTTACAAAACCACCCTTCATCTCATGCTGACGAGCCTCGATTGGGCTCGACGAATAAACAAGCGCAGGTAAATTACCTCCGCAAAAGAAATTTGTCCTTTACTGACGTTTTAGGACGTCAACTATTAGCGCTGTTGGTCCAGGGAGTGACGCGCAGCAAGAGGCTCTTGTCAATAGCTTGGAACTTGCACACAGAGCCTCCATTGCAGATCTGGCGGACCTTGAGAAGCAGGTTGCTGCACAAGAGCTTACTCTACTTGAGGACTACTTTCAATTGTCTCCGATGGACAAAAGCGAGTATCCTCCAAGCTCCCACACAACGTCCTCTTCCAAAAAAATATCCCCGTTAGTCGAATCTGTGCGAGAACAGCTGGAGAGTCTACGAGAAAGTAGAGCAAGAACCCTCATCTTCAGACTTTCGAAGGGGATCCATGATTCCAAGCTCTCGAACGTACCTGTAAGAAATTCTCTTTGGCTGTCCTCTGAACAGCTCAACCTGAGGAGATGGCGCTCTTCAGCGTTGCTCGATAATCTGGACGCGCCGCTCGATGGATTACCTTCATCGAGCTCATCCGACTCCAGGCACTCGCGACGGACGACCCAAATTTTCGATGGCATTTTTCAGGCTCCATTGCAGCCGAATGTTGAAACCCGCCAAGACAATTCCGACAGCTCAAGTCTTGAAGACCTCGAAGATACAACGCATGTTGAGATGACTGTTGGATACTTTTATGAAGCAGCTGAAGCCTTTCAGGAATGGATGGGCAATCTGCCTGATCTAGAGCGGGCAGAGGCTGCGAGAATCTTCCTGGACAAAATGGCAAGCCCCACCCGCTTCCACCATTCACTCGTCCAGCCATCGGGCGCCCAAGGAGATTATGAAAACTCTAGTTTTCATGGGGAATCTCCAACTTCGAGGGATCCAGCCGTTCATTTCCCAGCTCTGACGGTTTCGCCATCGTCTTCACCACTGCCGCCACCATCTCCTCTTACGGATCCAGTCTGGGAAGAGCCTAATTCAGATCTATCATATCCAGAAGAGAGCGAACGATTCGAAGTTTACAAGAACTGCCGCGTCTCCGTCGATGATCCTGCTTACAAGATCTTACTGTCCGGGCTCAAAGAATACGACATCGATGAGGACTGGAGGCAGTATTCTTTATGGGCTGTGTCTGGCGATCACGAGCATTGCCTCGATTTAAACGAACGGCCATTGTCCCTTTTCAAGCAGTCTTCAGATCAAGGCCACGATAAGCCTAAACTGGTGATCCGGAAGGTCAGCGCTGGCTCGGAGAAGAATTCATCAGCAACGCTAGTCCCGGGGATTTGCGTGTAAGGGGTGTGTTCACGCTTGATCTGACGCTTAAAATCTAGGTGTTGTGGCAAACTTTTCTTCATACATATTTGAACCAAGCCAGCACCCGAGTTGTGGGACGATAAGTACTTTGTAGAGATCAACCCAGTGCTTTTTCTTTTTCTTTTTCTTTTTCTTTTTCTTTTTCTTTTTCTTTTTCTTTTTCTAGAATGATTCGTTAGATTTAAGGAAAGCAAAATGCTGGGGCGGTATCTGTCTAGATTGTTTCGAGGCGAGTAATCTTTCCTTTCCTTTCTTTTTTTTTTATGTCTGGTCAGTCGTTGCATCGCACATTCAAGAGGATGTTTTGATCCTAACATTGAGTCCATCGCCTGTGTTGACATAAAAAGATGCCGAGTCGTGAGACATGATCCGATCCATATTAAGCCTATCCATGTATTTGTACTCCCTTTTGCGGTGTGTTTCCGAGGATCCACGCAGGGATTTCGTCGGATATGTTACGTTGGCCCACAGGAGCATCGGACCTGCCAACTCAAGCGCATGCGGCACAGCTGCCTACTTAAGTGAGCAGGTTGGGGCGACCGCCCGCCCGGGTCGAGTCTCACTCCTTCCGACCTTCTCGTCGCGTCCTTTCCCAAACAGTAAACCGCTTTCTACCCGTAAAAGACTCCTGGGACAGCCAGCCATGTGTCACCCGACCGAGAATCCTGCCCCTCAGCACATCGAGGCTGAAGACGTAAGTATTTGTCATTCCTTGTGCAACATGGTACTGACAACTTGGCCTTTTGACTAGGTAACCGACGAGACGGATTCTTCATACGAAGAAGACCTGTGCGTCCATTCCCCACAATTCACCCCCACATACCCCTGCCACTGCCACGCGAGATAGCAACGAGGTTGTCTGACAACGCTATCACAGGCCGAGCACGTCGTCACTGAGCTCTTCAATCACGGACTACGAATACGAAAATGGCCGTCGGTATCACAGTTTCAAGAAGGACAGCACAAGTATGGACTCTCGCTGCATATCTTGCCATCTGCTACTAATGCTACCTTTGTAGTGTACTTCGCACCCAATGACGAGGTTAGCCACCACGGCGTGGAAACTATCAAGTATGCTTATATATGCAATGCAGGATGAAAACGACCGACTGGACCTTGTCCACCATATGATTACCCTCCGCCTCGGCGGCAAGCTACACCTGGCTCCAATCAAGAAAGACGTGCAGGAAGTTTTGGATCTTGGAACAGGTACGAGCGCGGTGGCCCTACAAGATTTACTGAGCTTTTCTCATACAAAATAAAACAGGAACCGGCATCTGGGCAATTCAGATGGGTAAGAAACCTCAACTCCGCCACCAAACAAACAAACGCCAAACGCTAACGAATGAACGACCGCAGGCGACGAATACGAGAGCGCAAGAGTAACAACTCCACTCCCCCAACCTACCCACCCACCCACCCGCCTACAAACCCCAACTGACCTTCCTCCGCCGTCCACCAGATCCTCGGCAACGACCTCAGCCCCATCCAACCCCCGTTCGTGCCGCCCAACGTACGCTTCGAAGTCGACGACATCGAAGACGAATGGACATACACGCAGAAGTTCGACTTCATCCACGCGCGCTACCTGCTCGGCGCCGTGCGCGACTGGCCGGCGCTGGTGGCCAAGTGCTTCAAGTACCTCAGGCCCGGCGGCTGGATCGAGCTGCAGGACTTCACCATGCAGGTCTACTCGACCGACGGCTCGCTGGCCAAGGACTCGTACCTCACCCGCTACCTCACGGAGACAACGGAGGGGATGCGCACCATGGGCGTCGAGCCCGAGCCCGGCGCGAAGCTGGCGGGCTGGGTGAGGGAGGCGGGGTTTGAGGATGTGCATAATGAGCGGTTTTCGTTCCCGGTTGGGAGCTGGCCGAAAGATAAGACGATGGTAGGTTGAGTGTTTGGCAGGAATTTGTCACTGTGAAGCAGTGGTGGCGGTTGCTGATTCGGGCCGCAGAAACAAGTTGGTTTGTTTAACCTTGCGAACTTTGCGGACGGACTGGAGGGATTCTCCATGCGCATCTTGACTGGCCTTAGGGGATGGAAGAAGGAAGAGGTTGAGGTGCATGTTGCTGAACTGAGGAAGGAGCTTAAGAACCGGGCCATACATCCGCAACATGATATGTGAGTGCATCGGACTGAACAACATAGTGCATTCGCTAACAAGATCAGGTATGTTGTCTACGCACAAAAGCCGTTGGACGCAGAGTAACACTGTTGCACTATCAACGCATTCAAGGAGGCAATACAGATCCCAGCCATTCGAATCCACGTTTGTATATACATCCTCATATTCCATCATCATACTCTTTCGGCCCAATCATACGCGTGTAGTAGCAGATGTAAAGATGGTTGAGGTCACAGTAACTACGGATCGTGCAGTTGGAGATGCGGTTGATGCACCTGCATTCTGAGCAAAATCCCCGCTCAGAAATACCACGAGAACGGCAGCATAGCTGTTGGGTGTTAACAGATACGAGCGCTACCGAAGAACTGATGTCACTTACGCAGCTGTTGCAGCAAAGACTTCTTGACGCCTTGCATTCGTGAGCAGCGCCAAAGATCCGGCAAAGGCAATCGTCAACCCACACAACATCCCAAGCCGAGCGTTTTGTGATTCCACGAAGTACAGTCCGAGTACAGCACCAATTAAAAATATGGCAGCTAAGATAGAACTTATTGCGCTGACTACTCTCTCAACAGTTTGATGCCTTACATAGTCAACATATTGGCCGTTGATTTTTTCCTGGGTGCATGTCAGCCAATATTTGCAGTCTCAAAATGTCAGGTGAAGTACTCGAAAGAGAAATGCAAGCTTTCCTTCGAAAAGCCTTGTGAGGCGATCCGATTCAGGGACTTTCCTCAGAGCGCACAGATCTCGCTCATTCTCCTCACTCAGATGTTTGCTGAGCCTGTCAGTAATCATGGTCTCCGGTGAGGCTCTCCAGTTCGCGCCTTTGGCAAAAACGTTTCGGGTGGCCTTCAGTGCTCGACGCTCAGGAGAAGTCAAAGACAAGACTTGATTGAGTCGTATGAGCGCTTCGTCTGGGTCCATTCATCATCGTCAGTGATGAGCTCATAGGAAAATTAGAGACGAAAGCGCTTACGGTATTCTTTGACTTTTTCTCTAATGCCGATCACAAGACTCCGGATTTTTACGGCTTTGACCTCGCCATTATCCGCAGCTTCATTGAGAGCAGCCCAATTGCGAACATAGGCCCGGGTTGACAAGTCATGGTCGCATTCGTCTTCTAAGCCGTCCAGTCGAGCTTCAAGAGAGCTCAACTCATTTTCAAGGTAGAGAAGGTTCCGTGCTGAAGTTCGATCGAACCTGCGAAATATGGTACCGGTTTTGTCCGGGTCGTCAACAAGGAAGGCTGAGAAACGCGGATAACCATCAGCAAATTCCCTCCACAATCTCTGCGCCTGAAGATCCTGTGGTTCGTTGCCTTGCTCCACCTCTTCCAAAGTCTGCGCGTAATTTTCTGCTTGATTCATGGAAAAAACGGAGAATCTGTCAAAGTTGGTAAGAGAATTTCGGTTTAAGTTATTTTGAAATGCAGTTTCTTGGTTAATAGCATTGAAGACGGATTGTCTGGTTGCAGTTGTATGCTGCTTGCCCTCCCTCAGCCCCGCTGCTACTATAACGCATGAACTCATGCGGTCATGGGGTCTTACAAATGCAGACTGCGCCACTGCATAGCCCGGGTACAAGACAGACTTGGCGATCTAGCCTCGTTGGGAGTCACACAAAAAGTCCATGTGCAGCTGATCAAGGCTGTAAGGTAACGTGTCGAGGCACACTCAAGACTCCTTGCCGGCCCCACTTCAAACATCAGCTTCAATCTTTCCACTCATTCTTCGATCGCTTAATTTGGATGAACAGTCTACACGCGCTGCGTCACTGTTGCAACGTAGCGCATGGTCGGCATATGGCGAATGCGCTGACCTTTAAAAAAGTAACCTTTGCCAATTCACTAATGATGTCTTCGGACTGGAAACTTATCGCATTAACCCGGGGTTATCGCGCTTCCTGATTCTAATCCTTTTTTTTTCTTCCTTTTCCTTTTTTTTGTTTAAACAGTTCAGAGCGTCTTGTACGTGCGATACGTGACGATATACGAATATAATCTCACTATCATTGGAAATGAGATTGCCTGCGCGGCATTTTCTGCAAGATTAAGCAATCCCATAGCCATGAATGGCAAGACTTAGTTCCTGGCAAAATCTAAAACTATCGTGGACCTTGGGAGCCAACGGTTTCCCCAAGGATTGTGTCTTGCATCTTACATTCGAGAAGTTCCCACAGGAGCACTATATGGTTTGAACCCCATCTTCAGGTCGAAGTTCCAACCTTGATGTTGCGAGCAAAGCCCCGGGCTAATCAAATGGCATTTTTCTTTTCTTAGCGGTGCATTAAAACAAAGACAACGAGTCCTACGGAATTTAGATCATAGAAAATTAGATAGAAGACTACTGATCTAGCTTACTTTGATGATATAATTGGCCAGTATGTAGTTTGTTAATACTAGCAGTAATAAGCTGTGAGAAAATATGCTTTTTGGACATTAGAGAGGCGGCGTGCGTGTTATGAACAAAATTCGAGGGGCACGCTCAGCGATGGGTAGGTGCACGCGTGCTGTAGCAATTAGAACCGAGAGACAGTGATTGGAGGTAAGCGCATACACACTAGGTAAGCCGGTAACTTCCGCTCACCTACTACTCAATAGTCCGTGAATGCATCCAACACTCGTTTGATGCGAAGCTAAATCTCTGTGAAGCATATAGAACGCAGACGCCTCGTACGGTATGGACAAGAGCACCTATCCGTTCGCATTCTTCGAATATTTGCCATGGTTTTATCACCCCCCGGTGCATTTGAAATGAGAGTAGTTTCGGCCGTGGGCAACTTCAAACAGCAGTTGCGACTGCCAAATGCGCCTTGCAAAGGTGAGCCAATCATTTGTTGTCATCCACCCCATGCAACCTTCACTCACTGCAACAATCTAACCGCATTTGTGCGCCCTAAATTTAGCATTGAGGAAACGACTTATTTCCTGCTGGCGCAGAGTACGAAAGAAGGATTTAAAAAACGGCAAAGTCGCAAGGTGCGCTTCGTCGCACGCTAATAACAGCATACCTGCTCCCGCTGGCTTTCTATCCCTTCCGGCCAGCCCGCCAATATCCCCACCCCTATCGCCTGCCCAGGATCATTCCAGTTCGCGAGGGATCGAGGCTCGAACCTTCTTGCAGGTGCAGAGCCCTGCTCAAGTTACGCAGTAATCGCCAGTAATGCTGTGAGGGTATCGCGACCGGTAGCCGATCTACAAAACCCCGATACATGACCGCAAGTGTGGCCACAATCAAGACGAAGCACACTCATGAACAATCTGATGATTGTGCTTACATGATAGCACGTATATTACGGATACTTGGAAAAGGTCACCGAATGAACGGAGTTTGGTCGGGTAGGAGGAATGAAAATTGATACATGGAAGAATTTCACATATTTCTATTCGGATCGTACTCGGCCATGTGGGGTTCCAGCTTCATATCATCCTCTTCAAGAAATTTTCAAGACTTGAGGCTCACTTTCTTGTATGGTACAGCTTTCCCGGGTATATGCAGCCAAATCGAATATCCTCTAACTTGGCCTTGAGACGAGGGGAATGTGATTAATGGAGTTCAGTTTGGAATAATATATCGCATCACAGAATTTTGGATTTTTTGGTTTCGTTTTTTCTTCTTCTATCAGTGAGTAATTGGGCGGAACGAGCGATCATATCCCCAAAGCAGAGTACAACTTGGACAGCTATGCTAAAGCGGCTCAACAGCGACAGGAAGCCTTTTCGTGGGTAATATTTTGGGACTTGAAAAGTGCCTTCGCGTACTTAGACCGGTAATTTGTATAAGTTCTACTGTGCGTGCGGGGCGGGCGTGATTGGGCTCATAGCGAGGATTAGGGCTGGAATCGTGACGCTACGCGGAATGCAAGGATACACAAATCTGACAGTTCAGCTCTCCAGGCAACAGCAGTCCTCCACACAAGCCCGATGATGCATGGATGAACAAGCTCAAAAGAATGAACAGTACGAGTGAGCAAAAAGACCCACACTCATGTTTGCTTCGAGGAGCACCTGCCGTTGAAATGGTGCGAATCTTTCCATCTAAGTGTTCGGATGCGGACGACTTAGTTGCAAGGCTATAGGCGGCAGTATAAGGCTGTAGCTGCGTCAATGGGCTTTGGCTAAATCACTCAGAAAGACGACGTGCATCTCAATCGTGGCAGTGCTGGACATTCACGGCGAGGCTGGGCTTTGATACTGAAACTAGTTGCCCCTCTCAAGTTCGACAGTCCCCCTTTGGACCAATGATCTCAATGACAACTCCAAAGTCTGCCTCGCGATAAGAAAACGACGGATTTTCGCCTCGTATATAGGTGTAAGCCCCGCAATTCACGACATGGTTGGCCTTCGAGCGTCCAGCCTTCCGCTTCTCGTGCTACAACATCTGCACCGCCCTCCCCCCTCCTTGTGCCCCATGCAGGGTGCGGCCTCCACCATCATGCCACGCTGTAGAATGCGACCTGGGATGGGGCCTCTGACGGAAATTGCGGCGATTCCCACCTTCAGCTCATGGTGGCACGTCAACAATTTCCCTCTTTTGCTTACTCAGCCACCATGGTCCCAGTTAACCAGGGCCGGCTGGAGAGACGAATAAGATCGGCTATCGAGGGTATCAAGCACAACGTTTCATCCAAAAAAGGTTGCTCGCCATACGTCAGCTTCGTTCCCGATCACAGCGGCAACAATGAATTTTAACACCAAAACTGCCTACCAGCAGCCCTCCAGAGCCAACACCCTAAGCTATTCCCTTGGTGGCACAGGCATCGGCACCACCATCAACCTGATCAGATAACTTCCAGTTCTGGAACAATTTATCTCCACAACGTGACCTCTATCACAATAAGTGCGCCTGTAGCTCGCCTCCAACCCTCCCCGAACGCGTCGGGCGAACCCCTACCGGATTCTGAAAGTCACGTGACATTAGTCATCCAGCTCTCGCGGGGGAGAGGCACCGAACTGCTGCAGGTGCAAGTGTTAGCGGGCGCGCAGACCAGCCACAACAACACGGCTACGGTTCCTCCACAGCCACACCACGCGGCGTCACCGCCGAACCGACGCCAACACGATCCTTTCCCGCAGAGTGCCGGAGGTTAAACCGTTGTCATTGCGGGGAATGGGGCCTGTTTGTCTGCTTTCTGTTACATATCATGGTTCTTTTTCTTTTTCGCTGTTGCTGCCAGCTCAGTCGCGGTGTTGCTGTTGTATAGATGGGGTTTAGCGTTGAGTGATGGCGATATTTGGAAAACTGCTCTTCGGAGGCCGGGATATTAGCCGGTTTACTTTCTGTTTCTGATTTGTCTGTTCAACGAGGGTATCATGAGCTTGATTTTCTTTTCTGAGGTTAAGAGCAATGAATGAAAAGGTACAGAAAGGACAAAAACCTCCAAAGAGTCCACAATTCGCCGCCTCCCCATTCCCCTCTCGTACATATGCGTAACATTAACCCTTCTGTACAGCGTTATTTATACCTATATACTCCTCCTATCCCGTGGCGTAAGTTTCTTCCAAAAAGTAGCTATTTGATAGTAGATAGACAGTATTGACGATGGCTTTGAAAATCCCGACAACCTCCCAAGAATCATCCTTTCATTAACACAGCATACATGTTCCTTTCGTGTGAGTTTAGAATAGCCTCGGATCAACCGATTCTGTCATGGATCCACGTATGTTTTTCCGGAAGAGGATGGTTACATAAGTGTCGATCAGAGGCCAGAGCAATGCGTGATCAACGGAAATAGAGCCTTGGCCGGTTACGAGGGGTGTTCTCAGGTGAGGACGGAGCGGCAGCCTGGTATTCGCGAGATCCTGCTGGAAAACATTTGCGTCTGCCAAGTTGGGGTATCAACGCTCAACGCTTGCAGACGAAGACAGTAACGAAACATAGGAAAGACAGAAAGACAAGGAGATGCGGAAGATCCTGCCGGACCAAGTGGCGTGGGGCTGAGGGGAAGGGCATTCCACAGACAGTGCCGGCACGGTGAGGTGGGCAGTCAGATCACTTGCCCTGCAGTTTGCGCTTCAACTTGGTGAACAGATCGTCCGGCTCCTTCTGCTTCTCCTTTTTCGCAGCGACGATGCGTTCGGCAACGCCCCTGAACGCATCGTCAATGCCCTTCTCGGTCAGTGCCGACGTCTCGAAGTACGGAATGCCGCGCTCTTTGGCGAAATTGGCGCCGCGCTGCAGGTTAGCGAATTGTTCGTCGGGCAGCTCCAGGTCGATCTTGTTGGCGACAAAGACGACGGGGAGCGTCTTGCGGCCCTTGGCGTCGCGGAACTGGGCGGCGATGAAGTTGAAGACGTTGATGACGGTGTCGATGCTCTCGCGCGAGGTGGGTGCGAAGACCAGCATGACGCCATCGGCCTGGCCGATCTGGTGGGCGGCAATGGGCGTGTCCATGTGGACGGAGAAGGTGTCGTTGACGGACAGCATGTAATCGTCGCCATTGCTGAGCTTGACGAGCTTGGAGCCGCTGATGCGGTCGCCCGGACTGAAACGGAAGTGCGTATGTCCGTAGGCATACTATTGGACAGGGGTCAGCCGATGGAGGGGCATGGGCGAGGTGGAGCAGGTAGTACCTTCCTGACGAGCTCCGACTTGCCGACACCCTTGGAGCCCATGACGGTGATCTTGAAGTTGTCGCGCATGCGGTTGGGGTTGGCGGGCGCGCCATTGTCAAGGGGCGCGCTCGACGACTGCGGCTGCGACGAGGGCGACGAAACGCTCTCAATGCTCAGCTGGCCGTCGCGCGACGACAGGCTGCGGATGCTGGAGACGGTGGAGCCAGCGCTGTGCTTGCTCTTCATCTTGGAAAGGCTGTGCGGGGGGCGGGGCGACTCCATGTCTAGAACCAGCACCCAGGCGGAGGGGAAGAGCGGAACGCGAGAAAGATAAGTGCAGCGTGCGCGGGTTGGGCCTGAGTAGCCGTCAGGCACGGGGCCGGGTGGGCGCTGTCAGTGGCCCGACAACTCTCTAGGGCTTGGCGTGGCTTCATGGAATGGGGCGGCCCTTGCTGCTCCATGCCGCCCGCCAGCGACGAACGCGGCTCTGCTAGTAGAGCACGCTACGCGCCCCGCGTACAAAGCCAAACCACACCTCGCCGCGCTGCCCAAACACCATCGTTAGGCGCCGGCAGCGTGGTGGGTACTCCACCTTGGCCGATCTGCATCTCCCCTCGCAGGCCGCGCTTGCCCGTTCTGGAAAAGCCCGACAGCGTCGTTGCCCTGCGACCTCCGTGCGCCATGGCTTCCAGAAGGAGTTGCACGCCTGAAGAGGGTGACGACACCTTCACCGAGCGCCGTCGAGAGCGCACCAGCCCCGACCGCGTGTGTCGTCCGTCCTCGACCCCGGATCTCCAGCCAAGAAGTCACCCTGCTCCCGCCATCAGTACAGCCCCGACCCTGCTGCGCAATCATTCGCTCGTTGGTGCGCCGCCGGCACGCTCATCCGACGAGGAACCATCCTCCAACTCCAACCGACCCACCACGCGGCACCCGCCCTCGCGCTACCGTTCCTGCAAAAGTCCGTTTCACCCGCATCCGTCGACCCAGCCTTCTCGCCGTCCCTCGCTCTGCAGCAGCTCCTCGTCCGCAACCCTCGCTTCCGCCTACTCGCCGCCTCCCTACCGCAAAGCCGACTACAGATACATGGCGACCCCAGGCACCAATGGCCTCTTCAAGGAGTATGAACCGACCAGCGACGACGAGCTTCCGCTCCACCGCACCGCGCGAACCGACAGCCGCAACTGGCAGCAGCACCGTCCACTGATTGACAACGTCACGAACCAGTGGCGCAAGAGCTCAACTGCCGACGACGACGACGACGACGACTTCTACTACCGCGATAAACAAAACTGGTACACACCCGCGCTAGTGACCCTGATCGCTGCCCAGCGCATTCCTCGCCGCATCCAGCGCGCCATCTTCACCGTTGTCCTCGCGACCATCCTCATGGCCTTCTCGTGGAAGTGGTTCCTGGGTCCCTACTGGGCCGAGCAAAACAGCCTCAGTAATGCCCTGGTTGGCCCACAGAAATACGGATACTTTGGCGCCAATGCCCGCCCGGCCTTTACCGACATGATTCACGTGAAGACGCTTGATCCCAGCCTACTGCCGACGTCTGCTGCCGATAGCCAACGCCTTATCATGGTGGGAGACGTGCACGGCTGCAAGTCTGAGCGTGAGTTTCCCCAACTTCTAAAAATAGTATGCAAACATTGACTGACATCATGCCTTCTCGCAGTGGTCGAGCTACTGAATAAAATCAACTTCCGCCCCGCCGCCGATCACCTCGTCCTTACCGGCGATATCATTGCCAAGGGTCCTGACTCAAAGGGTGTCGTTGACTTCGCCCGTGACGTTCACGCGTCGTGCGTGCGCGGTAACCATGAGGATCGCGTCCTACTATCCCGCAAGGCGATGAAAGTTGCCGAAGACGACATGAACTCCAACAAGCAGCTCAGTGAAGACGAGGCTCGCAACGGAGGGAACAAAAAGGATAAGGCGCTCGCAAAGAAGTTCGACGCGAAGCAGATCGAATGGCTTGAGCAGTGCCCTGTCATCCTGAAGGTCGGCCAGATCAAGGGCATGGGCGAGGTCTTGGTGGCGCATGCAGGCCTCGTCCCCGGTGTTGACCTCGAGAGACAAGACCCGTTCCAGGTGATGAACATGCGGAGCCTGGATCTTGAAACCAAGGTCCCGAGCGCCGAACGCGACGGCACTCCCTGGTGGAAGGTAAGCTTTCGGCAAACATCGTCATTCCTGCTCATGAATCAGGCTAACAACTATTTTCTCAAAACAGTACTGGAACTACTACATGAAGTTCTTGCCCAAGGACCAGCGCAGTACCATCATCTACGGCCATGACGCTAAGACAGGTCTCAAGATCAAACAGTACAGCAAAGGCCTCGACTCCGGTTGCGTTAGGGGTGGCAAGCTCACCGCTCTCGTCATCGAAGCCGATCACAAGGGCGGTCCTGCCAAGCAGACTCTCGTCCATGTCAAATGTGGCGACTACAGCAGCAAAGAAGATGGCGAGGAGAAGAAGAAGAGATGATTTTTTTTTCTCCCTTTTCTTTTTTTTGGCTGACCTTCTCTGTCTAATTACGTCCTCTGTCTCATATTCCTACAGCTTTTGCATATGCACAGCCCTGCATGAAGAAGCTTGCATTTCTCTTTTGAATGCAGAGACCTTTATATCCTGCTAGCTTTCTTGTTTGTTTTTGTCAAGATTTACGGCGTTAAGAATGGGAATGACGTCGGCAAGGACGCCGACGTTATTATTTGGGACACTGGGACATCGGGGGCATTGGGATTACGTATATGCATTGAGAGTGGATGTTTAGTGAAAGAATTGTTATTACACCTGTGACTTTGGATAGGGGCGTGTCATTACGCAAGCATCACTGTTTCTGCTTGGGAGACATCTAGTAAAGAGAGAGGTGCTCTGTTTTTGGATCATTGAGTAGCGATTGGCTTGGGATCGGTTCATTGCCCCATATCCTCCATATATTAAATGCAGGTTTTTGAATTGGAACGGAATGCATTCTGCTTCCAGCAATGGCAGAGATTAGTGGGTAGCATGGAATGTTGGAGAAAAGTTCCGGTATTGATTGTTCTTCTGTAGCAAATTCTATTTCCGTACAGCAAACGAGAAGGCAGAGCTGATCTCGAGACTGCGAACATCTTCGAATTCGGGTATCATACGATATTATGCAAATCACCACCACGCCTATGCCACTCTTCGTAACCTCTCGTGTTAGCATCATGAAAGAAAAATGAAACCTCATACCACTCGATTCCCACCTCGACCTTGACAAAGACGCGCAACACAGCGTCAATCATGCCCTCCAATTCTGCACAAGCCCGTGAAGCCTGTCGATGACGAGCGGCATGACCGCATTCAGCGAGTCCGAGATCAGGCCCTCGAAATGCCTGATGGCCTCTTCCTCGGTCAAGTCCAAGCACATGCGCTCCTGGACCTTCCAGACCGCCTTGTCGCGCTCGATCTTGATGTCGGGGATGTTCGCGTCGCGCATGAGGGAGAACAAGTTCAGGATCAGGCTGCTCTGCTTGCGCAGGGTCGTGTAGGCGGTGAAGCAGTAGTTCTTGAAGGCCGTGAAGTTGGGATGCGAGGGGCCGCCCATGCCGGCGATCATGAGGTTGTCCAGCTTCATGAGGGGCGCGAAGGGCTTCGGGTCGCGGCCGAGGATGTAGCCGAAGTCGGCGTGGAAGAAGTGGCCGTCGGGAGCGAGGAGTAGGTTGTCCAGGTGGCGGTCGCCGACGCCGAGCAGGTAGGTAATGACGCAGTAACCGGCGCAGGACTTGACGTACGTATCCATGGCTTCTTTGCGTACGCCGAGCGGGGAGCTTTCGTCTGGGTTGTTCGCCCGCAAGTACGACAGGATGCTGTCTTGGCCTCTGTATTTGGTAACGGCGGCCGCTAGAGGTATGCTGGGTACGAATTGGACGGCGCCGGCTGTTGTCGATGTGGCCAGAATGCGGTAAGGGGACAGCTTGAGATCCAAGTTTTCCAGCCGCAGTAGCCGATCCATAAGTGTGATGATCTGAATGACCAATTGGTCCTGGCGGAGGTCGTCACCAGTCTTGAAAATTACAGGGTACTTCATGCCCGTTGTTGTTTTGAAGTTGATGAGAAGCGGGAAGAGCGAGGACTTGAATACGTTGCAGTCGTCCGGGAAGACACCTATTACCTCAACGCTTGGATCCAGAGGAAGTGGTAGAGGCGGGTCAATGGTGATAAGTTCGTTTTTAGGGTCAGCAAGAAACTGTTTCAGGCTCTCGATCTTCTGCGGCCTGCCATCCCTTGAGAACCGAATTTCCTTGGAGATCTTAGATAAGACGGTGATGAGTTCGCCCTGCCTGAGCAGCACCTTGCGTTTTGCTGGACCGTCCTCGGCCTCCATCAGTGTCGTCATGAAGTCATATTCAACCTTAGCGAATAGCTTTCGGTGTTCTGATCCTTGTTCCGGGCTGCGATCATCGCACTCTACCATGAGATACCAGTGGAAGAATGTGCCCAACCTTAGGTTACCAGAAGCACGGTTGATCAGGAAGCGGGCCAAAGAGGAGTTTTGAGTGGGTTCGCCATCTGAGTCTGTTTGTACAGGCTCAAACTTCAATGCCTGGACAAGCTGAAGAAGATAGAGCTGCAGTTCGCTATCATCGGCTTTGCGCAGTCGGTCCACCGCGAAAGAACGGACAGCAGGATGATCAAACATGGGACCGAGAAGCTCGAGAGCATCATCAACGTCAATCTCAGTCCATTTTGATAGGAGTTGCACTGATTGTCTGGCTTCACCAGCTTCATGCCAAGAGACGGATTTGACAAATTTGGTGAGAGCGCGCTTGTCTCGTGTCAAATGGTGTCTGAACTTCCACACCATATCCTTGTCGTCGGCGGTAAGCTCATGCGTAGGGCCATACGACATGATGACATTCAGCTCATCACGAGCCTTGGCGTTCGGTTTCATATCGCGATCCATGACTCCCGTGCGGTGGTTGCGTACCAGTCTCCTATGCTTGCTCTCGGCCGGGTTGTCTCGAATACCGACCTCTGGGTCGTAGATCCTTATAAGCCTGCCAATCTCGGGGTCATCATCACCGACACCTCCATTGATACCTGGACCGAACGAGACTTCCGGAGGAGGCTTCAGACGCACATCGCCAAGAGAGGTTGATTGCTGAAGAGTGGAGATAGGCGGTGCCGGATATTCGCGGTCGGTGTATACGATAGGATGATCGAATCGGGGAAACTCGACATAGATGAAAAACTTGTCCTCATCGAGGCTCTCCTCATCGGAGCCCTCTCCATCCTCTGCTCCGTTGGTTTTTGGAGCATCTGTTTTCCTTCCGTATTTGGGCCCGCTGCGGTAGGTGCTGCGCTCAAGCTGCTCCATTTTACGGAACACCATTTGATCCAGCCACCTGTTCTCAGGTATCTCTCCCATCTCATGCTTCTTCATCAGAGCCTCCAGTCGTTCCATCTCCGTCATGTCCGGATCTGCGTCCTCCTCGGCGAGCTTCCCATTTCTACGGCTACGACGGCGGGGCGGGATGAGGTGGGGCGTAGTGGAAGATGAGAGGCCATCGGCGGCCTTGCGTAGGTGTATACGACACCGCTGTCTGCCTTTCTGCAGGGTATTGTCCTTATCGAAGAGGGGTATCGTGGTACCTCCGAAAGGTGTAGCATGGATCTGGCTATCCTCGGTGGGCGAAAGATCCCAAACGGTGATGGCAAGCTGCGAAGATTGTGGTATAGTCTCGTACGAAATGGGCAGAGTTAGCCACTCATTCCAGGTACGGCTAGACTTGAAGGACTTGTAGCTGGTCTGGACCGGAACGGTGAGTGGTTTGCTGTCGGCCCATAGTTGTGCGGTGACGAAGAGTTCCGAGTGGGGGCTATGGTCAGTTAGACACGCACAGCCCAAAAGTCAAGATGGGGTGAGGCTTGCCTAAGGTTTGAGCCTCTGTGTCTCAACTCAGGCTGCTTCAGCAGCGTAGAGAATGCGATAGGCTTCTGGTGGCCGTCGAGGTTGTTTCTAGTGGCAGTTTAGCATCAGCGGGTTGGGCTCTCCGGGAACGGATGACCGACATCCTCACATGGACGGGCAGCTCGAGCGCCGACGAGCTTGCGAAGGAGAAGGGCTCCATGGTACGCAGAAGGCGGGGATGTGGGGTGTGGGCGTTTGTCGAGCTGCCCAGCAGCCTAGCTGTGGGTGAGCATGGTGCACGGACCAGGCGGTGAGGAAGCTTGGCCCGATCCACTCCCGCGGGCCCACACCTGATCGCGTCGCGGTCGCGCCTTGTCCCATCAACGTCAGCAGCGCGTTGCCTCGTCTCGTCGCCTGAAATATCCCGCACCAACACTACAAATCGCCCTGATAGGCAGTCGCATCTTAGCGGCGCTTTCCGTGCGAGCTTTGAATCTTCGGCTGCGTGCATCACCGCGTTAGCCTCCAGGGCACAGCGCCCCTTCGCTCTTGTATCCTTCCAAGATCCTTGACGGCCATGGCACGATTAAACAACAGCGTCCCGGCGTCCACTCCCGACACCGAGTCTTCCATTTATCGCGATCGCACCCCAGACGACCGGCCGAGCGCGTCTTCAACGCGTCAGCGGGCCGCTCGTTCTTTCTCCGCCGTATCCTCACCTCTCGACGCGTCTAGCGATAAGGAAAATTATCCAAACGGACATTCCGCCCGCTTGGAGAAGGGCAAGGCGCCCATGCATCCACCATCCATACCCACCCCCACATCGGACAACAGCGAGACGCCACGTGCCAACAAGCGGAGGAGGCTGCAAGATCGCGAGACTTCGGTAGCAACGACAAACAATGGAGAGCCCGTCCCCGACCTCCAGTACTATGATCCCGACCAGAACCCCGAAGAGCGCCGCCAGCTGCGCCGGGACCTTCGGGCCCAAATGCGCGACTTCAATGGTTAGCCACATTGTCTTCAAGCGGACATTGAGACGAAGCTGACATCGGACAGATGACCGCGATTCGATTATGGCTGGTGACAACACCAAGCTCGTCCAGTACATTGAGAAATCCAACAGCTTGATGAACAGGGTAAAACAGACTGCTGATGCCGCCCTCGACGCCCGTTTCTTGGTGGCTGCCAGTGACTTGACTCTGAAAAAAACCACCGCTATGGTCATGGGAGCCAACTCTACGGGAATTGACCTAGATGAATTCGTGTCTAAGTGCATCCTGTTCATGCAGCACAATGGCTACGTGGATAATGATGACCCAGCTCATACTCAAGCCGCTTCCACGCAGGCGCACGCACGGAGACAAGCCAGGCGAGCCAACGTGGACAGTGACGACGAACAGGAAGATACGGGAGATGCCCTTGCATGGGACATTCTGGGCGAGCGTGCATGTTTTGGTAACAACCGTCGTCCTCCCGTGCCCGGCTTTTTGCTTGGACCGCTGTCAGTACAGAAGCGTGTCAGAGCCACTCAGACCCAAAGACGGGCTCGCCTGCGCCGAGACCCCCAGTCCGAGCGACGGCCCGAGTCGCTGGAAGCGGAAGATATTCAGCGACCGGAGAACTCTAACCTGGTCACGCTGGTCAAGAAGATTCGTGGTGAGCTCACTTCTGTGCTCGAACGCCGGATAGACGCAGTGGATGAAGAATTGAGCAACTATCCTGGTGAGCCGCCAGAGGATGTTATTGAGGATGTGAAGGAGAAGCACGGGATCACGCAAATTGGCGAAGAGGACCCGTCCATGTCGCTGTTCGAATTTGCCATCAATCCCCAGTCGTTCGGTCAAACTGTAGAGAACCTTTTCTACACCAGCTTTCTCATCCGTGAAGGCAGCGTAAGGGTAGGAAAAGACAAGCATGGTTTGCCTGTAATTTGTAAGTCCCTTTTGTTTTCACTGCGGGAGAGATGTTGACTTGCTTCAGGTCCCTCGGAATCGCGTGGGCTCAATGAGCAAGGCGCCAAGAACGTCTCGAGACATCAAGCTGTGTTCAGCATTGATTATCCCACGTGGCAGAAGCTCATCGAGGCGTTCGATCTTAGAGAACCCGTAATCGCTCACCGTCAAGAGGAGCAACCAACTCAAACCGTTCGCGGCTGGTACGGTTGATCGACACTCGACCGGCTCATCGTGCCTTGGACGAGTCAAGGTCGCCGGCGTGCAGAGTCGAATAGAGACTCACTGTACATATGCGTATCAAAATCTGCCCTTCCAATGTATGTCTGCCCTGGCACTCATGTCTTTGCCTTGGCTTTGGAGTTGGACATGTGTGGCTTCGATCAGCTGAATATGGGACCGAAACGGCGTCGGCAAGGTTGTGGGGTCTTTATGAACAAACTTCTTCTTTCTTTTTAACTTTTTGAGAGGAGACATGATTAATGTTACATTCAAACGCAAATCCACCATGGTTATGCAATCGCTGACCGCTTATGCTCAAGCATTCAATCTCAACTCCACATCACCATCATCGTCACGATTCCACCATCCTCTCACAGCACCAACCCCTCCAGTACGTCAGTCAACGTCCTCGCTTCCTTCTCCGCCATGCCATCCGCCCCCTCCTTCGCCTCCATCCCAATCCGATTATGCCACACGACCCGCATCCCGGCCGCATGCGCACCGGGCACGTCTGCCGCGCTCCCCGCTACAAAAAGCACCTCGTCCGCGCTCACGCCCAGCCGCTCCAGCGCCGCTGCGTACGCGCCGCGGGCCGGCTTGTACCACCCACTCTCCTCAGCCGTCACGACAACGTCAAAGACACTCGCCGCCCCCTTCTTCCCCTCCACCACGCCATCGAACAACCCCGCCGCCCCGTGGCCCAGCTCCTTCGAACAGTTCGTCGCCACGCCGAGCGCGTACCCGGCTGCCTTCAGCCGGCGCAGCGCGTCGGCCGCCTCGGGCCACGGCGCGAGCCAGGCGGTGTAGTTGGCGAGGAGGTGTTCTGCGGTGCGTGGAGGTAGGCCGGGCGTCTGCGCGGCGGCGTCGCGGACGAGCGACGCGTAGGGGACGTACTGGCCCGCGTTGTAGGTGAGGATGAGGTAGTTGTGGCGCCAGAGGCGGCCGAGGGTGGCGGGGTCAGCGGCGGGGGTGTTTGGGGTGGAGGACGAGGGGGAGGAGGGGGATTCTTCTTCCAGGGCGGTGGCGGCGGCGCGGTCCCAGGCGGTCCAGCTGTCGATGATGGCGGTGAGGAGGTCGAAGATTATGGCTTTGGGTTTTGGTTTGGGGGTAGGTGTGGGGGCGGAGTTTGGGGCTGTTGTGGTGGACATGGCTGAGGTGAGGTGGGTTGTGTGAGGTGATTGAGGAAGGAATTGATGAGTTGAAAGCACTTGTGGTAGCTCTTCATATAGTGTTTTCAGATGACTGTGACTGTGACGAGGTGAGGTCGTGCTGCGGATAAATACAAAGCACGCTTAGTGCTGACTGGTCCATTGGGATACCCGCTTCGTCGAATTGCCGAGCACTGCAAGGAATTCGGGAAAAGTAGGAATCGGTACCGCGCTGCCATTGCCGTGCACCATGGACTTATGTAATGTAATGCTCTTTTTTGGTGCTCGTGATGTTGTCTTTGTCCAGGACAAAGTTCGCAGTGCGCTTACCCGGCGTTGCTCTCGGCCACGACTTCCAGCACGCGCTCTGTTCGCCCCGCTATATAGGCAGGAGCGAGTCATCCGATGTCCACGCCCCGTTCGCTTTCCTCTCAAGCTTCCCTTCCACCCAATTTCCCACTACACCAAGTCCAGAGTCTGCTACTGAGTCCTTATCACATCCAGATCTTATCCATACCACGTTGTCGCCTTCACCTTTCGCCGCCACCGTATGGGATCATGGCATCCAGGAGGATCGTCGACGACGACCCTACGGTAGACCTCAAGAAGGGCATGCTTGATCACTTCAATCGTGGTCTGCGAAAAGATGCATCCACAGATGTCATAGTATTCTGCGGAGGCCATGCATTCCATGTGCACCGAAATATCCTGACCTGGCAATGCAAATTCTTTAGAAACGCATTCAATCCTGCTCTCGGCTTCAAGGTATATGTTCCTCGTTAACTTGAACAGAACCGCGCCCTAAGGAGTCTACTAGGAAGCCATATCTGGAGAGATTGAGATGAATGATGATTACCACGACAACGTCTTCGCCCTTCTCGAGTACCTCTACACCTACGACTACAAGGTGGTATTGTACGGCGAAGAACGTGGCCCAGTAGCCGAATTGCGTTTCCATGTCAGAATCTACGCCACTGGAGACCGCTATGACGTCCCAAAGCTCAAGAGCCTCGCACTGGCAAAGTTCAAGAATACTCTGGAGCACTCGCGGATCCACGAGGTGGAGGACACTTTCTACAAAGTGTTGAGGGACATCTACAAAACGACGCCAGATACTGACCGTAGCCTTCGAGATATCGTGCTTCAGTTCTGCGCAAGCCATAGTAACATAGTGCTTGGGAAGCGGAAGTTTGTGAAGACGATGGATAAAATCCCTGGATCCTGGAAAGAAGTATGCCGGAACATACTGGAGGTCGTGAATGAGGACCCCAAGCTCTATAAATGCTCCAACTGTGGACTCAGCGACGAGTGTTGTTCAGCATGTGAGCCTTTTTGCAACAACTGCGGGAGGGTATTTTCGTCTGAGGATATTGTGGTGGACTCTGATGAGGATTCCGACTCCTCTTTTGAGGGCCTTATCAATCACAGCCAGACTCAAAGTGCGGATCAGCACATTGCACGACCGCGTGGCGGTGCTGGCCGCGCACAGGATATGGCACCCCCGCCCACCTCGACCACAGCTCACCAAGAGCTCACACTCCGGGAGGCGTCGGGCCAATCATCGTTGGAAGACCGTCTTCGGAAGAGAAGGCTTGTCGAGAGTAACACAGACAACGGAGATTTACTTTAGTCAGGAAGCCCAACAAACAAGAGAAGGCAGACATGACCGGTCGATACAGACGAAAGTGAGTGGAGCGATGTTTGGTATCTCATTCTTGAAATATCATAGAGGAAACACCATTTTGCACCTCCATCTGAGTGATTGGCATCGGAAGCAAGGCTCGCGGTTAATCTGCTTACTAAGCGGGAGCAGGCCGGGGGGTTGCTTATCACCCTGTCACCTACCACACCGCTTATGCGGGAAGGTACGGAGAAATAGTTCTACCGTATCGTTACCGCCCATCGTTCTGGATGTATGGCGTTTCACAGTGACACACATTCACTCACTTGCTTTCTACTCAAATTCCTGCTGCCTAGCGAGGCTGATCTCTGAGACGTCCAGCACTCAATACCTATCCACGACGGTGACACAAAGCTTAAACAGCAAACATGCAGCTCGAGCCAGATCTTCACATAACTCGCGCGAACCCACACTATACCCACGCGCCAGAGTCCTTATTACTTGGCCTGGAGAAGTGAGTGTATTGTCCTGATCGCTCACCCACCACTCGGCGATTCATATCGCTGGTTGACGATGCACCAAACAGCCACGTCCGTAACCACTTTCCAAAAAGCTTCTTGACGGATCTCGTCATTAGATGCAACGGAACCGAGTTCAATGTACACAAGAACATAGTCTGCTGGCAATGCGATTTCTTCAAAACCGCTCTGGACCCAAAGAACGGTTTCAAGGTGAGTCTACTTTGACGACGCGAAAAGGCTTCTCTAACTCTTGGGCCAGGAATCCACCACTGGTGTAATTCACATGGATGACGAACCTGCCATTCCGGTCCAACTCATGCTTCAATTCCTCTACACAAAACAGTACAACCCCGTTCTCAAGTCCGGAGACTGCGACTCCGCTTTCGACCGCGTGAACTTTCAAATGGAAATGTACGCGTTCGCCGAGAAATACCAAGTCAAAGAATTATATAGCCTCGTCGCCCGCCACTTCGCCGTCGCTGTAGAGTCGATCAACCTGCGCGATCCCGCGCGCTTCCGCGAGCACGCCGTCGACCTCATCCACGCCGTCTACACATCGACCGGCCGCAGCGCAGACCACCTGCGCGACGTCGTCACCGCCACCATCTTCCAGCGAAACCCGCACCGCCTCTCCCTGCTCCACAGCATCGAATTCGTCGCGCTCGCCGACTCGAAGCCCGAGATCTGGAAGGACTTCCTGCTCGGCGTGCTCGGCCTGGTCCCTCCGAGTTCCGCCTCGCCGTGCAGCTACAGGGCCTCGCCCTACGCGCTCCTCGACCAGGACCGCCTGAAGTTCTTCTGCCAGGACGTCCCGACGAACCGCCGCTTCTGGACGAGGAGGGTGCTCGGGCTGACCCGCCCGGGGATGAATGAGAAGGAGACGCCTGCTGTCCTGTGTTCGCCGGTGCTCGTCCACAAGATGAACGAACTGAGGCGGTGCACCAATGCGCCGGCGTTCTGGAAGAGGTGGGTTCGTGCGCTGCTGGGCGTGCAGTGCAACCCCAAGCTGTATCGGTGCAGGGATGGATGCGGAGAGGTGTTTGAGTGGGCGTTGCCGACGAACGCAGCGAGGGACACGGGATGGCCGTGTAGGAAGTGTTTGAAGGTCAAGAAGACGGTTGATGAGTGGGAGGACTGTGCGGAGGTTGCAGGCGAAGATGGTACCGCTGCGGATGATCAGGGCAATCAAGAAGTGGAGATTATCGCGGCGAACCGACTGGAGGACTGTGCAACAATACTTCACGATTGTGACGTCAAACGTACTCAAAAGAGGAAGGAACCACCCACGAATGCCTTGTACGATGGGTCAGAGCCCTGCAGTGATGACGATCCTCCTCAGGAACCATTGCCGGCGGCCAAGAAGCCTCGCTTCCATAATCTCAGCTGGGCTCCAGTGGAAGAATTTTACCGATTCGGGGATTGAAGTGGAAGATCTCCTTTGCATCGTAGGGCCGGGATGTCTGAATTGTCTGTCTCAGAGGATAATTGTATTAATTACGTGTGAGAAGCAGGAGACTGTGGGACAGCTATCCCTGACGATGCTGTGAGAGGTGGCGGTGGGGCGCAGAAAGGCTGAACAGCTCTGCAGTGCAACCGCAACCACAAACAATGTAGAAGAGCTACAAGGCTGTTCGAAGGCCTGTTTACTTGAACTAGATGATGAGAAAATAAATCAAGGCGGAATTAGCTACTGCATATTTGAGGATTAAGTAACTGCTCAGGCTCCTTACGGAAAGAAAGTGACAGCATTTTTGCGATTCTAAACAGTAGACGGGCCGAGGGGCACAAAGCATCTGATCCTTCTGTGCTCTTGTATTATACACTCACGTCATGTGTCACATCTGGAAGTTCTCTCCGAACCATCGAGATGTAAATCAAATTCAGGCCGACAGTAGTCGCACAAGCTGTTGGAAGCAGGATCCAAATTTGGATGCCTGCCAACCCAATTCACACCATGCTGAAGGCAGGGCTGCAGCCTTGCAGTGGTGTTACAAATCTATGGTTCTGCCTATTTGTGTGTACCGTTGTACGTGGACATAGCCCCAGAAATAGTATTGTTTCTCAAGTGTAACCACTATTCAGCCTCCGCAAGTAATGTCCACGATAAATGAATCCTCATTGCTGAACCCGCCGAAATTCCTCAGTCTGTTCACTCTATCATCTTGTCTCTCCACACCATGAGTCCTAGTGGAAGAAACTCTTCCGCAATCCCGAAATGGGTTGTCAACCAGGATGCAACTGCCCGCAGGATGTCTTTGATTGGCTTGGTTTTTTCTTTTCTGGTTGTTTTATCATGCATCGTATACCATCTGTCGCCGGCCAATCACCAGCTTAGTGATTATGCGCATAGCTTTTATATACCGAAAAACGCGAAATACCTCATCCCTCTCGCCATAAACGGAATCATCACCCTCTGTACCGAGTGCCTAGGATTCATCCACAGCGTTTCCCTCAAGTGGGCCTTATTTTCGGAAGGATCACTTCAATACAACACGAATCTCAGGCTTTTCACTATTTCCAGACGCTCCTGGGCTAATGGTCGTATTTGCAACATTGTCTATCTTCTCGGACTTTACGCCGCGACACCTGCGATCATTTACGAAGCTGAAGATTTCGAAGGCAAAACGCTATTCATCATTTCAGGAGCTGGGTTTACATTTTTGGAATCAGGGCTTCTTATCATGTGAATATTGAGTCTTTGGTCCTTCCTGAATGCCCGCGGTGCTCCAACTTGGAGTTCTCATCCCCTGAATACTACCGCTGCTGCCACGGCGCTGGATCCGGATTTCAGGCACGAAGAATGTTGCATGCGCTCTGTCCATGACGAGCAGGACACAATAGCGCTCAAACCGAAAAGTTCCCAAGGATCAGCATACGATTCACACCGACAAGTTGCAATTGTCCTGTGGGCAGAGCATTTTATCTTCGCTTGCTTCATCATCTGGACATCTATTGCATTCGCAATCAGCGAAATAAGCGAAAACGACTGGTCCTTCATCCCCACACAATATGACACTCAGAGGTCTAGTTGGTCATATGGCGCACCTCACATAGCCATTAAGCTCCTGGGTTCTTCCGAAGACATATTGAATGTGGACCCCATGTGGGCTCAAGTACCTTTCCTGATGCTCATTCAGTCTATCGTCACAATTGGAATGCACTGTGCTGAGCTACTTGTTACAATATCCCGCGATGAGGCAGCTTGGAGGGCTGTTTATACTGAAAATGGCTCCACAAACAACCGCACGAGCGCGATTCTTGCACTATTCAATTAGGAAACGCTTACTTTGACTCTATTGAAGCCTTTTGTTCACTGGGTTTTTGGTTTGGCGGTTGTAATGACCGTAGACGGGGTATTCATAATGTGTCCTCAGCTTGTATATCTTACGTCCACATGGGCAGTTCTTCTTATTTTCATTGGCTACATCGCATTCAGAAAGCCGAGAGGACCACTACCGGCAACTTATGGCCACCTACAAACCCTTACAAACCTTGTTGACGAATGGCACAAGGTCATGTTCTGGGGGCACAAGAGCGAGGCTGAGAACGGTATCTGTCATGCTGGTACCTCTGACAAACCTCTTCCAGAAGTGAGGATGGACGCATTTTACAAGGGAGCAGCTTAGTGTTTCTTATTATACCGGCCCCTTGCAAGGGCTCGAGAGTCACTCCTTTTTCTGAAAATGCAGACCCAAAATATTTTGGGTCTGCATTTTCAGAGTCCAAATGAATGACCAGGCACAATTGAAATCATGATCTCATATCTGATTATTCTCAACTATGCAGGAAAACCGCACAATAATCCCACCCAATTCTAACCCTTTAAGTAGCACCGCTCCCATCGATGAAAGCAAGTGTATGCATAAGCAGCAGCAGCCCGTAGTTAAGCCTGCCAGGAACCTCCTTTGAAATAGGACCCCCGCAAACCCCCTGACCCCAACCTCCTCTCCCACCCCCCTCACACATTCCTCGGGCCCCCCAAAGTCACCTCCTCGACCCACACCGTCACCTCCACCGTCTTCCCCTCCTCGCTCCCTCCGTCGGACGGCTCCACTTCCACAGTCGCCTCGAAGGCGCCACCTTCTTCCTCCAACTCTTCCACCTTCGCACTGATTTCCCTCTGCATCTGCTTCCTCTGCTCCACCACATCGATGTGGTATTTGTTCTTCCGCGGTGCACAGGCCTCCAGCAGTGCGGCCGCGGCTTCGCGGTTGGCGGCGTCGAGGACGGTAAAGGCGCCGAGGATGCGGATGTTGCGTGTGGTAGTGGTGGCGGTGGTGGTGGCGACGGGGGTGGGGACGGGGGCGGCGGCGGCAGTGGTGGGGAGAGACTCGGCTGTGAGGTTGGGTTGTTGTTGTTCTTGGTCCTGTTCTTGAGGCGAAGAAGAAGTCTGAGGTGGTGAGAGCTCCTGCTGGTTCATTGCTTCTTCAAACAGAAAGTCGAAGTCCGCGTCGTCGGGGGCGGCGGTATCTCCTCCATTCTCATCCTTGTTGTTTTCGTTGTTGTTCTTCTCATCATTATCGTCGTCGTCGTCGTCATCCTCGTCCTCGTCCTTGTTGTTATTATTGTTGGACGGCGGTGGCGTGGAGGGAACCACGACCGGAACAGCCACAGTGGACGTGACGGTATGCACCTCCTTCGCGCAAGCAATCCACTGACGCTTCGACAGCCACGCGTTCCCAGCAACCGTGACCTCCGGCTTCGCCGCGCCCGGCGCACGCAGCGAGCGGGTGACGTCAACGCGGACCATGATTCCGCCCTCGTGCGAGACATAGTAGTGATGCATGCCGTCGGCGTCGGTAGTGCACGAGAAGCTGGAGCAGGTGATGCTGATGCCCGGCACGCCGAAGCGGCTGAGCTGGATCTCCTTGCCGGCGGCGGTGTTGGCCTCGCGGAGCGTGTTGTACGCCGGCGGCCCGACGGCGTAGGTGGGCACGTTGTCTTCGCGTTCGTCCGTCGTCCAGGCCTTGCGGGTGACGTGGTACTGGAACCAGACTTCGTTCTCGTCCAGCGGCTCCGGCTCGACGATGGTGCGGGTGACGGTCCGCGGTTTGCGGGGTGGTGCGAGTGCTTCGCCTTCGTCGTCGCTGTCGTCGTCGTCTTCGGATGCGTTCGATGACCCCTCGCCGTCTGTAAAGTAATCGGCCAAAGCTTGCTTGTTGGCCATGTACTCCTCGTAGGCGTTGTGGTCCCACTTCTTGCCGCCTAGCCGCGGAGGTTGTTGCTCCTCCGGTTCGTCTTTGTCGTTTTCTGCTGCATTAGCTGCCACGAGCGCAGGTAAGCCGATGAGATTATTGTCATCCTTCTTCCTTTCAGCCTGCTCTTTCAGTTCTGGCCAGCGTTCCCTGATACGCTTTAGACGATACTGCAGTGATGGGACGGTGAACTTCTTGCCGGTGTGAGCAGCGAACAATATGCGAATGTCTTCCCACTTAACACCCATTTCTCTCCAGAAGTGAATGCGCTTGTCTTCATCTTCATCTAGTACCGACATAGGTGTTTTCGGCGTCTTATCGATGCAAAGTGGGCCGAAGTCCGCGGATTCTGAATCGTTTAAGACAGCTGCTGGTCTCCGAGGAGTATCCACTGCCTTTTTACTCTTCTTCTTCGACGTCTTTGGAGGAATGAGCTCACTCTCAGGAGGCAGAGGCCCTGAAGTTGGTCTTCGCTGGGCCTGAGATGTACCTTGGTTTTTCGACTTTGTTGTCGGTAAGAAGGCACTGCTCTTTGGCCTACCAACCGGTCTGGAACCAACGCCATCCATCCCCGAAGACTTGCTAGAGGACGATAAATGCTTCTTTAGCGGCCCATTTGCAAGAGCCTTTTCCCTTCTGGCAGCATTGCGCTGTGCAATCTCGCGCGCGCTACCAACTGGGGGCGTCCTTGTATTTAACCGATCGTCTTCTTGCTGCTTTGCAGAGTCCTTTGTCACATTTGCAAGGAGAGACTGTAGGTTGTCGGCCTTCTTTTGCACATCGTCATTGGCGTCTTGTTGAGTTTGAGTGGTGGGGTCATTTAGAGGTAAAGAATCGCCGGTGGTTTCCTGGACCCCTTCGACTGTTTGATTGACGCTTTCTGTTCTGGTGGATGGGCCTTGCTGAGTGAGGTCCGCACCTGGAACTTTGTTAGTTTTACAATGCGCAATTAGGAATATGAAACCTAGAGACAATCACAGCCCATGTGCCTGCGTGGTCTGCGATTAAATGACAGCCCAAGTTCTCGCGTGGTCTGTGATTGTCTCTGGGATGAAATTGCGGCCTGGATTTTACCGCCATAATCGCGGACCCTGCAGGCGAGTGGGCTGTGATTGTCTCATAAAATCCAGCCCGCAATGCAAGGCAAACCACAAAATAGAACAACATACCCTCGGTCCCACCAACCCCCTCAGTCTGGTCCTCCTGCATACCGCTCTCCTCCTGGAACTCCTGCTCTGCCACTCCACCAGACGGCTCGTTGAAGAGATCATCCAAGCCATCGTCTTCGGCGTCGGCTTCAGCATTGCCTAGCATTTCGGCATCCATCTCGAACTCTTCAGCAGCCTGTTCAAGACCACCAGCCGGTCCTCCAATGCCTTCGTCCTCGCTCTCTTCCACGAACTCATTACTCTTGACTTTCCCCTCCTCGCCTACCTTCTGCTTGGTGCTCCTTTTCACCGCTTTCTTCTTCCCCTCTCCAGCCTTCTTCTTCTTCTTGGGCTTTCCTTCTCCGCCCTCATCGGCAACGCCGCCGCCACCACCACCAGCCATCCTCATCTCCTTTTCTCTCTCCTCCCGCAGCCTCGCCTCATGGTAAGCAATCCGTTTCCTCCGCAGGTCACGGTCCTTCTTCTCTTTCTCTTTCTTTTTCTCCTCCTCGATCCACGCCGCCACATCCTCCCTCTCGACCTCGCTGCCAGACGACTCCGCGTCATCATCGTCGTCGCGGGTCTTCTCCCCACCAGCACCGGCATCGCTTCCTACAGCTTGAGGCTGTTTGTAGCGCGAGGGCGCAGGAGAAGAAGCATCTTCGCTCTTCTTCTGGTCATCGAATGCAGCCATCGCTTGCTTCCATGCCGATTGCTCTTCTTTGGTCTCTTTTATCTTCTGATCAGCAGCAGCAACGGAGTCTTGCGTCTTCGTCATTCCCTGCTTTTTGAGAAGCTTCTTGATCATCGCCGCATTGCTGGTCTTTTCCCGGCGCGCTGTCGTCTTCGGTGGAGGCATCTGGCTGTGCTGGCTTGACGCGATCGTTGCTGCGGTTGGCGGCGGGAGACGAGAAGAAGAAGAAGAAGAAGAAGAAGAAGAGAAATGAGATTCAGATGCAGCCTCAGGCACGGTTTGCTTCGAAGGTTTCTGGCTCCCGACGGCACCTTCTTTGCCAACTTCACTGCCGCTTTCGCTGCTTGATCCCGCACTGGAAATACTGACAGCATCTGGCGCCGTGCGTCTGGTCCCCGATGGCGACGGTGGTGGGATCGCTTGAGATGACTTGGATGGAAATTGCTGCGAACCCGGTGCCGCTAATGGAGGAAGTTTGAGCACACGCGGCGTCGCAGGCCTTTGCTTAGCTGTGAGTGCTCTTCTGAAGGGAGAAGCGGATGAGTCGATCCTGGTGTACTCTTCCTTGGTGTTCGACTCGCGAATCCGCCGCGCGGCTTCCTGCATGAGCTGACGGGCGTTGAGCTTAAGCGGCTTGACTGAGTGATTGGTGTTGCTTGCGGATGTTGAGGCAAGACTCTCCTCTCGAGATTGGCAATAGGAAGCTTGGTTAGACTCTGAAGGTGGTCCTTCGCGAAGGTCCAGCATATCCACGTCACTATCAGCTCTGCGAGGAACGTGCTTCTCTCGCGCTCGCTCGCGGAGGGCTTGGCTGGCCGAGATTCCAGATGGTGCCCACTTGCTCTCGTTGTTTGACTGCGCCAGGATGTTGCTCTTACTCTTTGAAGATTCTTTCTGACCGTACCCCGTGGCTTCGTGAGTCGTCTTCGATGCGACGTTTCGAGGTAGAGGCCAAGCTTCATCTTCCGAGTCTTCATCCATGAAGGCTTGTAAGGGTTGAGTGGACGGAGCAGTAAGATAGGTGTGCTTCACAAGCGAAGAGCTCTTTCCGTACTGACTCTCTGGGCTGCATCGTTGATATCCGGATGGGTTGTGGCTATTGCTTGAGTCAAGCCGATCGTTGTACCCATTGGGTTGTCGACGCTGACGCTTCACTTGTGTCGCAAACGTACGTTCATCTTGGGAGTGATAGTGGGGCTCTGGACTTCTCAGGCGCTTCTGAGAAAGCCTAGCACCTAGCAGTGCCCCCTTGCCATTCTGCATCAAGCCTTGCTTGTCTCTGTAGTCGTACGCAAGAGGTGAAACATTCTGCTCGTCATCTCGGTGCTTTCGGCTTCGTGACTGGCCTCTATCGCTCCTGGACTGGTAGTCCATATCAGTGGCGTATCCACGGTCATGAACATGACGGTGATTGGCGCTGCCCCGAATGAAGTCGTCCCGATCACGCTGTCTGGGCTGATGGTGTTTGTAAAGTTTCTCCTCATCCGAGTCATCGCTGCATAAGTCGATTACGTCCGCTTTCTTAGATTGTGAGGCGGAAGCGAACTCCTGGCGGGAGAAATCCTCAAATGTTTTGAACCTTTGAGAATCTCTGCCTGGGCGATGTCCATTGCTCCGAGGGCGGTCTGGCTCCGACAAGTACCCCCCTCCTACAGGGGCATGTTTGGTACGCATGCGATCATCATATCCTCGCATGTAGTGTGAACCTTCATTGTGATTCCGTTCGCTCGCACGTCCAATGAGCTGTGAGGGTGATGGGAGAGAGTAGTCGGATTCCTCGCTAAGGCTACTTTCGCTTTGAACTGATTCCTCTGACGTGCTTTCCGAACGTCCGCCATAATAGGCGTAGCGCTGTCCAGAGGTTGGGGGTGTCATGCCGTTCATTGGGAAGTTTGCCTCTGGTGACAAGTCTTTGAAGTGCACCTTACGGTGGCTCGACTTCTCACCACGGTGATATTGATCCATGGTTAGGCGTTCTCTTGGCCGCTTTGGATGACGAGTGTCAACGTTGCGTGGACGTCTTTGAAAATGCTCTGCTTGTGTGGCTGGGCGCACTACTCGGATGGGTTGGTGGCGTCGTTCATGGTGACTGCGGTGTCGGGTCGGACGCTGGCTGTGGCTTCCTTCTTTGGCACTGACTTCTCCCACAGACCTTTGCTGATGGCGCGACTTGGATCTAGGCTTGCGCCTCGAATGGCGAGAGTTGGTTGAGTGCTCAAAGTCCATACCTAATCCGAACAGGTAGGTTTGTATGTGGAGTGGAAAATCAAGGGTCCAAGGGTCCACGTGGTATAGAAGGTAAGTGCGGGTGCAGTTAAAGCCGAGGTGAGCGTGACCCAGCGAATTTTGCAAAGGCTGGATGATTTCCCTCGCAGCAATAGAGGCTTGGCAGATGGTTCATAAAAAATGACAGGACACCCGCACTCGACAGCTGAACCCCCGGAGAAGCCTGCAAACATAACAAGTCTGAGATGAGTTACTGAATAATTGCGACCTCAATCGGTTAATAAAAGCCACAATCTCTTCTCTCTTCTAAATCTCTTACTGATATTTGCCAATCCACTAGACTTTACAATCTGGGATCTGTGCTGAGAACTTGTAGTTCAAATGCCAAGTTTGTCAGTGCCGCGAGAGTACGGAGACAAAGACAAGCTTGCTCTTAGCGGAGGGATCCCTAGATTTTCGTGGCCGTATCAGTACTATCCTTCCCCGATTGTCGAACAAGAAATCTGCGGAGCGAGGAGATGAACTGCAGAAAGACAAGCATATACTTACTCACACAGAATTTGTTGAGCAGTCAGCTTGAGAAGACAGAATCCTCAGTATCCCAGCTTTTTCGCTCACGTCGGTAAGCACCACTTTTGCGACTTGAGCGCCGCAACTCCCCAAAGCGCGGTCCGCCGCAGAGTCGAGGGAAGCAGAAGCCTAACGCTCGAACTGTGACATACGCACTCAGAGTTCCGACGGCGCAGCTCGTTTCAGATCGGTGAGAAAGGTCGAAGGTCGAATTTGGGGCACTAACTCTGAGATGTGTTGGTCCTGTGTGGCGGGATGTGTGTAAAGGTCGATTCTGGAGGCAGATGACGGCGCAAAGGGACCGTGCAGCACAATAGTACGTCATGTGCGTGGCTGCCACGAGGTGTATTGCAGGCCCAACAATGACAATGGCCATTGCTGAGCTTTTGGGCTGAGCAGCGCTGCAGGATATGTTGGAGACCCCCGCCGAGTATGCCAAAGCTGCATCGAGGCGAACAAAAAGCCAATTGCGGATCTGTGAACGTGGTCATTGATACGGATGTCTAGAAGCTCTCTCCATTGCTTGCGCTTATGAATTGGGTAGTGGATGCCCTGTGCAACTGTTCCCCGGGGATTCCAGGTTGAGATGAGTGAATTGCGGATCTGTAAATGTGGATTTCGAGGGCGTTTCGTCTCTGCAAAGTTTTTCCCTTGTCTGAAAACCTGTGAACCGAGTAGTCTTGCTCTTCGCGGCAAACCAGGCTCACCAAATCGACACTTTTGGGCCACGGGCAAATCGTGGAGCAGCACACTCACCTGAAACCCTATCATCTGACAACTTGATCAGTGATATAAAATCCACACTCACGCGTGCAACACTATGTTCTTACAATAATTACACATCGTGAGATCTTTCGTATGGCCTTGAGAGAAGCCTTCTACCTGCCGACCCACTCTTTCCTCTTCCACCCGACACTTCCCCCTATCAAGGCGAAAATACTAGCAACATCTCTTCATCGTACGTTAGCACTAATGATGCTGAGCAGCAGCAACAGTCTATAATGCTAAAACTGTCTTGAACACTAGTGCAGCGCGATACGAAGCACTAGAGCGGAAACCCCAGACGGGCATCGGTGTGAATACCTGAGTGAGCAATATGTGGTTAATACATCTTCCATCTAATGAAATGTGCAGCATGCTAATGATGAGGCACCACATTTTCCATAATACGTGTAATGGATGACTGAGCTTTGATGAGGAAGTTTTCTCACGCAGGATTAGGCGAGACAGACCATGCGCAAGCACATCCCCGCGGACAGAAGTCAGGGGATTCGTAAGCATTGGGAGTAAGAAAGCCCACATAAATTGTTCCATATCCACCGTCACGATGAATAGTAGAGAAGAAGAGAAACGAGCACTTACAGGAGAGACTTTATTATAAACTGTCGGAATGGTAATTACTCATGCGTCACCTGGACACCTAACCCCAACGCCCGCATGCTTCCCTCGAAGAAAACTCACTGAAACCCATGACCTCACAACATCTAGGACGTCGCTCTATCCCTCGAGCTCCCCCATCTTCCGGTCTACCCTCTCTTCCTCCATCTCCTCTAGTGTCCACCCGTCGTCGGCAGACCCAAGTACACCTTGAAACTGTCGTAGATGAGCCACTGGAAAGCCGTAAGAGTACCGATCATGACAATGCGCACGGGCAAGCCGTTCCACAAGCCAGAGAATCCAATGTTGCCGTAGATGCGGGACATGGCGGCAGCGGCGCTCTCGCCGGCCTTGCGGTCACTGTTGAGCTTCGAGACCATGACGTCTGTTTCGCATTTGCATTAGCTCTCACCGTACGTGTGTGATCCAGGGGAAGGGGAAAGCGACGTACCTGCAGGATGCGAGACAACAGCGCACCCGATACCCGCGATGTAGCCGCCCAAGAAGCTCACGCCCGTTTGCTGCAGACCGTTGTACGCCTCCTTGGGCTTGCCGAGCTGCTTGTAAATCTGCTCGACCGCCTTCTCGAACGTCGCGAACTTGACCATCTGCGAAACAAGACCCACCCGTCAGTATTCACAATGCCCCCTGATAATGACAGCAGCAAAAAAAGACCCAAAACTAACCGTGTAAGGAATCTGCCTCCCCCAAAGCGGCACCAGCCCCTTATACAACCCAGCCACGCCCTCCTTCGCCACGACCTTCTTCACACCCTCCCTCATATTCGGCGCGTACGGCGGCAGCGTCGTCTGCATGCGCACCTTGACCGCTTCCCACGGACACAGGGCCATGTCGGCCAGGAACTCTGCGCTGGCGCTGGCGCCGAGGTACACGACCGTCTTGTTGGCATTGGGGAACCACTTCTCGCCGTACAGGTACTTGAAGACCTCGTAGAAGCCGTACTTGCCCGCGCCCTGGAAGCTGTACCCCACGAACGTCGGCGACCACCCGAAGAAGACGCCGCGCAGACCTTCCTTAGCGAAGATGGAGCGCCACGCGCTGATGTTGGACGAGTAGATTTTCGGGTCCACCTGGCGCCGGCATTTGACCAGGTCGAGGGGCGTGACGGCGGTGTGTGTGGGGCCGCATGCTGTAAGAGAGAGCGGTTGCTTTGTTAGCCTCTTGGACTTGGTCCTCTTGCGCGATACATGTGTGGAGGTAGTAGAAAATGCTGGATGTGGCTAGGATTGGATACTTGACGGCGTAAGCCGATTGGATGAAGGGTGGAACAAGCTTCTGGTAGTGTGCAAGGTAATTGTCAAAGCGCGCTTGGTAAGGCGCAAGCGGTGTCTTTGTCAGATGCATAAGTGGGAGCTTACCGATGACGCCGCCCAACGTGCAAGCGGCGAAGTAAGTGCCGGAGAAGAGCTCAATCTTCTTCTGCGCAGCAGCGCTGGGGTCAAGCTTTGATGCCATTTTCGTGATTTCAACAATAATAAAGTGGGTGGTTGTGAAGGAATATATCCGTGGCAGTAGAGTTTGGCGAATGGACCAGCCGAAGCAAGGGCAAGGAAGCAATGATAAAGCAAACCAAAACGTCAAACAGCAGGAACGCCGTCGGTAGTGTCTCGCAGCAGCAGTCGCGGCCGGAGAAGGAGCAGAGCGCTTTTATCAATTTCGCGCCAGCGCATGTTGTGTTCCGTAGATTCCGCAGGGCAGAGACGCAACCGATGACGTCGGCGTGAAATCGACGCGGCCGGGTTGGGAACGCGGTACCTTGATGCGCATCATCGGCCTCCACACATTTGCGCGGCTCGCCCTCGGCCGGCTCGCGCCTTGCTCGGCTCCGGTTTTTGCCCTTATCGGCTGGAGTGCCCGCTGCTATCTGTCTATCGCGCCCGGAGGCATCGCCGCGGTTGCATCCGTAGCCCACCCGTTGCCTTCCGCGCCCACACTCAACGCGGTTATCACGGGCCGCGAGGCTTTTTTCACAACGATCACCGTGCGGAAGCTCCGTTCAAGCGCTTAGCCATTAGTCTACTACACTACAGAAAATTCTCAGCGGAGATAAAGAAGAAGCGAACATCGTACGAAGCGATGAACAGACATTGATTTTCTGGACTTATAGACGACCGACGCCGTAAAAAGCTCAGTTCTGAGACGGTGGGAAAGAGCCGGAAGAAATGTCAAAAGTGAAGATCCAATGCAGTGGTTCGAAAGAAAAATGAAGGCAAGACCTACATTGACCAAAGAGACTCTCATCGTCATGATGGAGAACGGTTCATTTGTCTGCTCCGGGGAATATGAGAGACGAGAGAAGACAAGAAAACAAAATAAATGATTGAGAGACAATCAACTCCAAACATGCCCACCTGTCCATCTTTCTCATCTCGTCAAGGATGAGTGATTTCGCTCGCCAGAAAGGAATAAAGAATAAAGGTTCGTTCCGTGCCAATACCCGTGGTCGTCAAATAAGTTTCCGGATGTTGAAGTATAAAAAAGACCCAGTTCCCTCCAAGTTGAACACGCCAGGAATGCCAGGGATGAGACCGCCCGTACTCCTTGAGAACTCAAAGAAATACCCGCACTCGGGCCGAGTATGAGGTACACAATCGCAGCTACTTTTGTGGGTGGCGATGAATCACGATACTGTGCTGGAATTATTTATGCCGCTCCTGCGTCTGCCATCGGAACGTCCGTCGGGTCTGCTGCCATGATTGCCGGTGTTGATTGGCGGTATTCTGGGGCGCTGAGCGGGCTGCTGGATCTGCAATCGTCCACGTCGTCATCTGGAGGCGAAAAGTCCCAAACCTGCGCATGTTAGTATCTCGCTCCGCTTGGATGCCATCTTTAGTCGGATTACTCACCTCCATGACGGTCTTACCCCCTCTACTGGCCATGATCACTGCTTTCTCCTCTTCAAAGACAACCCTCCACACAGCCTCCGCTGGCTGACTAAGCTCACGCACAAGAGTGCCCTTCCTCAAATCCCACACCTTGACACGACCATCACTGCCGCCAGAGACAATTCTAGTGTCGTCAAACTGAAGGCTTGTTACGCTGTTGTCGTGTGCTGCGAGACGGTGGATGGGTTGATACTCGTTGAGGGACCAGACGCGCACGGATCCGTCAGAGCCACCGGTCACGAGAACGTCGCCCCGCATCTGCAGCTGGCCAACAAGGGAGGTGTGGCCCTGCAGGAGACCCAGGCAGCGGCTACCATCTTCGTCAGTTCAAATCATCAAAGGACCGTGAGGCTAAACATACCCGTCGTTGGGATCCCATATCCTAACGCTGGTGTCGAGGCTGCCGGTTGCTATCCTCTTTCCATCAAATGCAATGGCGTAAATCTGGCTGAAATGGCCTGTAAGTGTTCTTAGACACCTGCCCTCCGAAATGCTCCAGATGCGGGCGGTCGTGTCGTAGCTTCCAGAGACAACCAAATCTCCGTGGATCTCCAAGCAGCGCACGCTGGCCTGGTGGCCGATGAGAACGTGCTTGCAGATGCCTCTCTCGATATCCCAAATACGAAGCGTAGTATCTCTTGATCCAGAGATGGCCGTCTTCTCATCCGACATCTTCAAGCATCTCACGGTCGACGTGTGTCCGCGCAGGGTATGGACCGCGGCACTAATCGAAATTAGCCAATATTCCAACCAAGGTACCCCCGCACCTCAAGAATGTGAAAGGGATCGGGACTTACCCAGTGGCCATATTCCAGACCCTTACGTCGCGATCGCAGCCACCACTCACAAGCAGGTCTCCCCACGGCACCATGGCCCAGACGCCCATGACGTGGCCTTGCAGCGTCTTTTGGTGCTGGCCTTGCGTGTCGAAAACGTGGATCTTCGCGTTGTCAAGCGCGACAACAATGTTCTTGTCGGTGAGGTGTAGACTCGTGACAACACCCTGATCGGGCGTGATCTGCCGGGAGTCGCACCGACCACCCGATCTCCACGCCGTCTCAACCATGTATCGTTGCTTGAAGTGCGAGCGGTATGTCATGGCCTTGTTCTTGCGTGCTGTCGACCGCGAGCTTGATGTTCCTGCGCGGTCAAGTGACTGTGTCCTAAGGTCCGTTCCTGCCAAGCCCGAGATTAGGCCCTTGGTTGGTCGGAGGGGATGCCTCCACGCATGCGACTGCTGCGGTGAGCCGCCCGGCGTCAACGAAGCTGAAGAGGCCGTGGGTCTAAAGGTTGAGTCGTGGACGTCTGAGAGTCTTCGGTATGCGTGTTTTTCACAAAGGGACTTCCAGGCCATATCATCATTAACAAGTTCGTACCATCGTCTCGATACTTGCGACGAGCGCGCGAGGGTTGTGGGGTCGTCAACGAAGGTCAGGACCTGTATAGGGTGGTGGGGTCAGCATTAGGCACCCTCCATGACGCGCTTGGCGCAGGATCAGACCTACCCGTAGACACAGCTCATTGGGCAGCACTTGGAACGGATCCTTCTTCAACCTTGGGCTTACGAAGTCGTGCACGAAGCTCAGTTGGTGGCTGTTGCACATGTTCAGTAGCTCGCCCAACAGTCGCTGCTTCTCCGCATCGTTCATTTCGCTGAACAGCGCCCGGATGTCCCTGACCTGGGTGTCCTCATGCTCGGCGGCAGTACTCCAGTCGGGGGCACGCTGGTGCGGCGTCGGGCTCGGGGCGGGCGTCGGCGGCGACGCAGGCGCCGAGGGCAGCAGGTTGTGCGGGATTGTTGAGGACATGGGGCTGGTGGGCGTGTGAATGGGCCGGGGCTGCGAGCGCGACATGAGGCCTCGTTTCCGGGTCCGTGAGGTAGGGGATGTATAGAGAGTGCCGCCCTGCGAGGTTCGCCGCTGCGAGAGATGCGACTCAGCGTCGGCACCGAGCTGCATCTCTGCGTCGGAGGCGCCGTCGTCAACCACGGGCCGGAAGTCGTCCTCCATGACCACTGAGCGGAGCGGGCGCGAAGGGAGGCGCTTCGAGTCGAAGGTTGGGGTGTGCGGTACGGAGCTGGGGTCTCTCGTCGAGGTACAGACGGAACGGTGCGCGCGGGTGGGCGAGGAGAGGTGGAGCGGGAGCGGGATCGACCGGGCGGGTACCTGGGTCGAGAGCGGGCAGAAGAGGGTGGTTGTAGTGGACGAGGCCGAGAGCCCTTGACGGCTTTAGCGCGTTTGAGGTGCGATTCTGAGATGGCCAGGAGGGGGCGCTCGGGCACTCGGTGCCACGGCTGAGGGCTGTGCGGTCCAGACGCGCGCGAGAGGTGCGATCAGCGGCGGTTCCTGGAGAGCGGTTCGGCGGCTGTGGTGGTGTTGTCGAGGGCGCAGCTCGTGTGCGGCGGGAAGAGGAGTGCGGCGGCAGCGGAGGGCGGTCGTGCCAGGGCCTGGAGAGTCTCGCCGTAATTGGGGACGATCATCGCGCGACCTGTGCTAGCAAGGCCTGCCCACGCCGCTTTATTAATTCAGCGTCACCGCCATCTCAACTGCTGTACAGCGCGAGCATCACGCAGCGCCCGCCAGCTGAGCGCAACACAGCAGCCTGATGCTGCCCGGCCTGCCCGACGCCTACGTGAGCTGTTGCCAGCCCGCCTCGCCCCTCGTCGACCCCGGCACCCGCTCCTCCAGAGTCTGGCGCCCGGCGCCACTAGTCTATGTCAACCTGACCGCGCACATGGCCGCCCGCTCCGCCCGGCGGTGAGCGAGGGCACCGCCGCCGTCCACGAGATGCAACGAGGCCAGCCTCCTTGAGCGCCTGCTTCTCGCTTTGTCCGTCTTCAGGGACTCCTGCACTGGCAGACGGCACGCCTAAGCGCCTGCTAGCCCACCTGGAAAATTATCCCCCCAGACTAGGCGCTTCTGCCAACATACCTTAAGCGTTGCCAACCTAAAATCGACCGCCAAAGTCGTCATCAGCCCGTCATGCGGGGACCCGGCCTCCATGATTCCCCTGCCACCATGATCCCGCCCTGGCCTCGGAGGGGCTTGCGCCAGTTCTGGCCTTGGGTCCAGGAACTGGAACAAACTTGATCCAGGCTGAGGTTGGTACCTAGACTACCGCGAAAAGCTACTGGCGATGCGACAGGCATGTGAATTTGAGGCATGAAGAGAGTGCATGATTCAAGCGGCAAATACGATGCGGGGTAGTTTGCATTTAGTAAAGGCTGCTCGTCGAAAAAAAAGAGCGGGCAAAGTAGGTACACTGAAAATTATAATGCGCTGCACAGTTCAACCCCGCGTGTCGCGATTTCGGATTCCATCTCATTTCCAGCACCACGTTTCCATCTAGCACGTCCACACCTCCGGGCCGGGGACACTTGCGTAGGTCAGCACCATGACTTTATGACATGAAGGCAGCAAAATACTCACGTATAGTTGGTGAAGTCGTTGTAAATGTTGACGGTATAGCCGGGGTCCGTCTCCTTGAACGCGCCGGGGATGGAAACAGTCGGGCTGGGCGAGCCCGAGCCGCTGCCCGTGACCTTGACCTGGGCGCACGAGATGTAGAATTGCGGGATGCCGGCCGGCCACGGGTTGTGGATGCCAAGCTGCTGGATGCGCAGCAGGTACTCGCCGGCGGGAAGGCAGTTGGGGATGGTCACGTTGTACGTCGTCTCGAGGTCCCAAGTCGCCTGGCCGTTGGAGAACTGTTGGGGTTCGGTCAGTCAACTGACCTTTCCGGGAAGATGCGAAGTGGTGGATCGACTTACAGTGGGTCCGATGTCCTTGATCTTAAACCACGGCGTGCTGCCGTCCGCCGCCGCCGCGTCGTCGACCTTTGTCATGTAGAAAGAGACGGGGCCCTGGTGGTACACGGCGATGTCGGCAGTGAAAGCGACGGTGCTGCCAGCAGCGACGGAGACCGTGCTAGTCTTGCTGCCATCCTCACCACCAACATTGCAGCGGAGGTCGTTGGACTCGAGATCTGTACCGGCCGTGAGTATACTTCAAGCTGTGAAGACTTTTTGACGTACCAGTCACGGGCGAGTTGTTGTTCGTGTTCTCCCTAATGTTCTGATAGATACCACCCTTCACGCCGTTGGCAGTGAGGTATTGGAAGATGTCTGTAGTAAAGAGTCAGTATGTGGTTCCCTCTCGCGTTTCATACGAATATCTCACAGTGTCCGTTGACAGCCTGTGCCAGCACAGAGGCAGCGAATGCGAAAGTAGTGAAAGTCTTCATGGTTGTGGCTTGCGCTGAAGAGCAGGGAAGTCAAGAAGGACCGGCCAAGACTGACGATCGAAACATTCTGGGGCGCTTCTCCACCATTTTATCTGTCCCTCGAACGGAGGAGCAAGAGCCGTTGGCCAAGGGAGCTCTCGTGTTTCACGGCTAATCGAAGTATCCACATCTCTGGGCACAGTGGAGGTGGTGGAGAGACAGGAACCGAACATTTTCGGAATAATGCGAGTTGTAGCCGGGCGGCACTGACACTTCAACGGACATGATTCGTTGGAAAAACTGAGCAGATGGCTTTGCCTGAGAGCAACGGCGGCATGAGCGACTGCATATGTGAAACGGAAGGAAGAGCCGTGTGCAATTAAACAGTGCCCACCAACAAGAGGCATCACACGCAAGGCTAAAAACAAGCTTAATCATACAAGTAGCGAATGAGAAGGGCTGGGTTGAAGACGAGTAAGACACGAGACCGTCATTGTATGTGCAACCTCTGTTTACGCATTTTCCGGCAAAAATGGCGTGGAATATTAGGTGGTGTGGATGGTGGAGTTGTGCCTTCAGGTATATTGCAACCCCTGTAATAGCCCCGGAGAGCGGCCCAACTCTCCGTCGTCTCGTCTCGTCCCGACGGACCCACGGCTGCTGTGGGGACCATGGTCAGTTCCTCTTTCTAGACGCATAAGATCACTATATTATACGGTGTCTCGCCTTATCAAGACCTGAGGTCGAAGCGCGATCCCCACATGTTGCGCGATCTTGCAGAATGGAGCTTAAAGTTGCAAAGCGTACATGCCGAATGCGGCAATAGTCAATACTTGAATAATCGGTACGTTTGATTTACTGACGGTCTCGGCTCTTTCTTCCCTACAAGGAATCATCTGCCTTTGACAGTGTGCAGCCGAAGGATTTAGGACTTCCGTAGAAATTGAAAGTCCAAAGAGTCGTCGGCGAACCCTCGGCGCGTCCCATAACGCTATATTAAATTCAGTACCACATCCGCCCTAGCGACTTATGCACCGGGGTCAAGATCAACTAGGAGACCAGTTACGTCTTGTGAGAATTGACTCCGATATTTTACTTCTGAATCCCTCTACGAGAGCACTGCAACTCCTCGTTGGCAATTGCTCACTATTATTGTTGCAACATTTTCCCCTTCATTCGATCAGGATGCCGCAGTAAGTCGACTACCAGCCTTTCATAATGTATGCACCTGGACTACAGCCATTCAGCGGCGAAGAAAATTTCGGATGCCCTGATACTACTAGTACTACCGCCACGTGCAGCCACGACCAAGCACAATGACGCAACAGCAGCGGAGCTGGCACCGGAACGCTGACTCACGAACCTGCGTGCATGCCTGCGGTGGGCCAGAAGTTGACAGTCTAGCTTGCCTTCCATCGATAGCACAGTGGAAATAATAGATCAGGGCCCCTGATCGGGAATGGTTGCGGAGGGGCCGGCCGAGAGATCCGAACGAGAGATTTGGTCATGACAACGCCGGGACCTGGGAATGCCTAAAGCGAGGTGACTCACGTGCGAATACAGTGACGGCAATGCTTATTTTAACGTCGTCGCTATTCCTGTGTCATGCTTTTACAAGGCTAGACCTAAATGAGTGAGCAATCATGACAGCTGATACTGTACCAGCAGGTGCAAGCGCAACAGGGATTGGATAGAACAGGCAGCAGTTCGCTCCAAGAAAAAAAAAGTCAGTATGTTGCTGTCATTACCGAATACTCCCAGCAGATACAGTGATTGTAGACACTTGGCGTTAGCCTTTGAGGATATGTGAGGAACTGCTCAAGCTTTGTTGTATCCAGGGACCACTAAGCAAAACATTCCATTCCAACAAGTTTCAGCAAAGACCAACGTCATATTGAGCCTTCTTATCTGTACTCGCTATGGGGTCATAAACCCATTGCCCGAATTTGCAGTGATAATCGGAGTGCAAGTTACTCCAACTAGGAAGATATATGAGTGCACTTCCTCTACAGTCACTTGTCGGGGAGCTCCCGAAGCACTGCGAGCATCAGTGAAGGCCATTCAGAGGACATGATTCAGGAACATCGCGTCACCGCCATGCTGGTAAACAGAAGAAAGAGATATGGTTGTACAAGGGGATATTGGAGCCGATGGCTAGCGTGAATCTATTTTCCGCTCATGCCATGGGTAGTTGAAGCTATCGTCCGTATGTAAATGTGGAATTAATAATGATACATTCACGTCCGGATGATAGCTTCCACTACACATGTATGTTCTCTTATTTTTCTTTTTTTTTAAAAAAAAAAGGAAAAATGAAGTATACTTACGCTATGTTCTAGGTCTAGCCATCGGCTGCAGCACCCATCGATGAGATATAATGCCTGTGCCTTTCAAGGTCATCCTTTGCGAATTAGTGAGCAAAATAATGACATGGGCAGCGCATAAACGAAAAGGCGAGGCTTCAACCTCGATAAGCCAAAGGTGGGCGTGAGACGCCAAAGGTAATTGTTTATCGACGCGTCAAAGCGTGGTTAATACGCGTTTCGGCGCGTAGCCACCAACTTGATTTGTCCTTCTGTCGCATATGACCTTGCAAGCCCAGGGCGGCTTTTACAAAATCGCGACGCTGACATGCAGCAAAGCACAATAGTTCCGGGGTTGAGCGAGGGGTAACAGAGCTGGAGAAGACCATGTCGACAACTTCGCAGTGGTAGAAATGTCTCAGAGCTGAAATCCTTCATGCCGGCGGATCGCCTATACCAGGTCGATGGGACGTTCATACGGTTTCCTGTGCAAAGGCAGACAAATATTCGATTGGTTAAGACAGCATGTCGAGCGGTAGCTGCTAGGGCATTGAACCGTCGTACACGGCGGGCTGCAGGTAACCATGCTGCCGTTGCCGTAGGGATGACGTGGGGGCCACAGCGCAACAATCGCACGTCGGGGGCTGGGCGAACAAGGCGCTTAAGAGAAAGAGAATGGACCAGATCGAGGGGAGATTGCAGGCGGAGTTGGGCTGGAACCATTTGAGTTTTGACATCTGTCAGGGTGGCTGAGCTCAGCCCATAGCGGGCGGCAGGGATGATTGGACGCGAAGGCGCGACGTGTGCGCGGCCAGGAGGCGGCTGAGGCGTGAGAGTGGTGTTGTGAACGCGTGCGGCGTCGAGAGGGGCAAGGCGCAGCGGGGATGTGTTCTGTGTTGTTCGGCGGGCGATCGGCGGTGGGGCGCATTCATTCAAACGTGCCAAGCGCCGGGTGTTTGCAGCGGAACCCTTACTCGCGCGCGGCTGCTACCCTCCCGGGGCGAGCTTCACGGCGGGTCCCCCCAGACCAAGACAAGTCGGGGGTCAAGAAGCCAGCTATTCTTTGTTTTCCCTATTCCCACCACCAACACCGACTCCGCCCGCCCCAATGTCTGGCCGTTTCGTGAGAGCATCCAAGTACCGTACGGCCCCTCTATCCTACTCCGAATCGCTCTGCGAGGGGCTTCATGTGCTGACGCGCGCTGCATGCAGGTCACGTCTTCGGACGCTCGACGAAGAAGGCACGCCCAACCTGAATTCCAGGAACGCCTCGACCGCGACACTGACCGCGCTCCGCCGAACAGGAACAATGCTACGACAACCTCAGACTGTCTAAGAATGCCTGGGACAGCAACATCATCAAGGTCCGCAACCGCCGCTCTCGTGCGCCCTCCTGACGCCGCCCGCTAACACCCTTCCCCAGGCCAACCCCAAGTACCTCGCGGTCAACTATGAGTCTGGCGGTGGAGGCGCCTTTGTTGTCATCCCCGTCGACGAGCGCGGCAAGCTGCCCGACATCCTTCCCCTGTTCCGCGGCCACACCGGCCCCGTTCTCGATACCGACTGGTACGCGCTGTCGCGTGCGTGTATAATACAAGACATGTCGGCTGAGTAGGAGCAGGAACCCCTTCAATGACGACGTGATCGCTTCCGCGTCCGACGACGGCAAGGTATGAGGCTGCCATACAAACACAGGCTCAGGATATTCACATTTGGGCAGGTTTTCCTCTGGAAGGTGCCCGAGAACTTCTCTCTCCACACCGATGCCGAGGAGCCGGCAGATGTCGCTCCCGTAGCCAAATTCGCCGGCCACACTAGGTAATTGGCCCTATGCCCCCGCCCTGGACCCTGCTAAGCGCCTGCGCAGGAAGGTCGGACACGTCCTTTGGAACCCCTCCGCCGAGAACGTCCTCGCCAGCTCCTCGGGCGACTACCTTGTCAAGATCTGGGATGTCGAGCACGGTCAGCCCAAGCTAACCCTCAAGCACGCCGACATGGTCCAGTCCCTTTCCTTCAGCGCCAATGGCTCCTTGCTCGTCACCACTAGCCGCGACAAGAAGCTCCGCATCTGGGATGTGCGCCAGGAGAAGCCCGCTCACGAGGGTGCGGGTCACAGTGGTGCTAAGAACAGCCGTGCTGTCTGGATGGGCGAGCACGACAGGGTTGCCACCACTGGTTTCTCCAAGATGAGTGACCGTCAGCTGGGTCTGTGGGATATCAGAGCCGCAAGGGAGCCGCTGAACGGTTTCGAGATTCTTGACTCCATTTCCGGTGTTTGCATGCCTTTCTGGGATGACGGTACCAACATGCTGTATCTTGCTGGCAAGGGGTAAGAAAAGTATCCGCCAATATGAGGAAATTCTCGCTAACGAGAGTAGTGATGGCAACATCCGGTACTTCGAGTACGAGCACGACAAGTTCGAGTTCGTCTCCGAGTACAAGTCCGTCGATCCCCAGCGTGGTGTTGCTTTTATGCCTAAGCGCGGTGTCAACGTGAGTTTCTCAATTTGAAAGCTTTCTGTTAATTCTGCTGACGATTTAAAGCTTCACGACAACGAGGTTGCTCGTGCATACAAGACCGTAAACGACAACTACATCGAGCCCATTTCCTTCATCGTCCCCAGGCGCTCCGAGGTTTTCCAGGGCGATATCTATCCTCCCGCCACTGGTCTCAAGCCTGGCATGTCCGCCGCCGAGTTCTGGGATGGCAAGGAAGCTGTTCCTCCCAAGTTCTCGCTGGAGGCCGTTTACGAGGGCTCGGCACCTGTGGAGGTTGCGTCCGAGTACAAGCCCTCCCCAGCCCCTGCCCCTGCCCCCACACCGAAGGCAGAGCCCGAGCCGACTCCCGCCCCCGTCTCTCGCGCCCCGCCCCCTTCTGTCAACGACAACAAGGCCTCGATGGCAGACGCGGCCTCCAAGTTTGCTGACAAGGATGAGGCCGAGTCCGCTGACGAGGACTCCAGCTTCGAGGAGATCCAGAAGCCTGCGGAGCGCCAATCTTTCACCGCGGCCCGCCAGGAGGAGAAGGTCCGTGGCCCCGAGCCTACCAAGGCTCCCGAACCGGAACCCGTCAAGGAGACCCCCCGCTCTGCATCCACCTCGTCGACCACGGCAAGCAGCGCAGCAGCGGGTATTAAGGATTACTTGGCCGAGATCAAGTCGATGCTGGAGAGCCAGAACACTCAGATGGCGAGCCAGATGGAGCAGATCAACCATCTCACCGCCGAGGTCAACCTACTGAAGACGAAGGTTGCCGACATCACCAGCGGTGAGAAGGACGAGAAGATCAGGCAACTGGAGCTCGAGCTTGAGGAGGCTCGCTCATGAACAACCCACGAACAGAGAAGGCTATATGTGTCATGACGCTCACGCTAGAGGGTGGCATCAATCGTCCCGTCCGGTGTTGGGGTTTTTACTAGCTGGATAGAAGGTTGGGGGGGAGTGGTGGGGAGGCGCAAAGTGATTGGTTGCTGTGACTGTTGTCGTCCCTGTTGGAGGCTTTGAGGCTTGGCGCTGCTTGCTTAGATTCCCCCCGCACTGTCCGATTCGCCTGCGTCTGTGTGTGTGAGGTCTCCCTACGCCTATGTCCCCTATCGCTTTGCGTGTTATTGTTGTCATTGTGTTGTGGATACCGCTTTTGATTATTCTTTTTTTGCTAAACGACAAAAACGCCAGTCGGATTGATGCTTGCGTTAGCGATTATACTTTCAATACTTACCTCTTTGGGTGACCAAGCTTACTTTTGTACTTTCGGTTCCTTTGGACTGCACTGTCTTCCGTGAGATAACGCAAGTTCATGTAAAATTCTACGAGAGGATACAATCCATGTGTACGAAGTGTTCTATCTCTAAGCTCTCCAGCTTTTGGTCATTCACTCGAGTCTTTTCTTGAAGTGAAAAGCTGGAAAGGAAAAAGAGAGAACAGGACAAAGCAGAGATCTAATAATAATCGACCCCCCCTCTTCTCTCACACTCCCCTACCTCCCTCCCCAGCTATTGCGGACTTGGTACAGCCGTGTCAGTTCTTGGTCGAGCCCGGTAATGATTTCCCCCAATGTTCTTGGCTGGCCGCCAGCGCCGTTGCCGCTGCGGACTGGGGATTGGTGTGGCCGCGCGAGTTGATGGAGGGTGGGTGGAGCTTGCTGTTGATGGATCGGCTGAGTCCGAGTAGCAGTGGCTGTGGGCATGTGCTGCCCGTTGAAGAGGGCACGCTGGTTGCCGGGCTGGACAAATGGATGGTTCAGCGGCTGCGGATGCTGAATGGGGAAGGGTCGTTGCTGTTGGTATTGCTGGAGCAGCTGATCGTTATTGTTGTTGCTTGGCTGTCTGTTGTCAGGAGTGTTCCAGTAGGTGCCGTTGAAATACATAGGGTTGGCTACCTGTGATTGAGGTGGTTGGAATGGCTGGGGTTGAATCGGTTGTTGCTGCTGCCTATAAACCGGCTGGTAATTTGTGGTTTGTGGCGTATGTACTGGTCGTGATTGATAGTAGGCGTTTTGTGACCCCATGGCATGTTGGGGTGGTGTTCCATAGTTGGGCTGGGAAAATGCGTTATTGGTAAAATATCCTACCGGTACTTGTCGCTGCCCTGGAACGGCGACATCCAGGCTTGGAACGACAATCTGGTTGCCAACGTATGAACTTGACTGCGCACTTACATGAATCGACCGATCTGTGGAGTTATTGGTCAGATGTCCCGACCCGGGAACTGCTTGCAAGGTGTTAGAGAACCCAGGGTTCCCGTTAGAGATCGTATAGAAATCCAACGTGACTCCTGGGTCATTTTTCTGAAGAATCTCAGGTGGGAAGAATGCATTACTTGGGTTTTCAAAATTCTCAATCAGCCCATCTTGCGGCTGGGTGGTCGTCTGGGAATGGTAATATCTTGCCAGTGGATCAGGGACGAAGCTGTCTCCCCAGTCCTCCAATTCGGTGCCCAGAGGTGTGAAAAGTTCAGAATCTTGGAACAAGTTCACTTCCAGTGGTGTATGAACTCCTCCCAAGCCATCCTCACTCGGTAGCACGGGTTCAGAATTTTCCTGTACAGGCTCAGCGCCAAGCACAGAGGACAAAGCATCAGCCCAGGGATGGAGCGGCACGTCTCGATGCTGACGTTGAGGACTGCGACTTCCCAGCTCTGGAGTCCGAAAAGCCTGCACTAGCTGCGGGGGCCTATCGATGGTGCAGTCCTGCTCGTTATTTGGTCGGCTGTCATGGGGGGTATCGGAAGCGATGTTGCTAGTTCCAGAATTGGCGTTCCTGGCAGATGTTACGGGGAAAAGGGGTCCGTAACGATCAGGATTGCCTGGAACAGGAGTCAAAGGCAAGACGTCGTGCTGGGTCACTGGGAGAGAGGTATGCCGGGCGCGACGCGCGCGATGGATGGATTCAGTTTGGTTATCATCGTCGACAATGGCGTTGCTCTTGCGTTTGCCTTTGATGCCGGGTTGTTGTCGCTCAGCGATGATACCGGTGCGCACGTTGTTTCCCATGCCGTCCTTGGTAGTGGCTTCGTTGTTGGTAAATTTTTGGGAGTTGCCGCTATCCGTGTCTTTTTGGGTGCGCTTATCGTCAGAAACTTCTCGGCGGTTATCGTTGTCGATACCGTCTCTGTTGATGGACTTGATTTCGGTGCCGTTTCTTTGTTCGTCGGTATCGCCGCGGCCAGCGTTGTCGGCCGTGACGATGGAGGTGGGTTTTCCGGGAGACATCCTGCGGTCAAGCAGCTGTGCACAGCAGCAAAGTGTCGTGCACGCAGGGGACTGCGAAGTGTTGCAAGAGACCTGGGAAGATTGCGAGGTTCCGGGAGCGGTGGCGGTGGATAGACAAACAAATTTGTGAAGGAAGCCTGCTTGATATGATGAACCAGATTTACAGATAGTCAAACCGTGGTTGATGCTCGAGCTGGTTTCCAAAGTCCTCAGCGCTGGACAGAAGTTCGATACTTAGCACTGGCGGTGGCTCCTTCCTTTGTAAAACCGCCCACTACTGAATTTTCGCGGGTAGCACGCACGTCAGCGCGCTTTCCGTGAATAGGAAACCATGATGTCCATCTCGAATGTGCGGTGACTGTGCTTGAAAGTAAATTAGGAAGTGACGCTGGTTGAATCTGTGCTCTGGGCCACTGTTTCTTCCATGTCTTAAAGATCCGCCTGTTAATGTGCCTCCTCAGGCACCTTTTTCTTAAAGTGCAAGCATGACTTGATATATGGTCTACGGGAGTCCAAACAGAGGTGACCGCCAAGCCTTGCAGTCAAAGCTCGCTCGGCGCTGTCACTTTTTCCCTTAGGCCATGACTCTTGGTGCTTTTCGTCGCCAGTACGTAGATTCATCCAGCAAGCATGACGGAGGATATCATAGATTCTTCGTCGCCTAATTTTTCTTTCTTTGTTTCGCTCCAGCTCCTTACTGGCGACTATATCGGCCGCTCATCTCGCATCACCTGATCATGCACTGTACACTTGCCTTCAAGAGACTCTCTGAACACGTCACGCTCGAAGCGCCGTGGACACTGCAGAGAGCGGTATTAAAAACATTTAATGTACTATTCCGTGGTTGTGAGATGCGGCTATAATTTACCGCGCATTTTCGTTGTCTCCCAAGGACATATTCATGCCTTAGCCGAACTTGAACCGTGGACAGAAATATCGAGCCATGGTTTCAAAGCGTCGCTACCAAAATACCTGCTCGCAAATCCTTGCAATTGTGTGACATAAATGGCAGCATACCTTGTGTTTTGAACACTTTGCAGTTTCATAGCGGGGCTTGTGAACGAGAGGGTGTACTGCCACAGAATGACATTTTAAGGATGCTGCACTGGACAGCACGTCAGCCTACGGAAATTTGGATGTCAGACACATTTTCTTCATGAGATCTCGTGTGAATCTGGGCGCTAGAAAGACAAAGGAGCCCGGAAAGTAGACCTTGTTTTCAAGCTGCCCTGATCAACTGTTTGAGTTCGCATTGCAGCTGTCGCCGTCATCGCTGGGCGATGGTTGTGGAGAGTACGTGTGCATGAGCCACTGCTGACTGGATTATCGTTAGATAGTAAGCAATTTAAACATTGATGGGCTTGTGCGATTTCCGCAGAGGTTATGATGGAATTGAGAATGGAGGCACGTCAACCGTGCAGTTCACATAATAGCTTAGCGGTCCATGCATTCAGAAAAGCACGGCCGGTAGTAATGTTGACGAAGCAAACTAAAAATACATTAATTCTGGCCTGACTTGAACGGTATTCTCCGCGATCAGCTAAATAGACACTCATTAACTGCGGCCACCTGACGATGAATCCCCGTCCGGAAAAGCCGCACAGCACTGCCAAGCAGCATGAAGCAGAACAAAGCTAAACGTAGGCAACACCGGGCTGCCTGGCGAAGCCGAGCTTCGGGGCGCTGGCCGTCGTCTGATCAAAAACAATGTACTGAGACTTCAAGAAAATCAAGCCGTAGATGGAGAAGCCAATGCCGGTGTTCTCCTGAATACCTCCATAGCAGTTGTTGGACTGGTCAACAGCACCGTAGATGAGGTACGATCCAGGCATGGTGACGAGAGAGCCGCTGATGACGGTGCTGAAGGCAGGCGGCGTGCTGGTGCAAGGCACAATCCATCCACCGAAGTAAGCGCTCTTGGATGCGCCGGGAATTTGAGCATAGTAGGCCTGGACAACGTCGGTGGGCAGGTAGAAGAGAGAAGTGCCCGTATCGACAATGCTCGACATAACCTTCTGGACGACCGGCCCAGACCCGATAGAGTAGCCTGTTCCGTTGAACCCCCAGAAGCCCGGCTTCGGCGTAGTCAGTACGTTAGTGTAGACAATGCTTCCAGTGTACGAAGTCGAATTGAGAAAACCGAAGTCATATTTTCCCGCTTGTCCCTTCTTCATAAGAGCCGTGAAGATGGGCTTGGCGAGGGTGTTCTTCACGGTATCGAAGAAGGTTCTCTGGGGGGTGGGCCTGACGGAGTTGAGGTTGCTGAAAGCAAGGCCCATGACGCCATCGCTGTTGGTATCTTGGACGAAGAGGGACGACGCGCTTGTGGCTGCCTCGACGGCTTGCTTGGTGGCAGTCACTTCCCCTACCACGACTTTGTCGGCGTAGACGAGACCAGATCCACCGCTGCCGTCGCCATAGGTGACGCTCCAAGACTGCTGCGGCAGAAGGGTGCCCGACCTGGAAGGATTGTAGAGAGTCTGTCCGTTGGTAGAGCCGGGCGCCATGAGCGTGGAGAAGACCCATCTAGAGCGCTGCGCGTTAGCATGTTCAGCAAGCGAGTGTCGGATACGTACAAGTCAGAAGAACCGCTGTCAAGGTACAAGTTCAGCGTATCAGACCCAAGCGTGACGGGCGACAAGTACAGAGTGTCGAAGCTATCAGAAGGGTTTGCTGCAACCGAACGCTCGGAGAGGCCGGCAGCCTCAGCGGCAGCAGCCGAGTTCGCGACGGCTGCGGCGACAAAGTCGGGCACCTCCAGGCCGTACTTGAGGTAAGTCCTCGCCATAGCCAATGGTCCATTCTTGAGGATCTGCCCTTTCGGGATCTGGTCAAGAGTGAAAGTCTCTCCCAAGGTGTCCACGTTTTGCGGAGCAGCGAAGACTGCCGCAACGAAAAGGGAGGGAAACAGAGCAGAAAAGGGCATGGAAGGCATCTTTGCAGCTGCTGGAGGTGGATTCGAGAGGTTACCGAGAGCGCCGAGTGCTGAACCTAGCTATTTCAAACCAGGAAGACTCCAACTTATAAGCTTGTGCTTAATGAAGCACCGACGGCAAAAATGGGGACTACCTAAAAAATCACGCTATTGCAGGGCGCTAGCTTGAAAATGTGAGGTGAATTACAGAATTCCAATTGAGTGCAGGTATTTCGAAACCGTGAGGAACTGCTTGGCGCAGGGGACAAGCAGAAGTTTCCATTCCAACGTTATATAGCGAACCACTAGCGCGAAGCTCTTTTGAACTGCAATGCCCGATGGCGATGAGAAACGGCCGATCGTCCGCGCTGAGGAATAACGCTGGAGCGGCCAAGTGTCGGTAGATGCTGCAAGTCCATCTGCAACCGAACTCTGGCTCAGTCAAAACTTCATACTCAGGAGGTCGCCTACTACGTATAGTACTAGATTCGGTGGTGCCTGGGCCAGGGAGCCACGTGCCTGGTAGTGGGGACCACCGAATATGGGGACAACGGTCTCGTGCATTAGTACGGGCAAAGGGGAAATTCGACGCAATTAGGCAAGGGACCAATCCTTGATTCCTGAACGTCGGGTTGCCGACTTGGGAGTAAGATGTAGACGGAGCGAGAGGTCGAGCCGCTGTCGAGCTGGATAGAATGCAATCCCCGATCATCTTGAGATGACAGACGTGCCAAGTGTGCAGAGATGGAATGAAGGTGTAAGGTCCGCAGGAGCAGCTGACGTTCAAACGGAAGTGTCTGCGATCGCGGAGGATAAGGAGCGTGGTGCAAAGGAGTGACGGTGAATGTACGAACTGCGGGGCGAGCGGGCGAGTAGCGGAGTATTCTTCATTCTGCTGTGGGGAGATAATGGGGACGGAGAGAGGGGCGCCAGGAACGGCAACGCGTTGGGCAAGCGCGGCGCGGCTGCGCGGCGGCAAGAAGCGAGAAGTCACGTGGGCGACGGGCAGCTTTCAGGGACTCTCCGACAAATCCGACAATTCCGTAACTCCGCCCAAGAACCACCACTGACGAGACGTGCAAATGGACGAGCCTCTGCCGGCAGGTACTGTGCGCCTGCGCCGTATACACCGCTTGTTCACGTGCTGACCGCAGCCCCAGCCTCGCTCCGCGGCCCCAAGATCTCCAAGGCGTGCGAGGAATGCCGCAGGAGAAAGCAGAAATGCAACGGCCTCAGCCCATGCAACGTGTGTAGCAGGCGCAACACGGTCTGCTCGTACAGGTCCTTTATCCGCCGTCGCACTGGCCGCACTTCCACCAACCCTGCTCCGACCCCCGGCCTCCAGGTCGCACAGGAGCCCTCCAAGTCGGAGGATCGCGACGTCACTGCCGACCGCGAGAGCAGCCATGGCGACTCTTCGGCTTTCTCGGAGGCCCCTCCGCGCTATCACATCTACAAGAACATTCGCGCTACTCATGTGCCCGCCGACTCACCCTCTTGCGTCTTGCAGCTATACTATGGCTCCTCCTCCAACTTCTCCTTCTTGCAACACCTCCACACCCACCTGACCGCTCACGAAGAGGTGCCGCGCCCCGGCGCCCACGTCGAGGAGGTTCAGAATGGAAATGAAAGCATCGATGTTTACAAGTACCAAGGCCTTGCCTTTGGAAACACTCCCGGTCAGCGCGAGACCAATCCCATGTTTCTGAGGCATGAACTCGCCCGTACTTTCTTGCATAATTACCTCTCCACTGTCCATCTTCATCTTCCCTTTCTCTCTACCGAGCAGCTTTGCGCCAATTTCGAGAGGCTGTACGGATATGGCGACGACGCAAAGATTGAACCCTCAGAGAGAGCATTGGTCATTGTCGTCATGGCAATAGGCGCCTGTCCTAGCCAGCACGAATTGTGGAGAAAAACGCTGTTAGCTCAAGCCCGGACAGAAGCCGAGTCCCTTCTGCATGTCGTCAACCTGCGTGCTGTCCAGATTGCACTGCTCATGATAAGTCCCACCACTCAACTTGCCGAGGAACGATTGAGCTGACCTCTGAGACACGCGTATTGCGAGTTTATTGTAGGAAACCCAAATTCGAGCTACCTGTACATTGGCAGCGCTATTCGTAAAGCATTTGCGACGGGCATGCACAGAGGAAGCCCGACCAGCCGCCAGTCCCTCACGGAGTCTTCTGAAGCAAGTCTGACCTGCTGGAGCCTATTCTACTTTGAAAGGTTTGTATTAACCGATTCGCTGCACCGCCGGTCAAGCTCCCTCTAACGCCCTTTCCTCTAGCCTTATATGCTCCGGACTCGGGAGACCGTCGTCGCTTTCGCTACAAGACATTGGGCTTTCTCAACCAGAACGCCCATCGCTCATGTCAGCACTGGTTACAGTTTCAGAACTATTACGCAGCGTCCAGCATTTTTACAACCATCACGACTCATCTGTCAGCGCGGATTTGAAACATGCCCATCGCATCCGCAACAAGCTGCGTAGTTTTGCCCAGACAGTCAAGGAAGATTTCGGCTTCAGCCTTGGACTCCACCTCGGGACTGAAAGAGATGAGAACTTCGTCACCCGCGCGGTAATTTCTTACTGTGAGTATTGTACCTTACTCATGTGCTACTCCTGTACCGTTGCTTCTCGACGCACCTTCCACTATGCCAGCACGGTGGGTTGCAGAAGATTTGATCCCTCTACGTTCCGCGGAGGACGCTACACTACTTACGTAGGTAGTAGAAGTCCATGCCATGATGTCTTTGTATAATTTCCAATTTACATCTACATCCTGGCGCTTGCTTCAGCTACCCGCATTGGAGTAGTGTATGTCCGGTGAGGCAGATCTGGGAAAGGCAAAATCTTCTCCAACCAACCGTGCCAGCTGCCCAGCTTGCAACCACACTATGACCATCTGCTCGATAGCACAAGACTTCCAACAAGCGCCGCAGCTTCATTCAGCTAATTGCAACAAGTGTATTTCTACACGCTTCTTCTCACATTTCGTCCTTTCCTACTTCTCTTCGTCGAGCTGAAGAGACGCGGTGAAGCCGAGGGAAAAGACAGCGATTCAAAATCCAACCCTTTCAACATTCCCCCATTGTTGGAGGCTTGTGAGCACACTGTAGATGCGGCTCGCTCGATAGTGATGCTAGGTGAGATTGTCTTCGCAACCGGACCTGGTGCCGAGGTAAGCCTGATGATCAACACCCTTGTGAAGTGAGAGCTGACGGGTTCAAGGGCGTCTACAACAACTGCTTCTTCCTTGAGAGTGCATGCTTCGTGTTGATACTAGCTGCACTTCATGACAGAAACGCCACTCGTCGCCACATTCGATACATCAACCGCGGCATTCGCGCATTGCGACAGATCCACCCACGAGAACCTATTGTCAGCATAATCGCAGCAATTGATGAAATGCGCGGCAAGGTCGAAATGCTGACTGGTCTGACCGAACCCATTCCTCAAAGCATGGAAGGTTTTCACGGACTACCAGGTATAAGTGGATCCGAGCAGCCAAAATACGTTGGCGGGGATGGCATATCCGCTGCTTCCGCACCCGGAATGGTGCCTGGTACAGATCCCTGTCAACCAGATTTGGAGACGCCACCAGGCTTCGGCTCGTTCGAGCAACGTGCACCAAGTGTTTCGAGCGACGTTTTGGATGCCACATGGCCTTCCATGGATTGGAACTTTGACCTGTCCAATCTCGACCTCGAGTCGTTCGTTTCGGTCATGGGGAATCAACAGGATGGAAACTTCGGTTTATTCTAGGTTGCGCCGCCTGTTTTTAGTTCAGGCTTGCTGTGTGCTCTTAGTTTTTCAAAAACGGCTCCAGCACCGAATAATGCGTAATGCATAATGTATCCCGCTTCGCAAACGCTGGGACTTGGACAACAACGATGTCATGATTAATACTACTACGAGATTGGTGCCCCCAGCAAGTCCCGGAAATTGAGCCAGGTTGAAGTCAGGCAGTACTTCCTCGCGGTACTCGCTGAATGGAAGGCACACCCGGACCAAGCTCTTGGCGTCCGTGGTTTCTCTGCAACTGCGCATAGGAACATTTTCCAACGGGTCAACGGCGGAGTCTGTCCACACATTTTACGTCCCTGAAATCCTCTACGACATGCCTTTTTGTACACCTATTTCTTAACCTATGGAATCATGGAACGCTCGGAGTATACGCCGCCCACCTTGCCAAGAAGCTTGTACTTCTAGCACTGCGCCTTCCTCCTCCTCCAGCCTGATGCCTGCTCAGACCGTCAATCATCATGATACGCAGGCTGCTGGAGAAGATGATCCGTGAGACACACTGCGTACATTTTGGCGCTCATGTTCTCCGTTAATGCGGCATCAGATTTGTGTCACCCACGCCTAGTCAAGGCTCATTCATCAGCCGTTCTAGTATCGCTCTATGCATCTGGGCGTTGCTCTTCGTTGTCATTCGGTGCGGTATCCGTCCAATCGCGGTCTCGCATTTCATCAATTCTCATCGTTCTTCGCAGCTTGTACGTCCGATGCAAGGTTTCTGGAGTCCGCGGCGCAGACGATTACTTTATACTCGCTGCTATGGTATGACTCTGAATGCCCACTTCTTCTGGAAAATTTTCTCAACCCCTTCAGCTGTTTTGCATAATTGGAACGGCAATGATGCTGGCACAGGTTGCCAGTGGCTGGGGAAAGCATGCTTACGAGTTGCCTATTAAGCAACTCAATAAGTCCCAATTGGTGAGATATCTTCGAGCAATCATTATGCCTGCCGGTCGCGTATTACCCAAGTAACTGATAGCGAACCAGTACCGATGGGTCTTTCAACTGACATCTTTCTTCACCATCTTGTGAGTCTCAATGCGTCACGAGCACCCCACAACCAGCTAATTACCAACAGCGCCATCCACGTATCCGTCTGCTGCTTGATTCTACGTATTATGCGTGGAGCGGCAACATTTGGGAAGGCGTGCCGTCGTTGTGTTTGGAGCGTCGTAAGCTTTGACACCATCCGCTTTCTTATCAATGTAGCTGTAAGCTTCATACATCATCACCAATGATGCTGCTATTAACTTTACAGGTGCATATCGCTCAATGTCAACCTGTCCGTCGTTTCTGGGAAGTGCAAACTCGACCAAAAGGCTGCATCGACATTGGCCTTTGGGTCATGATCACCAGTTACTTGAACACACTGACCGACATCCTCCTTTTCCTCCTCCCAGTCCCACTTGTCTACAAGTTGCAAATGCACATCAACCAGAAGCTAGCAATCGCTGTAATGTTTCTAGCCGGCCTCATCCCGGTCGTCGCCTCCATAGTGCGGAACGTACATCTTATGCAATCTTACATGGACCAAGGGAATTGGATCACAAGAGACACATCTTGGTGCGTATTTCCTCTTATTAATACCAACGAGCAACCCCCAATCCTTGTTCTCAACTCACATCAACGATATTTGCCAACACGCAATCAATCGACTATCCTACCTATATACCTAATAGCTAACCTCAGAACCCACGCAGGCGCTGGGCCCTGATTCCCCTCTGGTCGCAAGTCGAAACGACCATCGGCATCGTCGCCGCCTGCATCCCAACGTTCAACCCGCTCATGAAAATCATCTTCCGCCGCCTAGGCCTCCGCACCGTCAGGACGAACACCAACGCCACCACCACCCCGATGAACGGCAAATCTCCCACCTCTCAGAACAGCCGATCCCTCGACATCAACAACAACAACAACAACGGCCGCCACCACTACCAGCAGCAGGACGACAACCGCACGACCACGTTGGCGACCAGCGTCGACAACATAGCAGCTTCTTACCTCTACCGCCGCCGCAGCTCGCACCCGGCAATCGACTCGGACCTCGAGCTCGGCGCGGTGGACCTACTCGATCGCAGCAGCAGTAGCGACGGTGGCGGCGGCGACCGGCCAAAAGTGGACCTCGATATCCAGGAGGGAGAGACGTTCTACCCCTTCCGCCCGCCCTTGCTGCACAACGACGACGACGAGGACGACACCATGCTAAACGCCATATCCCCCATCTCGGACATCAGCTTGGAGAACTACTTCCAGACGCACACGTGGGGTGGGAGCAAGCGGCAGCCGGGCAGCTTCAAGCGTCGGAGTCAGAGGAAGAAGAATAAGAAGACAAGGGCGGCGGAGGATGAGGGGGAGGGTCGTCTGAGGACGGCGGCGTCGGAGAGCTCTTCGTCGATGAGGACGACAGGAGATCTGCTGCCAACGACGACGGAAGAGCGGCCGGTGATGACGGCGAGAGAGCGCCAGCAGCTGTTTCTGCTGCAACGACCGCCGCCGCCGCAGCTGCGCTTCGTGCGACGCGCGACGCCGAGGATGGCGACGTTGACGTGCTGTTCGTCGCCTTCTGTTGCTTTGCCGTCATATTGCGAGGGGGGGTTGCAGAAACGGGCTGTCGGTGCTGGTGGTGCAAATGATGGTAGTCGTGTCGATGGTATGGGGGCCGGAGGGCCGGAGGCGCGGGGTTTTGATGCTGCTGCTGCTGCTGCTGCTGCAGGCGCGGGCAAAGTGTCGTCGCGGCACGACGGCGACGACGACGGTGGTAGTGATGGTAGAGATGTCGTGAGGAGCAGGAGGAGCAAGAGCAGTTTCAGTTCAGCGGATGGGTACTACAAGCGGTGGTGTCGTTCGCGTCGGACTAGAAGTGAGGGCGCAGCGTCGGCGGTGGTGATGGTGTGAATGCGGCTTCTTCACATTTACTCAGTCTTTTTGCCTCTTCCATTAATTCTGAGTGTGTGTTGTGTTCCTGCACACGCTGATTCCTACAAGTATTCTTCGTTGGGCATCGCAGACGACTTTCTTGCTTGCCAAAAAGTGAAGAACAGAAGAACCATGACCTTTGATCCGAACCCGCCCACGCCTGCAGGCAGGTTGGAGGCTGAATTATGCGGTGTGAGGGTGCGCGCGCATGGATCAATCTCTATTTTTTAATCAAACATCAACTACCCGCGGTTATAAGGGAACTCTGAGCATTGTCCCTCTGTATGGCTTTCAATCAATGGATTTTTGCCTACTCTAGGTAGTATCTGGGATGTTGTTGTGACTCTGGTGTGCTTTTGATTTTCCCTTCAATGGCCCTCCAGCACGCCTGAACACCTTGCTAGAACGCATCAAAGAAGAACAAAAGAAGTAAAACGGACAGTCCCAAGGACCATGATTCTGAGAAATCACAAGCCTTCATTCGGGCCATGCCTTCAGAAGCAAAAGAAAAAGAAGAGTATGAATCTGCCAGCCGATCGAGGAATAATTGCCATGGCATTATCCGGACCAAGACAAAAGGAAAAAAAAAAGGAAAACAAGAAAGGTGAAAAGGGAAGTCGAGAAGCAGTCGGATATCGAGGACAGTAGGGATCTGTTCTCATCTCTCCAGCGGCCAGTCTTGAGTAAACGGACCATGCCCCAGCCGGGCCATGAAGAGGTGGATTTTGACGACAAGAAGAAGAGGGGGAAGCCTCAGCTTCTCACATCGCACCTTCTCTCTCAAGAGCTCATGAACCACGCTTCTTTCACGTGGACGCAATGACCATCAACGGAACGCTCGTCGTCATAGTCCTCGCTCGTCAGACCCAGCTCCTGACGCAGCTCTTCCCAATACCAGAAAATGTGACTACCGCCGCTGCTGCTGCCAAGGCCGCGCAAGTCTTCAATGTAGCCGACGTTGGGAGGAAGATCGGAGAGGTGCTTGATCAGCGGCTGGCGGTACTTGTTGAGCTCCGACTCCGGCCAATCGTAGAAGGCGACATAGCGGGAGAAAAGTGAAGCGGGTATGAAGCGGATGCCAGTGCGACCTTCCAGGAACCGGCTATTATGGGAGAGAATGTGTGGTTAGCAAGATGACACTATGCAAGAACGTGATTTGGGCCATAGAGTATTTGATTGAAAGATGGGAGGTGACTGTGGCAAAACAATAGCGAATTCTCGCCTTGTTGCTTCATCGCCAACTGTGAGAGGAAGCGCGGAAAGGAAGGCATTAAAAGGGTGGGGGAAAGGCGGTTCGGGAAGAACGGCTTACACAATCTGTGTCACATTGAGGGCTCTGAAGCCTCTGTATGCCATGTAGCAGTCGTCGTTGTCCGCACTTGAGATATCGATATTCTTGCGTAGTAGCCCGGCGACCTTGGCGCGGTGCACGATGCGACCGATGTCGTGGTTGAGCTCCGACTCGTGCTCGAATACGATCGGGTGGCCGGTCGCATCCTCACAAACCATCTCTTTAACCAGACGGATGAGCGTATGGAGTAGCAACTTGCAGGTGGCGACCATGTGATTGCGGTCCTCTGTGATGATGGGTTTCGGGTTGCCGTCGAATCGCGCGATGAGTTTCTTGATCTGAGACGCAGGAAGACCAGCAGTGAGCTCGTACATGCCAAGCACCATATTTCCCTTCGCGTCATCCTCGATGTCGATACTGCTACCGGCGGTGCTGTTGGTCGAGTTGGATGAGTCGCTGCGGCAATTGTCCTGCTGGATGGTGAGGGCCTGTCTTGCAAGGTCAACGTCTTCCGACGATACGCAGATAGAATGGAAGTTGTTGTCGATGCAGAGGCTGCGATGGCGAAGCCGAGCTTGGGCGGCGATGGCGCTGCGGATCTCTTGGGTACGGAAGCCCTCTTTCGCGATCTTCAATACCGCGTTCAAAAGTTTTATGTTCCACTCTTCGACCGGAGCAATGGCCGAGTCCTCGCTGTAAGCGCCAGCGATTGTCGTAGGCTTCTTGGGACCCGAGCTCTTGCGGGGCATGATCGAACTTGGGATGAACGACTCGACTGGAGCGAATTGGCGGATCGCTACTAGGAAGTGCTCGTGGGAATTCTTGGTGGCTGCCATAATGGCTAGGAAGATGAGTTCGCTGGAACGTATGGAAGGAAGGTGAGAGAGAATGTGTAGGTGACCCGAGTGGGATGTCAGGCAGGTGAGGTGCGACGCGATCAAGTGGAGGAGTTTGGGAGAGATGCGCGAGTTTAAAACCAAGAGGTTGACGACTCCAATCTGCTGACCGATATGACGAAGTTGCCCCGGGAAACGGAGGGCTTTCAGTCGCAGATGTGGACTATGCAAAGTGAGTGGACTGCCTGACATGCTTTAGTCCATCGTGGTGAGGGTGTATGCTTGAAGTGTTGATGGTGAACGTAATTCAGCACGTGACCGTTCCCTTCTTGGGCGGCGAAATAAGAAGGCATTAAAAGCGGTTTCAGCCAAGTGGTCCGTGTCATCTGTTGGGCTTGCTGAGTATCGGTGGATAACATGTGTCCTGCATAGCAGAGTGGAACCGGTCTGTCACCGCGGTGCTGGCTGTTCCCCCTGTGGATTCCCATCTAAAAAGAAAAGTAAGCGGCGCTCTCGGGTGTGAAAGATCCCGCACGGACCGGAAACCAGAAGGCTCCGCAGTGCTTCTGGCGACCGCCCCTCGGGTCGTTGAACGCAACTTGAGCAAAACAGGGAAAAACCAACACCGTATTTAAGGTAGTTGTGATCCCACAGATGAACGGGGACTAACAGTTCTCCCCCTCTCATTTTTTAATTGCCCACTCTTCCTCGACCGGTTTTCGAACTTGAGCTTGTTGATATGCGTCTAAAGTGCGGGTTTTTATTGCCTACAGACATATCACTGTTTTTGAAGAACATCGTTGGCGCACAACACACACAACACTTCAGCCTAATCCACACGAACTATTTCACCAGGGTATAAGAAATTCATGAATAGCTTCTCTACAGCAAAGGATTACTCAAGGACTAATAGTCGTCCTTCCTGCCAGCACCACCATAACTGTCATCCCGCCCATACCCGGCCCTGTCGCTCGAGCCATACCCGCCCAATTCCTGCCTGTCCTGATCGGCATCCGTCCGACCATAGTCATTATCGCGGCTGTTAGTGGAAGCATAGCGGTCTTCGACCTGCGTGCGCGAGGAACCGAACGCATCGTCGTCCCGACGGCTGGAATCGTAGGAGCTGGTTTCGTCACGGCGAGTGCTTGAGCCATAGGAGTCGCCGTGGCCATCACCGCGGCCAAACGTGTCTTCGTCTCGGCGACTGGTGCCGTACGATTCGGCACCGTGATCGCGGCGAGCGCTCGAACCATAGCTATCACCCTCGCGGCCGTAAGCGTCGTCCCCGCCGCGACCAGCGCCAGACGAGCCGAACGCGCCTTCCTCGCGCCGCGACGAAGACGAGCCGTAACTGTCGTTGCCGTGGCCGCCGAACCCAGCAGCCTCGCGCTTGGCGGTGCCCTTCTCCTCGAGCTTGTCGCTCTTCAGGACACTGCCGGCCTTCTCCATCAGCTTGCCGACGGTCGAGTCTGTTGCACATCGTACGTCAGCTTCATTTCCTTCATAACTCGCTCCTTGTCGCCATCTCTTCTACTCTCTCTCTCTCTCTCTCTCTCTCTCCGTCCGTGAAGATGTAACAAAAAAGGCCAAACTCACCACCTTTTCCCTCACCACCCTCACTCTTACCGAAGCTCCCCGTCTTGTTGCCGAATCCCGCGCCGCTCGTCGTCCCGCTGCCGTAGCGCTCGCTCCCGCCCGAGTACGCGCCCGTGTCCCCGTGCGAGCCCGTCCTGAGACCGGAATTGTCGTACTCGTCGCGATCGTAGCCGCCTCCGCTAGACGAAGTCTTGTTGCCGAAACCCGCGCCGCCGGTCGTGCCGGAGCCGTACTCGGCGCTGCCGCCGGAGTAGGCGCTGCGGTCGTTGGAGCTCCCTGTGCGCAGGCCGCCGGTGCGTCGGTCGTCGTTGTCGTTGTCGTCGCCGTAGCCACGGCCGCCGCTGGTGGTGCCGGAGCCGTAGCGGGAGGTGTCGTCGTAGTCGGACTGGATGAGAAGTGGTGAGTTTGTGTCGACGTTTGGTGTGGAAAGGCTCTTACCATTGTATTGATTTGATGTCTCTTTGCTTTCTTTTTTCTTTTCAAAAAAAGGATATATTTGTTCTGATTTGAGGGAAGGGGTCTGTCTCTTTAAGAGATGTAAGGAAACGGGACGGCATTTATATAGCAGAATTAGATCACGATCAGGTTTGGATGTCGCAAGCACATCGGGTAAATCAGATGCATCTCAGCTGGGATGGTACTCATGTCTCGGACTAATGCATGCAATAGTGAGCCACATGGTGGAAGCACGGTCGATTGTTGGATAGCTTTCAGCTAGATTGACCCCATGTATCCCCGCACTTGTTTTGTCCCTGCTGAAGACCGAGCATTGCCAGGTTTAGTGTTGCGGACGCCACCCGCGCTTGCGTGCTTCGGGCCTGGCCAGACCATCCTCACGCCAGAGAAGGGTCCAAGCGGGGAAGGGAGCAGCGCCATGACGATGAAGGCGTGAACCTGGTAATGCAATTTGTGGCTGCCGTGCCGCTTCCACTGGACAAGGCTCTCCTCCGCTGAGGATAGGTGCTGATCGCTGATAACGCAGAAACACGGGCGAGTGAGGGGCAGCGTGGTTACATCATCCGATAACCCCACGGTAGGTTCCCAAAGAAATGGCTTTCACAATCATCTTCGCGACGAACGGCACTCAACTTACTGGATAGTGGATGCCTTTGTTTGGACTAATTATTGATTCTCCACTTACATCCGAGCAATTGCGCCAAATACGCATGAAAGAGCTTGCATGCTTGTAATGGCGCAAGCTGGCAGCCACTATGACCCTTGTACAGCTGAAAGGTGTGGCTCGTGCCTCGACTACCAGGCACAGCCACTTGCGGACCATCCGTAAACGCCTTAAATGCAGAGTACCCGGAACGCCTGTCGCTTCTCCAAATAAAATAATGACCAAATTCCTCGGGGCTATCGCACATAGCGGCTCTAAAATCAATGATCAGCGCGCTGTTCAGCTCTCGTGGGAACGATCGTAACTTACCATGAAGCGCTTGTGGAAATCGGAGCGGAGAAGGTCGTTGACGAACTCCTTGGGCTTCTTATCATCGACGCCGCGTGCTTGGTTCTTGAAGACCACATCGTCGTCCCAGCGGCGCTTGACGTTGAAGTCCTTAGGATTGAGTAGAGGGTTGCCACGGGCGATTTCGAATTCGCGGGCCTCCTGTTCCTGCTCGGCCTTTTCAGCCTCCTCCCTGGCTTTTTGCTCGGCCCGCTCCCGCTTGATCTTTTCCAGCTCGCGCATCAGCTCAGCCGTTTCGTCTTCCTCGTCGTCGTCATCTTCCTCCTCATCGCTGCTTTCGCTGCTAGAGCCATCTGAATCCGCATCTACGTCCCGTGCCTCTTCTAATATGAGTCGACGTCTTTTCGCTTCCGGTGTCTCGTCTTCTTCCATGCCATCTTCTGCCGGTGCATCTTCCAGTTGCCGCTTCGCCGTGGTGGGCGCATCGTCATCATCGTCGTTGGGGACGGGGACGCCCTTCTTCTTGGCAAAGTGTGCGGCTTCGGCCTTGAGAAGCTCTGCGCGCAGATCACGTTGCTCATCCGCGACACCGCCCTGACCCGGTTGGCGGGTTTTGAGGGTCATATGCGCCGGGAGCAGGCGCTGGTGGTAGGCTGGCCCACGGAGGGCATCCTTGCCGCGAGCCTGCGGGCACTGTTAACAATGGCCTATCGTGAAGTTAGGGGTAGTTGTACGTACCGGGTCAAACGTGGGTCTGTGGGCGGTAGTCATGGTGCGGGGAGAGTGCGGGACGACAGTTGGTGGTGATGTTGATTGAGCTCTCTGCGCGCCGCCGCGAAATGCACGAGCGGCAGGCGCCAAGGAAGGAGATCGGCGGATTTTTCGCCGACGCGCCAAGGCAAGCTCCGTCACTCTGCGGGCGCGATCCCAGAAGTTTTGGATGAGCTGCGCAAACAACCTCTCACCCCGCTGTTTTTCCCGATATCATGCCTCGTGAAGCGGAACTTTCGCTCAATGAGCGCGAGTTCATTCTCCAGGCCCTTGGCGAAAACATTCGCCTCGATGGCCGCGCCTTCGACGCCTTCCGCGACCTTGAATTGACTTTCGGCGATGAGTACGGCGTTGCTGATGTCCGTTTGGGCAAGACTAGGTGCGTTTCCCAGCCTTGCTGCCAGTAACAAGATCTGACGCTACCTCTAGAATACTGGTTCGCGTCTCCGCAGATGTTACGGCACCTTTCGCGGACCGCAAATTCGATGGTGTCTTCAACATCAGCACCGAGTTCTCACCAATGGCCTCGCCCGCCTTCGAAGTAGGCCGGTACGTCGACCGCTGCATGCCACACCCGCTTCCCAGCCGCAAACACCCTAACTGAACATACAGACAGGCAGACGGAGGCTGAGGTTATCCTCTCGCGAATCCTCGAAAAGGCCATTCGCCGCAGCGGCGCCCTCGACACCGAATCCTTATGCATCGTCGCCGGCTCGAAATGCTTCTCCGTACGCGCCGATGTGAATATCCTCGACCACGACGGGAACCTCATCGATGCTTCCTGCATCGCCATCATCGCCGCATTGCAGCACTTCCGCCGCCCGGACATCGCTGTGGAAGGAGAGAAGGTGACGGTCTTTAGCCCGAGAGAGCGCGAGCCTGTACCACTCTCGATGCTGCACCATCCGCTCTGTGTCACTTTCTCGTACTACAACAACGGAGAAACGATGCTGGTGGACGCCACGGCGGCGGAAGAGCAGGTGCGCGAAGGCGAGATCATCATCACGATGAACAAATTTGGCGAGATCTGCCAGATCGCAAAGTATGGAGGCGTACCTGTCGACCCTTTGGCAATCCTGCAGTGCAACAACGTGGCACTCAGCAAAGTGCAAACAATCACGAAATACATTCAAGGGAAGTTAGAGGAAGACAGCAAGAAGAGGGATAAGGGAGGCTTGATGGCTGAGCTTAGCGCTGAGAACGAGAGATGATGTTGCTGAAAGGTCTATGGCGCACACATTCCAAAAAGACGGATGGTCATATGAGCCGTCGTTGCTGGAAATTTATCAGATGAGACGGTCATCCCGAGAAGGAAGCGACAAAGAGGATGCACAACCGCATGCTCTGAGACAATGGAATCCTACGGACGATTCACGTTTCGGTGTTTTCAGACGGATGTCCATCTCCGGCCGCGGTTGCTCCGCAGGGGCTCAGCAGCCTTTACGCATGCAGAGAAGCAGCGGACAGAATTGCTCACACCACCTCCGAATAGGCAATGCAGAGAGCTAGGGTAAAATTCAAATCATGGCTTGGCGGAAGGCTCTGTCTCCGTTCCCGCGACCAACTCGGCCGTTTGATTAGTAGTTTCAACAGTCCAGATGCGCGCGTCGCGTGAGTCGCGACCTGACGATGCTTATACGTACGTTCAGGGGTCTGAGTAATCTTGGTCTGAGCCACACAGCCACGCAGGAACGCCCATCAGATGCAATTTGAGTTCGCCTGCATATTCTGACTTGCATGCTCGCTTCGACCCGCCTCTCGCCGTTACATGGTATCGTTTTCCGTTTAAGGGTCGGCGAAACGGCTCGGCAGGGGCGGTCGAGCGGCATACGTCATCATGAACAGCTCGAAGGTAGCTGCGGCTACGCCCGTAATCCTTGTCATTGACAATGATGATGTTTTAACTCCGAGCTCTTCCAAACCACACCCGTTCCAGGCCTTTCCATGACTCGGATCTCCCCAGACCCCGTTCCGATGCGACTCGAGTAGTTATATGCATAAAAAGACCATAGCCTATCCGCCGTTATTAGTTTGCAAATCGAACCGCTTCTCTCAACAAAAATATCAGCCATGGCTTCAAAGCTCATTCCGTCGAATCCGGAAGCTGTCACGGTCATTCGTGAGGTCGTGCCCGGCACCATCGTCACCAGCTCCGCACCTTTCCTTCGCTATGGTCGTATCAAGATCGGCGGCAGAGGCACAATTGGTGCGTTAGTTCTTGTTTGAGTTTACCTTTTGCCATGCTAACTTAGGTTCACGCTCAGTTCGTATGCAGAATGGAGCGCTCGCCGTCTTCTCACCAACGGCGCTCACAGAGGAGCTTAAGAGCAAGGTAGACTCGATGGGCGAAGTCAAATACATTACTGCCCTCGACTATGAGCACCACATCTTCCTGGGACCCTGGTACAAGGAGTACCCCAACGCAAAGGTCCTGGGCCCCGAGGGTCTTCCCGAGAAGCGCCAGAAGCAGAGCAACGAGAACGTGCCCTTTGCCGTGGTGTTTGAGCCGAGCAAGAAGCACGAGATCAAGGTCGACCCCGAGGTACGCATGACTTGCCCATTCCGAAGTGCGTGTCGCACAGCAGCTAACTGGGCCAATAGTTCGACGCCGAGTTTGAGTACGAATATGTCCACGCGCACGCCAACAAGGAAATTGTCTTCAACCACAAGCCCACGAAGACGCTGATTCAGGCCGACCTTATTTTCAACATGCCTGCGACCGAGCAGCACAGCAGGCTCGGTGACGCCCAGCCGGGTTTCCTCACCAAGTTCTTCTCTCTGTTCACGAACCTGCAAGGCGAGGCCATCGGCCACAGGAGGTTCCTGTGGTATATGGCCAGCAAGCCCGACCGGGCAGCATTCAACGAGAGCGTGGCCAGGATCAACTCGTGGGACTTTGAACGCATGATCCCGTGCCATGGTGACGTGATTGAGAAGGAGGGCAAGACGGCGTTTCAGAAGGTCATGAAGTGGCACCTGGACGCTGCGCTCAAGAAGCAGTAGGCAGGGGTGTTGTAGACGACATGGCGGGCGGTGAGGGGGTGCAGAGCTTGTTCGGGCGTTGGCGGGAGAGAGTTGCGCGGCGTGGAGGCGGCGTGTGTGGCCCTAGTGTATACCCAGCATGAGAGGCGGTGAAATTGATGCATTTCCTGTGTTTTGAAAGTTGTTGAATTTTATGGTGATCATCACCACGGCGGGAGCTGACTGACGCTCCGACACCACCGGCGGCCCGCGTCCAGCTGTTTGCGCTTGAAACGCCGGCCGACGCGTGGACCGCTCCGTCAACCTCCCAACACCATGAATACACAGCTGCCATGGACTTTGTACGGCCTCCCGACGGCTTCTCCCCGCGTGCCCCAGGACTCTGCTGACCCTCTCTGCCATAGTGGACGCGGTTGATCGGTGGCTCTGGCGCGCAGAAGCGACGCTCGACCGCCAACGACCCGCAGCAGCGCCTGGCCCGCTTCAAGCGCGTCTATAACCAGATCTTGGTGCGCTGCCCCTTTGCATTCTCTCCACAAGCTCTTTTCTGACCGCCGTGCAGCAAACATGGCAGAAGTCGGCTCAGTTGGCCGGCGACTGGCCCGCCCTGGACTCCCTCCGTTCCCATTTCCAACGCCTGACAGCCATCCTCAACGAAGAATCGCGCTCGCCCGCGCCGCACCTCTGTCTTACCTTTGCCGCTAGCTCTCACATCTTCTCCGCCATCTCAAAGATCGCCGCCACGTCGCACAATGAGGCCCTGGTCAGGGAGGCGGTGGGCTTCTTCAGCGCCCTCATTGACAGCGAGGAGGAGGACTTCCTGGCCAACGGCCGCTTCGCCGAGGCCCTGATGTCCTTCATCTCGCGCATCGCGAGCTCCCAGAGCCTGGTCGTCGGCGAGGACACGGATGCCGAGATCGTCGAGCTGCTGTTCGGCATCGCCGCCAAGATCAGGCTGGAGCCGGAGCTGCTGCCCGTGTGGTTCAGCTCGACGGGCAAGGTCGACTCGGACGGCGGCATGGTGCAGCAGGTCGGCTTCGCAGGCGTTATCCGCAAAGAAGACTTCCCCCTTTGCTACCAGCTCATCGACCACGTCCACCACGAAGGCCGCATCGGCGACTTCGCCCGCACCGGCCTGCTGTACATCTTCGAGACGTCGTCAAAGTCGCACGACCTGGAGCAGTGGATTGTCGAAAGCGACTTGGCTACCCTCATGGCAAGCGGTCTCGGTGCGCTGTACAGTCAGCTGAGCAGGAAGCTGTCCATCGTCCACCCCAAGGACGATCTGCCCATCATCCTTCAGCTGTCCGACTATCCCGAAGTCGAGAAGGCCATCAACGATTCCGAGAATGTCTTTTCGGAAGACTTCAAGCTTCACATGGATACGTTCTTGTCTTATTTGGCGTTCTGGCAGGACGTGCTTGAGCATTGCAGATCGCCCGACGTCAGGCAAACTTTGATTGATCATTTCCAGGTTCTCTTTCTGCAGCAACTACTGTAAGCTTCCACAGCCCTAGCGTGGCTATGTACTGCTAATGAACTGATAGATACCCATCCCTCTTTGAGTCCTCCGACGTGGACGGTGGATCCGCCGTTGCCGTTCTCAATTACTTAAGGCGCATCCTCGATGCGCTGGACCACCCAGAACTCGTCCATATGATTCTGCGCTACCTGCTGGCCCTCCCAGATGAGCAAGCCGGCCGTCCGAGATCGAGAAGCGTCAAGAAACGAAGGTCGACCCTCATGCTGCTCTCCAAGCCCAATGACAAGGAACCAGAGCTCAACCCGTCTCTTTTCAACCTGGTGGATCTTCTCTTGAACTGCACCCAGTCACGGAATCACCAGACGGTTGCTTCTGCGTTGAAATTGGTTTCCACAATCCTCAGCAAAAACCACAAGTACGCCACTGGAACGCTTGTCAATGTCACGGAAGTTCACAACAAGGATCCCCTCCGGACTGTTGGAGCTTTGCATGCAGAGATTGAGAGCTACCTCGACCTCGCTGAGAACATGGTTCCTGGATCCGATATCAACAGAGAGTACGAGTCTTTCTTGAAGGATGTTCTTAACCTCTTGGAAGCTCACCCTTGCTCGATGAAACACCTCTCCCTTCACGGATTGAACCTCCCGAACCAAGCTGCTGTGGATTACCTCCACGCGGAAATACGCAAGGAATCCACCATTCACCACCTGACGGCTGGAGACGCCCTGTTCAAGTCCTTGATGGGCATCCTTTCTAACTTCTTCACGAACAATGTCGAAACGAACCTTAACCTTACAGAAGCTATTGTTAATCTTGCGACATGCCCTAATCTGCGATTGGAGGGCTGGCTTGCTGTTGAGCCGACGAATTACCAGTTCAACCCCAACGAGAACTTCGACAATGAAGACGAGGACCTCAAGGATGTCTTCCGAGCCCGCCGCAAACCTAAATGGACCCCCCATGGCGCCCCTGCCTTGATGGTTGCCCTCAACAACCTCCAAGAACAGATTGAATGCCTGCGCGAACAGATACCGGACTTCAACCAGCACGTTGCGAACCGCAAGCAGGCCTTCCGTGTGCACGAGGAACTCAACGAAGCCATGCGCTCCACTGCCAACTTCCCGCCACCAACGCCACTAGGTCCGCCCAAATCTTCGCACGGCGAAGCTCCCACCGGCCCCGGCTCGTGGACACCACAGTTCCAGAACATGCTCGAAGGCACCATCAGCCCGCTTCGCTCTCAATCGCCACGTGGCCGCGCGCACACTATTCAGCCAACGGTCCGCCTTTCACCCGCGCCCAAACAGCCCCGTCTGGACGCGCCGAGCTTGAGCCCGAGTCCACATCCATCGACGTCGAGGTCGCCGGTCAGGGGTAGCGCGAGAGGAGTCAGTCCGGTGAAGCCGCCGATTGTCATTCCTGATCCCCGCAGGCCAAGCCTCACATCCACAGTGCTGAATGATGTGAATGATGCAGCGAATGCCGAAATCTTAAAGAAGGTCATAAGGTTCCCATTGCAGATGTCGGAGGCAAGGAAGAAGAAACTCCAACAGCAGAATCTGATGGATAAGGCGCTGCCGGCGCTGCCAAAGGAACAGCCGCTGACGGAGGTCGCGGAGGAAAATGAAGGAAAGGCGGAGGGAGCTAAGGGCGAGGCGGAGAAGGACGGCGCAAAGGTGGATCGGGCAGCAGACGCCGCCACTGCCGCCGACTCAGGGGTAGAAGGAGCGAAGAAGGACGCGAAGGATGGCGATGCGCCGGAGGCTAAGAGCACGGATAGTGCCGCCGCCGCCGCCGAGCCACAGCAGCAGCAAAGCAATGGCGCTACGGCTACCGAATCCACTTCCAATGGCGACACGGAAGCTTTCCCTGCGCTGGAGGACGAAATGCTGCACAGCGAGCCCTTCCCCGAGTTGCCCACCGAGATGCCTATCGACGAAATGGCTGCCGAGAGCAACGACGTTCCCGACAACACCAACACTAGCAACGTCACCCTAAACATCCCGCAACACGAACACCAATCACGTCGTTCGCGGGCACCTAGTTGGAGGTGGGAAGAGAAGAAAGAAGATGTCGATGAGATTCGCGAGGCTACGCTCGGCCACGTCCTGACCAACGTGGTCATCCTGCAGGAGTTCGTGCTCGAGATCATCGCCATTCTACAGGTTAGGGCAAGTTTGTTCCAGGAGGTGAGGTTTGTGTAGCATGATTCCAGGTGATTGGTTGGAAATTGTGTCTGTGGGATGATGGGATGATGGGAGGACAGAGAGGAGACCGGAAGAGACAGGAATTGGGTGGTGGTAGCGGTGAATGCAGGCGATTGGTGGATGATGATCCATTAGAAAGGCATAAATGTATAAAAACAGTAACGCCCCTTTCTTTCTTATTTTCTTCTCCCTGTACACGAAGCAGCCTGCCTTTTTTGTTTTTCGATTTAGTAGATAAAGGGGGTGTGGGTTGAGAGGAAACATTAGTGGGGAGTGTGGTTTGGGAGTTTGACAGATGATATCGTTCGTACTGTCGTTAGTATTGGATTGTAGTTGTAGTTGTAAGTCGTCGTTGCCGTTGGTGTTCTGGTCGTCTGATATAGAACTTGTGGAGCGAGCGAGCAAAGCGAGCGAGTGAATGGTATCCAACCCTTGTTTTCTCTCCCTCTCTCCTTCTTTCTATATCTTCGCATACTTCAACGGTGTTCTGTTTTGTAAGGAGTTCGAAGCATTTTTCATCGCATCCAGGATGTTACTGATCTAATCACACTGTAAACACTGCTATAAAGGCTGCCAATATTATTGAAATCACTTCATTAGTTAAAAGGTAAAGCCATCGGCAGTTTCAGACCATATACTTTAATATCTGTGTAAGAGGTAGCTACCGAGAATTCACAAGTCCTTTCATACCACGGTATTAATTTGTATTATCACTGTCCTCCAAGCTCGCCAATATATCTACGTCCAGCCCGGTGGTCTATTTTGTCCACTACACCCGCCCACTCCACGCGCCATAAAGCAGTCTTTGATGTAATCTATTGCTACGGTTTTGATTGATTCTTTTTATCGGCCATCTTTACGGAGAGCGGTGGGCGTGGCTCTCCAATAGAAAGTGTCCGCACAGCTCAGGCACCAACAAGTCTTCAGCCCACTCTTGTAGCCCAAGTTCCGGGTCTTTATGTCACTGAAGCAGTTCGTGAAGTTTCAACAGCGTAGTACCTTTTCTTTCTGGTTCAGTGTATGTTGAGCTAATTTTCGGCACAATTAACACAGCTCAAATTTCGTTCAGAACACCATGTTGTTACATCAGTCTACCTTGATCTACATGCGTCCTATATAACCTTTCACGACACACACGTTTCACCAAGGCTCGCAGATTTTTCGAACAAAGAACCTATTCACGGCAGGATATGCTGCACCAAACCCACCCCCCATATCCAGTCTACCACCATAACAAATTAAATGGAGAACGAAGAAAAACTTTTTATCCCAGCGTCCCCCCTCGCCATACTCCCTTTCCATGCAACTGGGCCCCATTCGTACTACTCTAGCGTCACCAGCCTCCACGCGGATTCAAGTCCAGAACCATCACTCTCAAACACTTGAGAAAACCTCACATCCACCTCCTCAAATCGCCTTCTGTGACGTTCAGCTCTTGTATTATCACTTGAGAAGAGTGGGCGGTAAGTTCATATTATTAGAACTACATTCCATAAACCAGACCCCAAGGACCATTAGTACAGCGCGAAGGCCGCAATATCTCGATATCCCCCTTCCTCACCGACGCCACTACCTCGAGAAGGAAAAAAGGAGAAGAGAAAAGGAGAAAGTGAAAGTGTATTGTTGGAAGAAACAGACAGGAAACCTCCAAGCCAGCCCCGACCCGAATTCAGCAAGGAAAAAATATGTATACGAAGTTACAGTATGCATTACATCTTCCAATACACCCGACTCAAACGAGTAGCGCGAGCGAACCCCCCTAGAAGACTCCTCCGTCCCTTCCAACGAAAAAAACATATTGGTATCTTAATCCTCCTCATGACGCCTTGATCCAGCTCAGCCTTATCCCATCTAAAGCTCGAGCAATCCGGCTCATGTTTTTCACAATCAACTTTTCTGCGCCCCAAAACACCTACCTTACCACTGTTCGCCTACCTGCTTCAGCTCAGAGCAGTCCTTCTCCCAGTCCGGCACACAGCACCGACACGCCGCACCCGTCCCTACCTTCCCCCCTCCATCCAACGCAAGACCCCCGACCTGTCGTCTCGTCTCGGAGTGCGCGCGCTCGTGGCGATAAGCAATACTTCCCCCCCGCGGCTCACGGAATGAATATCCGATACCCCCGACGAGTGTGTTCAGGCCAGGCCCGCCGATCTCATTTTGCGAGTAAAGTCCGCCGGCGGCGGCGGCGGCGGCCTCTTGCCACGGTTGTTGGATGTGATGTGGTGATTATTTGCCGCCTCCCTCCCTCCCCCCTCTTTTCCCTTATTTGTGTCCCGAGCTCTCGGCCTGACCCGAGTCCCTGTCGAAGGATTCCAGAAGAAGATCGCCCGCCGTCACACCCGCACGCACGCGAATAAAAAGCTTCTTTGACAAGCCCCGGCGCTATAGGCGCCACAAAAGGAAACCACATACCTTCGAGCGTCTCCACCACGCGCCCAAATGAAAAAGAATCAATCCACGATCCTTCTCTTCCCCCCTTTTTCTTTTGTCCCTTTTACCACCAACCCATCACCTCAAATCCATCCCCCCCGCCGTGACCGCCCTCGTCGCCAGCACCTCGATCCGCCTGGCGTACAGCTTCATCATGTGGCACATGGGGTCGCCGAACACGGCGGCCCTCAGCTCCTCGTCGGCGACGGTGCATGCCTCGACGTTTAGCTCGCCGAGCGGATTGGGCGGATTCGACGCGCCGGGGCGGTCTCGCAGCAGGATCAGCCTGCCCGCGCAGCTCAGAACGCCCGGCGGGACGTTCCATGTCGGCGGGGGAGGCTTGGAAGGGTTAGTGCTGCCACCGGATGCCGACGACCAGCTGTTAGACTTGGTCTTCTTCTTCTGCTGCTTCTTCCCGCTGTTGGAACCGGGTAGCAAGCTGGTTGAGCTTGCAAGTGCTAAGCTCGACATGCTCGTTAATGCGCAGCTATTGCTGTTCGGAGGAGCCGCCGTCCGGGGCGCGGGGGTAGCGTAGAGCCGGAGCATGTTCTTGATGACGTCCTTGTCGGCGCGCACGACGGGGTCGCCCTCGTTGATGAAGCCGAAGAACAGGCTCTTCTTCCACTTGCGATCGGCCGGGTTCTCGGGCTTGCGCAGCGGCAGCAGGCTCACGGGCGGCGCGCCGAACGTGACGCAGTGCACGCGCTTGAACAGCTGCGTCAGCTGGTTCAGCTCCGACGAGACCGTCGTCGACATCATGTGGGCGTATAGCAGGCTCGCGACGGCGCCGCCGGCCGAGTGGCCCGTGATGAGCAGCGAGCACGTCGCGCGCTTGGGGTTCTTGCGGAGCAGGCTCTGCAGGCGCGCGGCCACGGGCGCCACCATCTTGCGGGCGACGTACAGGAAGCCCGAGTGCACGAGGTTGCCCTCGTCGTCCAGGAAGCCCTTGGGCGTCGTCGGCGCGGGCCGGAAGTTGACGGCCCAGTCCATGAAGCCCGCGCTGCCGCGGATGGCGAAGACGATCGTGTTCATGTCGTCGACGGGCACGCTCTTGATCACCATGGCCTTGGTGCCCTGCCGCCAGTCCGGCTCGACGTGCGTCTCGCTCTCGTCGGCTTCGGCATCGCCGGGCGCCGGCTTGTGGTACACTTTCTCCGAGTACTGCGCGGCCAGGCACAGCAGTGGCCAGGTCGGCATGTACACCTTGAGCGGTGGTAGGTGCGGCGGCAGGCGCGAGTTCGCGTAAAGCCAAACCTTGCTGAAATGATTGCTATAGGATGCGACAGCGGCAATATTTTGATTATTGCCCTTTGACACATCCAGGGAGCTTTGATGCGGCTCCGGAGGGTGCTCGTATATGACTGCCAAAAACGTCAGCGACATGATTCGTCAATTGCATGCTTATCAGGAAAAAGCAAAAAAATAATAATATAACCTACCGAGCTCCTGCTCATTACCGCTGAAGACCTCGTCGTCAATGGAAGTGATGATCTGATCCAGTTTTGACGAGATCAAATCGCACAGGGCCACCGTGTGGGCCATGTACTGGTTTCCGCGGTCCTGCAGATTGCTGACCGACCGCGACGCCATCTTCTGGCGCCGCTGCAGGCCGTCGTTCAGATTCGTGACCGACTGCGACGCTAGCTGCTTCTTCTGCTTGTAGCTCTCGTTGATGCTGCCCAGCGACTGCGACGCCAGCTTGCCGGGCTTCCGCAGCGCCCCGTTCACGCGCGCGTTGAAGCCTTGCGGTGATGGCTGCTGCGGCTGCTGCTCCTGATGAACCACCACCTGCATGGGTGGGGATGGCGACGGCGGCGGGCCCCAATGGTGCAAAGCTTGCGGGGGAGCAGGAGGCTGCTGCGCGCCCCATTGGCCAGCCATCTGCGGGGGCGACGGCTGATAGGCTACTAAGGTCTGCGATGCCGCAGCGCTGGCGTCTTGACCGTAATGGTAAGCATGATGCTGCTGATACGGCCCGTCGCCAGGCTGCGGCGGCGGAAGCCAGGCCGGGCTCGAGTTCGCATGGTACATTGGCGACGGCGACGGCGATGGAGCTTGGGCTCCTCCTCCTGGAACTGGCGACGACACAGGGCGCGTCGAATTCGACGACGCCGACGGCGGGGAGACGGTCACCAGGGGCGGCGACGGCTGCGTCTCGACGAGCGTCAAGGTGGTTTGCGAGGGATGGTAGTAGTAGCCGCCATGTTGGGCCTCAGGCGGATACGCGTGGAGATGGGGGGAAGATTCAGGCGGCGGGCGAGAATAAGGTCCGGGCCGGTATGGCAGTGCGAGCTGGGTTTGCTGGCCTTGCGAGGAGACAGGCCGGGGCGGTATGGCAGGTTGCGAGTGCGATGGGTGATGATGTCGTCCGGGAGCAGAGTTGCTATTTTGGGAGCTCTGGTGGTGATGGTGCTGATGAGGACTACTCCCTCGTCCTTCTGGCTCGTGTGCGGGCTCCTTTCGCCGCTTGTTTGTTTTGCCGAACCATAGCACCGTCATATCGTTAGCATGCCGCTCATAAGAAGTCGACCGAAGCCCGCGACTCCTTGGTATTTCTTGCGCGGCTGGAGTCGTGCGAGGCAGGAGGCGAAGAGGCTGACTCGGGGGCCAAGCCTCACTCACAGCCCTGCTTAGCGGCGCCGATGATGCCACGGGCGATGCGATGCGGCGTCCAGCGATGACGACTCTGCCGATCTGGGACGCAAATTCAGTCAGCCATGCTACAACATGCTGCTATCAATACATGTGAGCCGTCCCGAGAATGCGCGCAGTAGTAGGATGTTAGAGCAAACGCTTTCCGAGCAAGCGCCGTCCAAGTCCCATCGTGTGCGGCGCCGCATCAGATTCGACTGCTCACAGCCACACTCCTGCTCCAAGCTCTCATATCCCCGCCGCCTATTCGCTACCACCCCCCGTCCGACTCGCATACGTAGACGCACGTATTACAGGGTCGCCCTTTCGTACTCGTCAAGTCGAAAAAGCCGCTCTATTGAACCTTCGCTCCAGTTTCATCTTGATTCGCCGACGACCCCCCAGCCGCGTACTGCCGCACGCCTGCATCGGGCAAGTCCTCACCCTCGCACGTGATCTGCTGACGGCCCATGAGACTTGTGTTTGTATGAGGCCCATGGCGCATTTTTCAAACTTTTTTGGATGCTCGAGTAATGCTAGAACTGCCCCTAATCCATCATCTCTCCAACGTACAATCGGCAGTCAGATGCAGCCAGCCAGCCATGCGCCCTTAACTCTCCCAATGCCCCCTGTTCCCGTGCTGATGAGACCAGCCGCTGTCATTCCCCCTCCCAAATAACATGTGTGCCCTAACACTAACATGCGTGCCAGCCTGGGACAGCAGGGCCATGATAACCAACCTGTTGAAGCCTCCTACCTTTCCCGCTGACGCGCCCAAGAAAACAAGAACAAACTAAAGATGCTTCACGCGCCATCACTTCGTCAAGAAGTCGCCCGGGCTGCACGGGCTAACACATCGCGTGGCTATCTGCACCAGAAGCTCGTCTGCTGCCATTGGCGCGGCAAGCAACCGAGCTGCGAGCTCGACAGGCTCCGTCGTCTCAGTGCCGCGCACTGCCAGAGGCTTGAATCAAATAATACACTAAAACTCCTGAAACAAAGCACCGTGTCTGTCGCTCGTTAGCACAAACCCTCGAAAAACGGGGGGAGAGAACGTACGGGTCGTCGCCGCTTGCTCCATAGGCTTCTGTCTCCTCGGGGTACTTGTCGAACTGACTGGCATCACCCGCACCTGCGCGGACCGGGGGAACATATGGCGCATCAATGTCCTTCTTGGCCAGCCTCTCCCAGGTGACCTCTGCGAACCACGGGTGGTTCATGACGTCCTTGGAGCCTCCGTGGAGGTTACCCAACCGCTTCGTGAGGTCGGGCGTGATGAGCTTCTGCAGCAGGTCTTGCGCGTCCGGGTGCACGTATGGTGGGTACTTGACGCGGCCTTTCAGAATGTTCTCGTAGATCTTCATTGGCGAGCCGCCGTCCCAAAATGGCGTGAAACCGCACAGCATTTCGAAGATCAGGATGCCGAGTGACCACCTGCGTTTCTTAGCTCATCTGCCTTCCTTCCTCCCTCGCGAAAGCCGGGCAAACTCACCAGTCAACAGATTTGTTGTAACCCTTCGATGCGACGACTTCCGGCGCGAGGTAGTCGGGCGTACCGCAGAGCGTCCAAGTAATGTCGGGCACTTCTTTCGCGAAACCAAAATCCGTAATTTTGAGATGGCCATGACGATCCAGCAGCAGGTTCTCGGGCTTGAGATCGCGGTAGATGATGTTCTGCGAGTGCAGGTAGTCGAGTGCTAGCGTCACTTCTGCCGCGTAGAACTTGGCGACGGGGTTGGGGAAGCGCTGGAGATCGGGTCAGCTCAAAACGAGATGGGGGCGGGATGGAGACAGGTGGCGCCATACCTGCGACTTTCGTAGTAGACTGAACAGCTCACCGCCCTCGACGAAGTCCATGACCATGTACAGATTCTTGGAGTCCTGGAAGGTGCCCCACAGGGTGATGAGGAAGGGGTGCTTGACCTTCTGCAGCATGCGGCGTTCGTCGTTTGTGTGCTCGACCTGCTTCATCTTGACGACCTGGGCCTTCTTCAGGACCTTGATGGCGTAGTAGCGCTGGTTGTGCTTGGACTGGACGAGGTGCACGCGACCGAAGGAGCCGGTGCCGAGGGTTCTTTGTATGGAGAAATCATTGAGGGTGTATTTGCCCTTGGTGGTGCGGACCGAGGGTGTCGCGGCCTGTTGACCGCCGGCAGGGGTCACAGCGCTGCCGTTTTGGGCCATTGTCTTCTCCTGGGCATTATTGAAGGAGCGCGAGGCGTCGGTGCCGTTGGCGGGGTTGATGAGATTCTGTATGCTGGGCAGGTTGTGCGTGTGCTGCGGCTGGGGACTGTACGGCTGCGGGCTTTGGGAGCTAGTTTGCGGGGTCGCGTACGGCTGCGCGTAGGGCTGAGAGGAGTTCATAGGTTCGGCGGGACGAGTGTTCTGCGTCAGCGAGTCCTGAGGGGCGTGGCCGGAGGTGTGCGAGGCGGAGGGGCCCGGCGATAGGGATGCGTGCTGTGCCTGGTGGTCGGAGCCGGTCTTGGAGACGGTGGGGGTGATGGGCGAATGGGTGTCCTTTTCCTTGACGGGGGAAGACGGGGCGGCGTCGAGGTCCCGAGAACCAGACGAGTCCTTCGTCCTCTTTTTTTTCAAGAAGCCTAGAGTCGGCATGAAGTATGCGCCGCGATCGAACCCAGGGCAATTGGAATTCCCTGCCCAGCCTGAGGAGCTGCCCGGGGAGGTGCCGTAACCCAAAGGTGCTGCAAGGTGGATCTGGCGCCGATCCTAGTCGCGTTCAGCCGGCTGCTGTGCGGGGTGCGGAAGCAGGCTGGGGGCTGGGCTGATATAAAGCAGGCAGGCAGAACTGCAATGCTGGTGAGGCGCAGCGCTCGCTGCGATGGGGAGCGTGCCGGGTCGCTCGCACGCACGACGCGGGCCGGTTGGGCAAGGGAGCAGAGGGGCCCAGGCCGGGGGGCAGTCGAGACAGGAATGCCCGACGGCGGCGGCAGAACAACACGCAAGTCGGCGAGGTCGTGAAGGCAGGGGCGGTGTTGGCGGGCAGGCCTCAGGGCGCGAGTGAGGATAAGGAGTGGTCGTGGGGGCGCCGCGGCGGGGGGGAGGATTGAGAAGGCAGCTGCTCTGCGAGAGGGAGGGGCGAGCGGGCTGCTGCGCTGGTCGACTGCTGGAGGGCGAGCGTAAGGGAATAGTGCGTAGGTCAAGCACCTGGAACCGGCCACCACGGCCACGCCTGGAGCCGCGCCCGTAATTCGCTTGCCCCTAGGCTCGAAGCGGAGGGATCTGCCACGGGAGGTCGCTTTGGGGATCGACGCTCGCTCTTGCACGGCCTGCGCATCGAGAGTATCGCAGTCGCCAATCGCCCGCGCAGGCTAATAATACTCGTCCGCAACGGCGTGCTGAGAGGGCGTGTCGGCAGCCGCCAACATCCCGCGTCGCCCGCACGCCCGCCCGCCCTGGCTTTCCCGCTGCGCTCCGCCCGCTGCGTCACGACGTCACCCGATGCCCTTGGACCTGCAACAAAGAAGCGAACCTCTGCCAAGGCAGTCCAGCAGCAATCACCCGCTGCGCGCCGGCGCTGCTGCTGGCCGTCGCCCGCCCAGTGCCACGGCCGGCGGTGAAAGTAGGCCCGCGGCCAGGGCCGCCTGAAATGAGACAGGGTGAGACAACAAACAGACGGCCTTTGAGGCCTGCTCCAAATCAGGCACTCGCTCGCCGTCGTTGCGCACGGGGCGGTCGATGCGCCTCGAGATTGACTCCCAGAGGCGCTGGCCGTGCGCTTTGTCGGGCACACTAGCCTCTACGCCCCAGGGTGATTTACTGTTGACGTGCTGCTGCTTCATGTGAAGGCCCAGCCCGACGCAACCGGCCCGGCGCGCAACGGCTTTGAGACCGCCCTGCGCCGGATCAAGCGAGCGAATGACAATAAAAAAGCTGACGTCTTTGGCTGAGCCCTCATGCATTCATTGCGAAGCTGTACTTGATTACTTACATCCACTCGCTCGCTATTCCGGGGCGCCGTCCCAATCCATCCAGACGCCGAATCCTAAACCCATATTTTGCACCTTGCATTGCACAGAGTCATAAACATCGTAACCTGCCCCGCACTCAGAGCTCCTCCTGCGTCACCGTCTCTCCGTCTTCGGTCTTTGCTGCAACCTTGGGCTTGCTGGCCATCAGCAAGTCGAGCCCGCACACGTCCATTCGGTTTCCGCGAAACTTGGAGTACAGCTTCTCCCAAACCCACCTGGCCTCGTCCTCTTTCGGCCGCAGCTGCACCATCTGCCCGTACGGCACATCATACTCGGGCCCGGGGAGCTCGGGATCGGCAAGCCGTACGTATGCCGTCGTAGTCAAGAATTGCGTCGAGTTGAACGATTCGGCGTCGTCAAGAGCCCGCAGCTCGGGGGATTCGTAGTACAGTGTTGTTTCGGCCTCGGCCGTCGGCGGCAACAAAGACGTCGAGGCCTCGAAGTGCTTCTGGAACAATTCTTGATCGCTAAAGTCGTCCTTGCCGAGTGCGGCCGACAGCTTCCTGAAGGTCGACATGGACGGCTGCATAAGCATGAAGTTGGTTGAGATTCGGGATGCTGTAGGATCCTCGGGGAGCGCTGCAAGCCTCTGAGAGGGAGAGAAGGCCAGGAGGGCATCCATAGCCAGAGAGTCAATGATGACGCCGGATGGCGCAAGATAGAGGAGCCGATCGAAGTCGATTAAAGAAAAGAAGCTGGCGAGAGAATACTTCGGAGGGACCGAGTCTACAAATGTCAGCGATACAGACGGCTCTCTCGGGAAGTAGCACCACATACCCTTGATGATAGGGTCGACTGGGCGGAGAACCACTCTGTACCTCCTCACGGCTGCCCTCAGTAGTCTCCTACTGGTGTCGAGGTAGGGGTCCTCCTCCTCTTCGTCCTCGATCCAAGCCCTCGGGAACATCAGAACCCGGGTAGCAGGGCTCTTCTCTCGATGCAGCTCCGCGAACTGCATGACGGCAGTGCACACATCGCGATGGTCCGTGACCAGCTGCACATAGCCCAGTCTTCTCCAGTCTACCTGCGTTTCTTCTATGAACTTCTCATGTTTCGGATCGCGGGACCCAAGCACTCTCGCGAGCCTTGCATTTGGGTTGAAGGGCTCTTCCGGCACGGATTTTGTAGGTTGAGGAAGGCGAGGTTTGATGGCTTCCTGGATGCCGCGTACGGTCTGCTGCTGGAGAATGTACCCAGAGAGGAAAAGTAGAAATGTGAATATGAATACTGCAAGGCGGGGTCAGCAAATTGGCTTGTGCAACGACTAGGAGATCCGTGCGGGTGGTGGTGGGAAGCGGTGTTTACGCACCTATAGCAGACGATATGGCCATGGAGACCTGGCCGCCCGTGAGCAACACCATCTCTCACGATATTTCGGACGTCGCGGTGGAAGTGATGCGCAACGGATTGACGCGTCTGTGTGTCGGTGCGGCGCGATGTGCACCCTCGTCATCGTCACAGCCCGACTGCTTCCTTGGACACGCGATGGTTGCGCCGGGCAACGCTATCGATACAGGGATCGCCTTGCCCGCGTGCGCTTTGGCAAGTCTGGCGCTTACTATCCGGGGCGCTTGTACGGCACAGCCAGCCGAGCGCGCGACTCGCCGAAGGCGTCTCTGCTGCCCAGCAGTTGGGCCTGCGGCATTTCCAGCGGACGTTGAGAAAGCCCCCGGGCGGTGGATCGTCTCCGTCTCCACGATCATCACAACCATCTCCACAACCAGTTACTCAGGGGCGCCTGCCCCGAAAATGCCAGCTTCTCACCCTGACCACTTGCCAGCGCAGCAAATACATGGCATCTTTTTCTTGAAGGCGAGATAAAAGGGGCTTGGTACTTCCAAGATCTCGCTTGTGCTCGCTCGGCATGATCCGGACGCCCCAAGTGGCAGCCGCCATATCGGGTATCATCTTCGCCGCCAAAAATAGTCGGCACTTATTGGCAGCGATTGAGATTAACGAAACGCGTGAAATGATGATCGTGGCGCAATTCTGCGTGCATTTTCCCACCCGCCTGGAAAAATTGGGAGATTGATGCCTCAGGCACACAACCGTTCAGCCCTACAACGCTTGGCGCCTGTCACCGCCCGAGGCCCGTGCTAAAGCTGCGCTTCTTCCGCAAGCTCTCCAACGAAGCTTTTTTGCGCCGCCACTCATTCCACGCTCGCTCACGCTACAATTCCCTTAGCGCCAGACGCATTGCCTCTCCCGCTTTACCGGCCCGCACCAATCAGCCTCAAGAACCATCTCCCACCGCCCGCACCGCGCCGCATCCACTCACCTACGTTTTCCCACGCGCAACCAACGCGCACCGCTCTCTCCCGCAAGCACACATGGCGACCCACCAAGCGGACGCCAAAGCGCTCCTCGACGACCGCGGCTACAGCGGCGCGCTGATTCGCGGCCAGAACCCGGCGCTGCTGTTCGAAAAAGCCGTGCGAGACCGCATCACCGAGTCGTACTACTGGAAGGAGCAGTGCTTCGGCCTGAACGCGGCGACGCTGTGCGACCGCGCTGCCGAGCTCACCTTCGTCGGCGGCACGTACGGCGGCCTCGGCAAACCGACCCCGTTCCTGTGCCTGGCCTTCAAGCTGCTGCAGCTCGTGCCCGAGAAGGAGATCATACTGGCGTATCTGAACTGGCCGGAGGATGAGGAGAGAGGGGAAGGCGAGGGCGAGGACGATGAGGGGAGGGCACCTGGCGTGAAGGGCGATTTCAAGTATCTGAGGGCGCTGGCGGCCTTCTATATCCGGTTGGCGTGGGAGCCGGTGGAGATTTATCAGACGTTGGAACCATTGTTGGCGGATTATAGAAAATTGAAGAGGAGGATGAGGGATGGGTTTACCCTGACTTACATGGACCAGTTTGTGGATGATCTGTTGATGAAGGATCGGGTTTGCGCGACGAGTCTGTGGAAGCTGCCGCCGAGGACGCTGCTGGAGGATCTAGATCTGCTGGATCCGAGAGAGAGCCCGCTGGGTGACGAGGTCGATCAACTGGATGAGGATGAAGACATGGAAAACGGAGGGCACAGGAGCGAGAGAGAAGAGAGCGGCGAGATTGAAGAGCGGAGCCGCAGAGACAGCAGATCCTCAGCCGACGACTGAGTTGAAACCAATCTCTGGTATCATCTGGACCTGCAACGAAGTTGCCCAGGCCGATGCTGGCCACAATCTCTCAATTCTTCAAAGGCGAATCCGGCACATTGAAATTTTGAACGATTGGATGACTATCAGAATTCCCAACCGTTCCGATAAAAGTGCCGCCATGGCCTCTTTACGGCGTCCGAGGCCCAAACCAATACCGACTCTGAAGTAAACATGAGCCAAGGCGATTTAAACGTCTCGGGTCAGTGGGGTTCTAAGAAGTCAGGAATACGTAATACAATACGATCACAGCTAAAGTTTATCTTAACACTGACTATTGACAATCACATGTCGTACTTTTGGACTGCCTTTTCTGGATTATTAAATGATAATTTCAGCCCAGTATTGGCCATGGGATGAGCACCCTGGATGAACTTTCTCATGCAAGCTGGATAACGTGTTCGGTGAAATTGAAGGCCGTTAAAGATTCCAGCATCCCTTGACTTCCGCCTTATCGACCATACCGATACCTTGAAGAGTAATCCAACAGCTCTTACAAACCGACGCGCGTCCCATCTCAGCAAATTCCTGAATCCGTAATTGTGGCTTGAAACCCTATCTGAAAATCCAATAGAAGCAGCAAGGTCCTCTCAGCTTTATTCATATCAATATAGAACTATTAGCCCGGGAGTTCAGGGATTCTGGTAGCAGAGAGTAAGTCGATACGATCATGTGGCCTCCGGAAAACGAAAGTGAAAAACTGAAATCGTATGAAAAGCTTCCCGAGTAGCTAGACGCCATCCTAACCACGCAAGGAAAAGTCGTAGAAGTGGGGGAGCGGCCTTCCCGATCGACTCACCAGAACGTTACTGGCCTGTGGGACAGACCTGAGTCGGCTAAACTACAGTCAGTCCGTGGATGCTTTCGGCTATCAACTAGCTCGCGATTCTTATGTGAAACCTATGACGAAATCCTTTCGAACCGACATTCAGAGTTCTACGTAAGCTATTGGAGCACGTTACTGACGCAAATGCTACCGTCGATCTCAAGAGTACACTAGACAAAGAAACTGCCTGAATGCTCTATCGTCGCTTGATGAAGACTAACTGACTGGTGATTACCCCGGCGTCATTACCAGATTCCTGAGTCAATGTGCTCATTCTTTATCAAGGGATGATGCATCGGCAGACGGGAGATCAATTGACCACACAAGCCAGGGGAAGCATAGAAGAATCCCGTAAATTTTCATTACATTGCACAAACCACCCTTGCAGCCGATATCACCCGCAAGGAGAGTTAGGCACTAGAGGCAGCTGGTTCTTTTTAACATTTCAATATTTTCTCTTTTCAAAGAGCCAATGGTCTTGAAAATCCTTGTACATGTTTGCCGTATGATCTCATTGGCTGCATCATTTGAGTCCCTTAAGGAGAAAGAACGGCGAAATGAGGGAATGAAGCGGTAGTGGCGTCACACCTTAGCTGATGATTAAATGAAGACCTCCATTTAACTAACACCTATTCACTGCGTTACAACACGCATTTTGTTAAAGGCTACCTGTAAATATGCTAGACTTATGCCTAAGTGATATCGTACCAAGAGTTCATAATCATCAATGTGACACTTTACATATATACTGCCACTCTCCGGGAAGCATCAGTGGAAGAAAATACCAGAAAAAGAAGAGAAGAAAAACAAACAGGAAACCAGCAAGAAATCTCATAACATCAAATCGTTAAGGTCCTTTCCTGTCCATGTTCATCCACATGTCACCGTGCCACTCATTAGGACCGTCCTAATTAAAAACCCTCCGATCTCTTCATCTCCCAAAGAACATGGAACGAGCATCATGAAGAAGAGAAAACGCGATGCATGCCCGCAAACTCCGCACTCCTCGCCATTTCAACGCAAATACTCTCTCAAACTCCTCATGTCGCCCTGACGTAATTTCCAGGGAACAATCCCTTCTTCCCGCAATAAACCCCCCAAAACCAATCTCCATTGATATCCTCCGCTTCCCTGATCTCTGCGCCCTTTGGGAACATCAACTCATCCCGCACGCCCTCCTGTGGCCAGTAGCTCCACAGTGCGAGAGCGCGCAGTCCCAAACCGCCATCGGGTGGGAACTTCTTCTTCAGGACGAGACCGGCGCCGTTGTTGGTGGCATTGCTGTTGCTGTTGTTGGTGGTGCCGCTGGAATTGTTTGTAGAATTCGCATTGGAGTTGCTGCCGCCATTGCTGCTGCTGTTATTGGCAGCGGTGGTGGCGGCGGAAGAAGTGTTGGAGTTGGAATTGTTATTCTCCCTCTGGACTGACGAAGCGGACGACGCCGAGTTCGATCGGAAGAGTCCCGTCCGCATCCTCGCTTTCCTGATGGTACCGTCCGTATCCCTCCATCTCCACGCATGCGGTGCGTCTACCGGGCTCGTTGCACCAGCAGCTGCAGGGTCAGGTGGAGGAGGAGCAGCTTGCACGGCGACCGGTATACCGGGTTTATCGGTGGTGGTTGCGGAGGCATCCTTAATTAGTCCGTTATCTTTCATGGCTAGACCGCCAACCAAATCTCGCGTCACAACGCGTCGCTGGCCAGAGTCTCTGTCTTCGAAGCCGATGACCACCATTCGATGTTTGTGTGGGCAGCGACGCCACCCGTTTTGCCCATCCTCAGGAGGAATCTGACCAGAAGCCACAAGTGTGTGGTAACACGATGTGCATATATCAGAGTTGCCTGCGTTACATATTTGACAGTGAAATCGCGTGTGTGAGGGTGGGATCGGGTATGTGCATATGTCGCAGAGAGTACTGAAAGTCAAAGGACGGAAAAGAAGACCTGCGAGCGTGTAGGTGCCGGGCCCGCGAATTAATGAGGCGGACTTGGGCGTGATTGGAGGCTGAGATGAAGATGTCAAACCGGGCGAAGAAGGCACTGAGCTGCTGTTATTTCCCGACGCGGAAGGCCGATGCTGGAGAGGGAGCAGAGGGTGAGTACAATGTCGCCCTTGATTTACGCAACCGTTGCAGAAGCCCCAAGCTCCCTCATTGCAGACGTCGCATTTCCAATAGCAACCATTGGAGAACGAGAGGCAGATGTCGCAAAAGACACCGGCCTGGAGGCGCTGAGATGGATCCTCTTCCGTTAAAAGCGTATCACCAGGGCCAGAGCTCACAGGATCTTTTCGTGGCTTAATGTAACGGCGCCCTGCAAGGGAGTGAGGATGATCATGGCCAGGGGGATAGCCACCTGGAGGAGCTCTACGTTCGTATCTCTCCCACGCTCTAGAGCCAAACCCAAACCAGTGCTTACAGCCTAATCCTTGACGATAGCACCGCAAGCAAAGATTAAAGTTGCCATCATTGCATTTTCGGCAGTTGTAGTGCAGTGAGTACTCGAGATGCTGCTTACCACAACGATTGCACGATATTGATGGCTCAGTGTACGTGGGTCGTGGACCAGAATTGCCGGACGAAGAAGGTCTTGCATTCAAATTTCCAGAGTCTGAGCTATTGTGACGTCGCACGGGTGCGAGCACAGGGGTGTTCGCAACCGCATGCCGCGAACTAAGCCCAGGAAACTGACGCAGACTAGCATGCGCTTCGGCGGCAGCCGCCGGTGTGTTCAATGGCGGGCTGTGGAACATCTCTGAAGTGAATACAGCTCGGCGAGGAGAGTTTTCAGAAGAGTGATTTGCTTGCTGCCTACTGAGCATAACATCCGATGCGCGGACAGTACGCTCTGGATCGGTCACCCTTCGGTCATTCTGAGTTGGCCGCTGTCTTTCTATTGCATTTCCTTCCTGCGTGGTTTGTGGCCGGTTTGTGAGATCTGTCGCAGAACGGACCGCAGGCCTGGTTGAGTCAATTGACAGACCTCTGTGGTTATGGCGGCGCCCGGAACGACTGCTATCCTGGCTTGAGGACCGAACTCGCGATCCTTCCCGGGATCCGCCATTGACAGCCTCAAATAGATGCGGACGAGAGACAGGCGGTCGAGAGTGCGAATTTGACTGCGATTGCGGTTGAGGCTGGGACTGAGGCTGGAGCTGGGTCTGGGATTGGGATTGTGCTGCTTGTTGGACTGCTTCCTGGGTAGCACTCTCTGCTCGTGCGCGCGGTCTTCTGGTGGGCCGGTCTCCATCCACCTGGCGCGTAGCGGAATGGCTTGCGCTACGTGATCTGTCATGCCTAGCTCTTAATCGAGCCCTCTCGCGTTCCCTCTGGCGACGACGGAACGCAGCCGCTATCCTCTCCGTGATTTCCTCTTCTTGAGAAGCATCAATGTTCTCCAGATCAATGCCATCCAGCAGACCATCTTCCCTGATTTGACGCATAATCTCCTCCTCCATCTCTTGCGAATCAAAGTCCGATGTACTCAGAAGCGACCGCAAGCTGGCCTGGTGCTCGATCACGCGACGTGGCCTCGGAGACGTGTCGCGGCTCCTCTCAACCTCTTGCTGAGCACCCCTTGATGCCGAAGCGTCCCTGGCTCTACGGCGCCTCTCCTCACGTTCACGGCTACGGTTCCGCCGGCGGCTCTCGGTGGGCGGGCTAAGAGTGTCACTGCCGCTGCTGCTGACACCAACCTCCTGGAGACTCAGCAGGCGCACTTCCTCGAGCATGCGGCGGTCGTCCTCGTCTGAGTCGTCATGCCGTCTCCTGCGTAGCTTCGGTAACACATTATCGCCGGGCTTGTACACTTTCCGCATATCGTCCTTCTCCTGGTCGGTCTTGCCACGGCTCGGGTTTGCATGTAGAAACATGTCAAGAAGGGTGGTGACGGTGGCATTGGGCTGGGTGGCGCGCACAGAGGCGCGGCATGACGGGCAGGTGTACGGGTGGGCAGTGGTGGCGCTCTGGGCCTGCCATGAGAACCATTCTTTCAAGCAGGCGCCGCAGAAGGTGTGCAGGCAGTCGAGCAGCGTCAGCGGCTGGTAAAGCACGTCGGTACATATCTATTCGCAGGATTGTTAGCAATGCGTGCGCGCGCGCGTGGGCAGAGCGAGGGGCGCCCGTGCTGGCGGGGTGCGCGGAATGAAGAAGCTGGGGGATCCGCCGGCCGTGCCCCTGCGTCCTGACTCTCACTCACCGAGCATGACAGCTCCTTCTCCAGGTCCATCAGTGGACCGCTCTGCGGATCTCCGGCCATTTGGGTGGGGGCGCGCGGCCTGCGCGACTTGGGTAGGATTGGGAAGCGGATAGGGATGCAGCGAGCGAGGGTGATGCTGCCGGCAGCTGGAGGTGATCGAGGTGGAGGTCGTCGGCGCGAAAAGCACAAGCACAGTCAGCGGTGTAGCGCGCCATTCGCCGTTATGCTTGGCAGCTGGAGAAGGCCGTCGATTGCGGGAGCTGAGCGGCCGTCCGGGCTCTATGGCTCTGCTGGCGAGTGCACACGATGGTTCTTGAAGGCAAAGAGCGAGCGCACGCGAGCTGGAGTGCTGCCGCGCGCAGTTAGCGCTGCGCGTGTCGTCAGATGCGCTGGCTCGCAGGGAGGGCAGCTGTTTCAAGCGGTCCGTAGTGCGCCAAAACTACCCAGCAGCCACACCGACGAAACCCCCGCAACCACTCATTCGCCGCCGCACGCAGCAGCAAATTCAATCCTCAAACACGCCTGTCTCCACAGGCCCTTTCCACGTACCTATTCGAGGTCACTTGCCTATTTCACTTTTACGCCTACTACGCGTGTCTTCGTCTCATCTTCTGCTAGATTGACACTTGTAGTATTCCGCTACGTGGTCAAGTAGCAAAAGCCGGCTGTGACTGGAGCAGCTTCGTGTTCTTGTTCCTTGACTATCCCTCCCCTATCTCTCTTTTGTGGCTTTGTGTTGATGGAGATTAGTGACGCTTGTGTATATGTTTTACTAGCCTGGTGGCCTAATTTGTCCCAAGGCTGATTAGCGTACCAGCGATCTACGAACACCACTGGGTAGCCATGTCAGTCTCATCGCTCTGCTTGATGCTCAAAGCTCGAATACGGATTTAGCAGCAGACTTGCGTCATTCTAGCTGAAATATGATGATGCGTCGTTGAAGTTTAATTGACGGAAGAAGATAGCTAGTTACCTCTATAAAGTTTGAACTGGAAGGGAATCATAGTTCTGCGTATCGCTCGGATATTTTTAGTTTCGACCTCGCAACGCTAGTTTCAACGCTCGCAAAATCGAGGGCTGAGTATTATGATACTTCGTAAAGCGGCTGCGTAATCATATCCACCGTACAGTACAGTTCCGTCGGCCGGCGGTAATAGGGGGATTGAAATAGAAATACTACGCTGCAGCGATCAGTGATGACCTCATACGAGCTGATTTCGTCCAATACTCCTACAGATTCGATGATACGCGCAATCGTGGAGTAAGCATCACCGTCCAATCAGCGTGTTGAGATCACATCCGGCTTCGAGAAAAGCAAAAACCGGATATTGTAAAAACTACATGTCGGAGTGCAAAGCTCCCAATCATATCGGCACTTGGAGCTAGGAGCTACAGTTCTGAAGGACTCCTCGGATCTGAAAGAGGCCGTGACGAGCGAGTGAAGTGATCCAGAAACATGGTGGTGCATTCATGAAACCCAGGAATTAGCACTTTCTACACGCTAGAATCTTGGCTCGTTGGTGTGGTTGGTACGAGTAGATTGTTATTCGACGCTGTTGTCATCAGGATAGTGAGTGTGAATTTGCTGAAGGCAGCAAACGACCGATGACGGTCTGAATGGTTGCCCGTCTGCATCTTCGCCAGTCGGTGAAGGCTTGCAATTCCGGCAGATACGCCGTAAAATTTTACGCGGAATGCCGGGTAACCATGTGGTAGCCAAAATAAGAATTGCTTGGAATGAGCGCGTGGTTGCGGAAAGACGCTTGTTGGTTCTGGAATGGATGGTGGTGTTTGGGGGCGCCGAGAGGACGAAATATCCAACAGAAAGCCTGTAGCAAAGGCAGCATGGCCAATACTTCGAATCCTACTAGATGGAAAGATGACCAGGAGCTGTTTGCGCAATTCTGACGGCGTGGTTGTACTCGTCGTTCTGACTCCTGTGGGATGATTGCTGTAGCCAACCAAAGTCCTGGTGGCACAGCGTCGTAGACTCGCACAACGATGCCAGGGAAATTCGCCCTCGATAACTACGGAGCTTCTCAGCCTTGAGCAGCTGAGAGGGCGTGATGGCAGCGGCCCTCGCACAGTAACACTTCAGCTGATACAGGAGACGGTGAGCAAACGGAATGCCCGAGCGCGATCTCCGTGACAGTGGCGCGGACCCTGACAGCTGTTGTCGGTGGAGTGAAAATGTGCTGGAGGTGAGGTGTCGGAGGGCAGGTGGCAGGCGGTGGCACGCGCCGCGCAGCGCCGATGATTGGCAGCATGGATTGGGCGCTCAGATGACGGTGCGCTGTGCGAGACAGCAGTCACAGCAGGGCAGCGAACATGGTTGGTCAGGCACAGGGGCGGGATCCCGGGCAAGGCGCAAACGGGCAGCCTGGCGGCGGGCCGAGAAATGGGGCGCGAGATGAAGAAATGGTGACGGAGCACGCAGCTGGTGTGGCGTGAGCAGCCTGGAGTGGCTCATCGCGGGGGCACCCGGTACTCTGCCTCGCAACGGCGCGCGTTCGCTGATGGAAGGAATGCGGCTGGCAGCTATCTCACTGTCTGGACGTCACAGTTGCGCAAGTTTGAGGCCTGCGGCTTCCATGGCCCTCCGATGGCAGGCTCTGGCGCGTTCTGGGCACCGCAATCCGCGCGCGCCCCCAGCCGCGGAGCCGTGGGAGCTTTGGACAGCGGCAAGCCACCAGGATGCAGCATGCCCTGCACGCAGCCCAACAAGCTTCCCAGAACCGCAAAGCTGCACCAGACTGGGCCCCAAGCGCTGACCTGAACGGCCGGCCCATAGCCCACAAGAACCATGGTTGCCGCCCTCCGCGCTTGCCCAGTTGACTGCCTCCACCTTCCCGCACTCCTACCACGCCATTGTTCTCTAACGCCTCCCTCAAAGCTTCCTCCAAAAGTCGCTGCACCACTCACACACAGCAGGCGCCGCACACCATCGCTCGTCTTCCCGTCGCTGGTAAGTTGGCCATTCTCTCCGCCCTAAATTCTCACCCGCACTCCCCTACCGTCTCATATATCCTCATTGCTCTGCCAATATTTGCCCCATACGTCGTACATCCCGCGCCTCTTCCTTTTCAATGCCTCTTCGCAAGCAGCCGCCGAAGCACCGGAGGCCCTACCTCAAGCCCGCTGCCTCCGAAGCTGACCTCCGCGGGACCAATAGGCCTCCTCAAACCATCAGGCACGTTGCCTCAAAGAGCTCGTTCAGACTCCACCGTCCCTCTTACTACCTCCTCCGCCAAACCACGCTACTGGACGAAATGGATCTTTCCAGGCCTAAAGTGTCCGTCACAATCACCTTCTCTGTGCCGGGCACTCACCCACCCGTCTACGTCGCCTCATCGCTCACAAATCCGCCATGGGCTCCGGTGGAGATGAGCATAAAGGACGAACGTACCCCGGCTGGCGACCTCGTCTTCGAGAAGAGTTTCGATGCGGTCGAGTCGGGCGAGTACCAGTACAAGTTCAGGCTCGGGCCTGGCGATTGGTGGGTTTGTGACGAGAACGCGCCAATAGGTAGGTTCTGTCCGGTTCCCTGCAGCCACACCCACTGACGTGCATTGTAGTATCCGATGAAGCCGGCAACCGCAACAACCTTCTGGTCGTCACTCCACCGCAGTCACCTGCTTTGGATAGGGGCGAGACCTCCTCTGCGCGCAGCATACTCTCTACTCCTGAAGTTGAAAACTTGGCAACAACTGATGAGCCTAAGGATGGTGAAGGTAGTGGGTCACCTCTTGACACTGCACCGGACCCCCTTCCTTCTACTGTTGTCGATCAAGTCCCCAATGCAGAACAACCTGCATACTCTGACAAGAAACCTGCGAGTCTTATGGAGGAGGCGTCGAAAAGCACGGCTGAAGCGGAACCTGCTGTTGAATCCGAACCAGCTGAAGCTAATTCAAGCCATACGAAATTAGACTCGCAGAAACCCGTCTTGCTACCATCGGTCGTTATCGAGAAAACTGACGATAAGCCCGCGTACGGGGACGATCTTGGAGCGAACGCAACTCAAGGACAGCAAGAAGCTCACGCAAAGAGAGCCGCAGACGCTGAGCCTGACAAAGTAGTTGTCACTGGCGACGTGGAAGAGCCGAAGGAGCTTTCGAAGCTTAGATTGGTTCCCAAGTCCGAGATCCCTGCAGAGATCTCGAACGCAGAAGATCAGCATTCGCCGTTGCTGCCGCACGAGGCATTTGAGCCACTCGCTGATGAGGCCCCATTGCTTCCTCACGAGCGATCCACATCCGTGTCCAACACAGAAAGCGAAGACGATGAAGATGCGGTCGCTTCAACAGACTTTGCGCCCGTGGAATTCGACGGCGACATACCGTTGTTCCGTCATGAGTCGATCTCTCTGGCCTCATCTGACAGCCCCCCGAGGAGCCCTTCCCAGTCCCGGCCCAAGTCCCACGCATCGCTCAAGGACATGATGGACGAGGAAGACGTCAATGATCCCTCAATCGAGCCATTCCCCACCCGCCGCGAGACAATTTACGAGCATCTTCAAGGATTGGCGAACCGCATGGAAGTGGATTGCTCTCTTCCAGAAGCTTCCGAGACTTCACCGCGCCGGAAGAACTCACGATCGTCATCGGAAATGTTGCCACCTCCTTCACCGCTAGATTCCATCAAGGAGGACGAGGAAATTGAGGAAGAAGATCTCAACAAATCGCCATCACTGGTGGCTCCGGCCCATTTGGTCGACCAATCGGTCGCCGCTGAGCCCACCCCGCCGTTGACTCCAAAGAACGATGTCCATGCTACGAGACAGGACCGTGCCGATTCCTTGGTTACCGTCACAGGCGAAGACACTCCTAAAGACGTCAAGGACCAGGCCAGTGACACGGACAGCTCTAAGAGCCAACTGGACGAGCCAATCGAGCTTCCTGAGCTGCGTCCTTCCAGCCTGCGTCCTGCCAGCATGCGTCCTCCCAGCCTGGCACCTCCAGTAGGCAACAGAGATATTTCTCGTCCCGGGACTTCTCACTCGGCCAAAATCACTCCGAACAAGCAAAGCTCTTCGTTCATGATCAACTTCTGGAACAGTCTGTTTGGTAGCTGGCTGGCACCAGTCGTCAGATGGTTCTCACGTGTGTGTGGAGGACGGAAACGTGCTACGTAAGCATTCTGTTCGTCTTACTGCATGGTTGGACGCGAGGGGTCGTTTGGAGTGATTTCCAATTTGCTCGCCGCTACACCCATACCGTATAGTCGTTCAGATTGCTAACGCTAGCACACAGGGTTGTTGCACTCGCCATCGGCACTGCAATTGTGGCTTATTCCTATCAATCCACGCTTCTAGGGACTGAAACGCCCAGTTCCCAAGATCAATAATCCTCTCATACGTATGAGTAACGTTGCATCATGGTAGGGGGGAAAAAGGAAAAGTTTACTGTGCCAAATCAGGGTGGCTTATGGAAATGGGCGAGGCTGCGATGCATATCCTTTCGTTTCAATAGACTGTACGATACTTCATTTCCAGGGTTCGGGGGGAGGGTTTTTGTTCTATGGCGGTTTTCTGGTATATCCTTTTCTGTGTCTTCTGTAGCACCTCCCACTGGACATTGTTCACCGGGTTATGGCCCGGGGTACTTGATGCTTGCATTAATAAATGAGAAAAACGAGTCATGAATCCTAAAACATCAAGCTGAGCTTCCTACCTTCATTGGAATGTGTGGACGAAATCAACTAGGCAAACTGGCATGGGAAGGATTTGGGTGCTAAGCTTTGCATCAGATGGAAACTGTAAGACTCGGCTTTGCCTTTCTTCCCATCCCCCCTTTCCTTTCCCTCATATTTCGCGCTGTAGGATTAATTTCTTCCAATGGTGGCATTGGGAAACAGTGGGTACGAAGCGCGCGCGTCTACAATCGCCGGGTAGGTAAGGCAGCACCGTACACGCACTCATTCGCTAGAGTTTGAAACACTACGATTTTGAATCGGAAACGCCTTAGGTCTCGAGGTATGTATGCTCGTTGCTTTTCCATTTCATTTTTTCTTTCCCTTTGACTTGTGGGGGAATTGTTCAAAGACCAAGGCCCCCTCTCACCCCAGTCTCACCCCACGAACAGGCGGGGCAGAGTAGCGCGCACGAACGGCGGCATGAGGCGCACGCGTCGCGTGGCCCCCCCTTTTTACTTCGTGTCCTGTAGGCCCTTCGCTGCTTCGAAGAATTCTATTGCCCGCTTTATTAGCCTTTGGGCGGCACGTTTTGCTACGCGCTTAGAGTGTGTGCTCGCGTGCCGTCTAGGGTCCGTGGGGAAAAAAAAGGTAGTAGTGCATGCACGCGAGCCGCGGTAACCTTTTCTACCCGCTGCCCGCCCACCTCATCGGAATTCGTTACATGCCTAAGCGAAGGGAGGTAGGTGGGGTCGGGCGCGATTCAGAGGAAGACATCTTTGTCGGGTTGCGCGGCTTGCGTGTGGCTTGTGCTTGGGAAAGACGGGTAATAAGTTGCTGGAGACAAAAGGACTGTGGGAAAGATTTCCTTCTTCGATGCCTTGAAAAAGCAGAGGCCTGAGTGAGTTCTGGGCAGAAGCTGAGAGGCAACAGTCAGAGACATTGCGTCAGGATATACGGAGTACCAGGGTGCTGTCGATGGCCCGGGCCGTGGCTATTCTTTCCCTCCTGTTCCCAGCACGTCTGATGCTCCCATCAAGATCCTTCTCTGCGTCGCTCTCGAAGAAAACGAGCTGCACGATGCGGAGCCGGTGTGCCGAATCTTCTGCAGCCTAGAACAATCTCTCACTGCCCTCTCGTGCCCACGGTCCCTACCGTGCCGTCTGGGCTCTCTCGGCTTTTCACACTCCCTGTGGGCCCTGCCGTCGTTCGTTAGCCCCAAGGCAAAATTGTGGACAGGAAGCGGGGGTGCCGGTGAAAGCAAACCATCGTTCGTGTGGTGATAAATGTGGGTCCCGCAAGGGCACCGGAGTTAGCGGTCTGACCGGGGGAGGGCCAGTTCAAAGAGGCGGAGAGAGCGGGGAAAACACGCGGAGAGGGTGTAGACGAAAGGGGAAAGACCGCGCCATCATCCCTCTCAGCGTAACATTGGCATTTGGCTTGCTGCTCTTTTCGCGTTATTATTAAGGATTGCGTGCAGGAGAGAACATGGGGATCGTACAGGAGTCACCGGCCAGAGGCGAGAAGAGAAAAATGCCAAGGGTCCACATCATACCCCCGCAAAAAAATTAGCTCGCGGTCAGTTGGTCAGTCGGTATCTTTCCCCACAGGTAGCCCCTCATGTCTCCGTTCGGGCCCGGATTTTAGTTGTACGCAGTTAGCTGCCGCTACGTTTTCCGACTCCACTCCCAAGAGTCAGTGTGCATGCATACTCTGAAAACATGCACCCGACTATAGGATTTAGATCTGTCAAAAATAGCGAATCATAGCAGCATCTATATCTTAGATCCAGGTTTAGTTTGCTCTAGTATGGGAGTAGTTCGCTTTTCAATTTTGAAGGGGGAATCGAAAGGGTTCCAGACGCTCCATGGCAAGCCTCCAATTCTCCACAAATGCCACGTCTACAGGGTCCGCGACCGCACCCACTTACACAGTACGAGAATTAGCGCTAGAATTACATTTTGAGGCTCCGGAGACTCGTACAGTACACTACGATGCCCTTGCAAAGAAAATACGCAGTACCCACGCGCCAACGCATAAGACCCTCAAAGCTCAAATTATCCGTTTACCTTTTGATGCCCTTGTACAAGAGACTCACCATCTTGCCCACACCACTACTCGCAGTAGTTTGCCGGGAAGCTTCCCTTGACACCCCTCAGCTCTCCTTCCCACCAGCTAGTCGCCTTGTCTCCCTCTCTCTTCAAAACCTTGATCCTGTCGCCCTCCCTGAACGACAGATCACCCGGTCCTTGTCCCTGGAAGTCGTACACTGCCGTGACGTAGTCTTCTTTCTGGAAGCTATTTAGCCGCTTCTTCGGCGGTGGAGGCGGCGGCTTCTTCTTGGCGCCGATGCCCGCTGCAATGCCTTGCAGCGGAGTAGCGATGCCGTTGGAGTGGGGCGATGCTGCGATCGTACGGACGGGCGAGGTGCCACCGCCAAAGTAGTCGCCCCCCTGTTGCGACTGACTGCCCGGAGAGTAGGCACCGCCGCCAATGGATGATGAGGATGAGGGGCGACGGGCCGTGCCGTCGTAGGGCGACAGAGTGTTCGTGCCGCCGATGCGGGGCTTGCTAGCTGATGGGATCTTGGGACGGGAGGCGAGGTTGATCGGGGGAGGGCCGGATGGGTCAGGCGAAGGGGGAGCATTGGAGAAGCTGCTGCGCGGGCGAGGAGGCTTGGGTGGGGCCTTCTCTTCCTCCGGGGAGGCGGCGGCACCGCCGGAGGTGTGGGAGCCAAATGAAGGCCGACCAACGATACGCGGGCGATTAGAGAACTTGTCAGTGGCCGTATTGCGCAGATTGAGGCCAGTGACGGTTCCGTGCCTGGATTCAGGCAGCTCCATAGGCTGGCGGACAAGTCTTGTGTGCATGAGCAGTTCATAACTAGACTCAATTTCTTTGCGCAGAGGCGTGAAGGTGGCGTCCCAGTCTGCCACAACATCGGCCATGTCAGGAGGTGGGGATGGGAAGCCGTATTCCTGGCAATATTCATGCTGCACAGTATACATGTTGCCCAAGATATTGTTCTGAATCTCAATCTGAGATGCTAAAAGGAAAGGCAGGAGGGAGAGGATGGCGGCTGTGATGTTCGGAAGATTGGCTTGCAAGTGCCTGTCTGCGGCGTCGTACTCGCCTTCGCAGCGCTCCATATCGATGCGGTGCTTGGCCAGGGCAGACTCGTCGCGAGCGGAGCGGTTGGCTTGGTTCTCCAGCTTCTCCACACGGCTCTTGTATCGTTCGTAGTCGAGCTACACATCCTGTCAGCTACCAGAAGCTTCGTAGAAAGCGCCAAATGTACCTTCTTGTCCTCCCGCTTTTGTATGACTTTGTGCATTGGCTTGATTGTCTGCTTTGCCTCTTGCGCCGGCTTGATCAAGCGGCGATCAATCATGTTGACCTCCTCCATCATGTCGTTTTTGAGCTCATCGTAGAGCTGATTGAGACGGCGCGTGCGCTCCAGAACCTCGCGGGGGGTCTCGGCAGGGACATGGCCATGGAGTGGCGCTTCGCCAACAGCAGCAATGGGCTTGTATATGGCCTCGAACTCGGTGACGACGTGGAGTTGATGGGTGAGAAGATGCGCCCATGCTTCTCTCCAGTGGCTAGTGGCGTCAACGAGCTATGCGATGGTCAGCTTTAGTTGGCGCTGGCTAGGGAGGGGCGAGGTAGCGGACTTGCCTTTCCGAGCATCTGATCGGCCTCCTTGAACTCAGCCAGCATTGCGGCAACTTGCGCGTCATCCTCGCTACGGGGCATGAACACGCCGACCTTGCGCTGAATACGTTGCATGTTTGCGACTACAGGACCAATTGCGAAACGAATGGAGCTGTCGAGCGCAGCAGCGGGTGCGCAGACGAGTGGAAGGAGGCAAGAGGGCTGTGTAGAAAGTGCGGCGTACGTGGAGGGAATGGAGCAGCAGGCAAGCTGCCGCGGGGCCAGCAGGGGACCCCTGCCGCTTCCTTCTGGAAGTTCGGCACTTTAGCGTCGGTTGGGTAGCTCCCGCCCCAGCTACCGCCCTTGGGCCGCTGTCGTCACATGCTGGCGCGCTGCCTGACACATTCAACTCGACGCGTCGCGTCCACCCGCACCTCGTCTCTCCACCACGCGTCGCCCGCATCCTGCCTAGCTCACCACACATCATGCACATCCAGCCCGCCGCTCGACGATGATGTCTACTGTCCGGAGCACTCTTCGGGGTACTGCTCAGTCCTCAACCGCCGCGAATACTGCCCCCGTCTACGAATTCCGCTGCCTCTATACGCACGACCTCCGCCGGAAGCAAAAACGCTGGCAAGATGGCTTCCTTAAATTCCACACCTTCAACAAGCGGGTCATGGTCTATGACCAGCCGCGCAATTACATCGGGGATACACACTACAAAGACGGCGACACGCTTTACGATGGCGATGAGCTCACTTTGGAGAATGGTGTTCTCGTGCAGGTCGCTGAACCCGTCGCCACCACCCAGACCGACTTGACCGAGTTATTACAAAAGAAACCGAAAGAGACACACGAGCGTCCAGTTCCGGCCAGTGCGAGACTGCCCGCTCCAGGTAGTGTCAGGCTGCCGACACCAGGCGTGCGAACCGCGGGCTTGACAGCAAATGTAGCTCCACGACACAAGCCATTAAGCCAGCTTCTCGGTACGCCAAAAGGGCCGCATGGGAGAGCTGTTATTCCCACGAAGTCACCGTTCGAAGAGAGGCAGGAGAATTTACAGAAAGCGGACGAGTGGGCTGCCAACGAGAGGGCAGCGAAGAGAAGAAAGGTTGCTGAGGCTGAGCAGGCACGGAGCATCGTGAGGGAATCAAGGACACCCGTGCCCAAAGGCCGTGAGAGGCACATTTTGGGAAGAACGCCGGAGAGGAGGGAAGCGCTTGGCCAGAACACACCTCTTGCGCTGAAGGGAGGAAATAAACTTCCGGGAGAGCTGATCGATCTCACCTCTGATGTTGAAGAAATGGAGCCAGGTTCTGACGTAACGATACCGAACACTCCACCCGGTATTGTGAGACCAACAGTAGCTTCGAGGAAGAAAAGACCGGTTCTGCCTCTAAATCCCACTCCGCCCCAACCCCCCTCTTCACCCCCCGTCAGCACGACAAATAGATTGGTCCATGTCCAGGAAGGTTTTGAACTCCTAGAAAAGACCGTTGCCGACACAGAAGAACAGCCGGCGGAAGCAGACAGCGTTCCAAAGCACTCGAAGAAGTTGCGTCTCGCAACAGGTGCGCGACCGAAGATGCTGCTATGTCAGGATGTGACATCAGCAAGAAAGACAGATCAAAATAGAAGAGCTAGAACAGAGCGGCAGCCTCAAAACGTGGTGGGAAGAGGACCTCAAGGGAACAAGTCTCCTGCCGTTGGGGAAGGAAATCAACAAGCCCTTGGTAGAACCAAACGTCCTTCGGAGATTCGCAAGCTACAGAATGGGCTCACTCAGTCGTTGCCTCTGGCGTCTGAGGAGCATATTCCGCCTCCGTTTGATGATCTTGAAGATCAAGATCAGGGTGCAATATTTCCAGAGAGAAGAACGAACACCTCTGCCCCTCAGAATACGGTCTTACGAGACAAAGGTCCGGTCCAACTACCTGAAAAGCGCGCACCAGCTGCAGAACCCACGTCAAAGCAAAATAGACCAGGTTTGAGAATCCAAACCACACCAGCTCAAGAAGGTCAAACTTCTCTCCGACAACTCAGACGAACAGGTTCGGAAAATGACAAGAAAACGAAGAAATCATCAGAATTGACCGATGAATTGAAACGGCCAGGTCAAGAAAAGCTGAGGGAACGCCTTGCACAACAAAGACCGCTTCAGCGTTCCCTCAGTCTTAATGTAGCAGGAGCTCGGCCGCTAGAACGAGAAAATACCCCTCCTTCACCTATTGTAGATACGGACGTTGGACCGTGGAGCACCGAGGCTATGGATTTGTTCGATTGGAGGCCGCCGGGGTACGTCTTCCGTGGGCAAGGGAAGGGATTTGGGCCGGCGGAGAAAGAGGTTGTCAATAATGCCGCTGCTTCTTGATGAGATACCATTCACGTTGGCGTCGCTTTAGTATTTTTGGGGAGTTGTGGGATGGACAATTGAGCAGTCCGTCGTTAGACATGCATGCAAGCTCTGAATCCATTTTGCGTTTTTGGCGGTGATTTCTGGCTCCGGCGAAGCATACGGTGTATGGAAAAGTGGAAACTAAGTTTATTGGTAACCCTTTGCAGTATATAAGCCGGTAAGTTAAGCCGTACTGGTATGCTAGCTACGACCGAAAAAGATGGATTAGCTCGGTTAGATGAGAGCCCGAAGATTTACGTAAGGCATCTGAGCTTCCATCCGCCCTCTTGTGGGAAAGAGGACGCAAGTTCGAGTACGGGCTAGGGAAGGCAAAAAAGACGGTCCCAAAGAGTCTTTCTGTCGAGGCACGGGAACGGGGGCACTCCCCATTAGATCCCACCGCTTCCAGTTTTGCCATTCTCGTCGACGGTCTTTCCTTTTTGTTCTTTTTTCCTTTCAGCTCGTTCTTCCGCGTCTTTCGGGATTCCTACGTTCTCTGTCCAGTGCGGGATTTGAAAGGCTAAAGTGAGACAGTAGATACCGGCATCATTTCGAGAGGTGTTTGATGAGCACTGTCAACTTGAGCCTCGCATATTCGCACACTACCAACAAGAACACTCGTCAAGACATCTGACATCCAAACAAGACATCACAACACCCTTCCCTTCGTCTGAATCCTCTCCTTCAAGCTCAAATCCCTCCAAATCAGCACAAACACGGTCGACACGGCCACGATGACCGTCGCGGCAACCGTCTGCACCTTCTGCACGTCCATGTACGCCTTCACGATAGCCGTCCTCTCGGGGCTGCCCCACTCGTAACTCAACTGCGTCTTCAAGCTCGCGAAGATCTTCCTCGCCTGCGCCTTCTCCGTTCCCGGCAGGTACGCCTCCAAGTACCGCGGCAGCAGGTTCGTCCACACGGCGCCCGACACGGCCGACCCCACGGCGCCGCCCAGGTACGCGAAAAAAAAACGCCTTGAACGCCAGCACGACGGCGACGTTCTGGTGCTCGCCGGCGGCCGTCATGATGGCGATTTCCTCGGCGTTCGTCAGCGTTGCCGCCGCCCAGCGCCAGCAGCGCCTGGCTGGCCACTACTCCCGCCAGCGGGCTCGCGCGCGCGCGGAACGCGATCAGCATAGCCGCGCCGGCGAGGTGGACGGGGATGGCGCGGCGAGGGCGACGCGCTTGGGGGTGGGGGGCAGCAGTGGCGGAAGAGCAGGCCGAGTAAGGGCGCCCAGGCGCAGGTGACGTAGGAATACACGTTGTCGACGTAGCTGGCGCGCGTGACGGAGAGGCCGTGGACGACTTGGAGGTAGGAGGGGAAGTAGTTGGCCCATAGGTAGTAGGCGATGCGCGTCACGGCGCCCATGGTGCATACGCCTAGCACCGTGCGGTCGAGTAGTAGGTGGAATGGGATCATGAGCTTGGGGTTGAGCGGTGATCGCTCCCAGAGGAGGAAGGCGAGGATGCAGAGGGGCCCTAGGACGAGCATGGCGATGATGTGGCCGGAGCGCCAGGTTGAGCCGTTGTATTTGGCAAGCGTGACGGCGAGGAGGAGGAGGACGAAGCCGGCGGCGACGAGGGTGAGGCCGATCACTGTTTGGTTGTGAGCTGTGGGTTCGTCGGGAGAAGTGGGACGCAAGGACGACTACGCACCATCGAACTCCCAGAACCAATACAATACTTGCTTCTTGATTCCCTTGGGCACCGGGGACTCGGCAGCGACCTGGAACTTTTGTGTCTCGCGCTGCTTTGCGAACAGGAAGTACAGCAAGAAGCTCGACACGACAGGAGTGGTTATGGAAAAGATACCGTAACCCCAGCGCCAGCTCGACACTTGCAAGAGCCTCTCGGCGATGGCAGGTCCTGCGAAGCCCGTCGCCAGGTATGGCAGCGCAGTCAGGCCTAGGTAGAAGGGCCGGCTTATCAGCGCCGTCATGTCTGATATGATGACCGTGGCCACGTAGCCGGACCCCGTGTTGCCGATGGTCTTGAAGACGCGCGCCCCGAAGTACGAGTCGATTCCCGTGCAGGCCGCCGATAGAATTGAGCCGAGTGTGCTGCAAAGTGCGACGAAGGCGAAACCCTCGGCTCTCCCGAAGGCGTCGATGAGCTTGGCGACGGGGAAGGCTAGGATCGCGGACACCATGCTCGTGATGATGGTTAAAATCGGGAGGAGCGAGTGTGACTTAAAGGAGGAGGTTGCGTAGGCTGAGAGGGGCGCGGTAGTCATGGCATCGAGGGACTTGTTGAAGAAAACGACTCATAGACTGTAGTTGAAGTTGAATTAGCAAAAGAGAGGAATGTAACAGAACAACATATATGCGGCTGCGATGGTAGCGTGGTGAATCGAAAGAACTTTATGATAATTATGTGTAGACTTCAAGTGCACACGATAAAATGGCACAACAACTCTCACGAAACAGCAGTGGAAAAGACTTACATAGCATAGGTGACCCATAAAATCTTCTTCGACCACAGCCTTGTGACGGCTTCAATTTTCTTGATACCTTGCTGCGTGTGTTCCGCCTCCAAATCATGCTTCAGGTTCTCATCCTCAACGGCCGTTCCGGCCGTCACACGCTCAACATCCTTGGATTCCATCTGGTACGAAGATTGAGCTTGTCCAGCAGCAGGTGTGATATGGGAAGCCATTGTGATCTCAGCTCAAATAGAGAGGCTTTTCGGACAGTGTTCTTAGAGCAGAGCCAAGGAAGCCCCATTAGCATATAAGCTCCCCAAGAAACCGCCATTCTCATCCATCGTCCCACTCGCCCCGTCGCGAAACATGGTGCCAAGCACGACAAACAAATCTTCCTGCTGGCACGGCTGGCAAGAGAACGCCACAGGCGACGGATAGATCCATTGATTGATAAGGGCGGAGGGCGGAGCGTTAATACGACACGAGGCCCCCACAGAAGCTTTTGACGGGGCCCATTCTTCATGTGGTAGCACGCCGTTTGGTCAGCGGAGCATCGAGCGATCGGGTTACCGGATTGGGTAATCGATCACTCCCTAACTCCACTTGATGTCTTCCGGGCCAAGATTATCTGATTGATTAGATTGACCGGCGCTAGATCCTTCGTTTACATGAGAGAGTCTCGCAGCTATTTTTCGCCTTTGCCAAGTCGCGATCGGCAAATGTGACTGCAACGGTGGGATGGCGAGAGCTGCTTGTCGCGGTTTGCTAACACGATGTGTGGTATGCCGGCAATTTGGAGGGTTAAGCGAGAGCGAAGGCGGAGGAAAATGGAACCTTCCGATATCGTTGATAAATCTTGGAAATTGGACTATTTCCTTCCGCTGGTTTCGGACTGGTGTTGCAATTCGTGACCAAAATACGTGGTACGCAGTGGTTGCGGGGATAAGAAGCGGGGTCCTGCAGCTTTCCGATGGAAATCGAGAAAGCGCAACTGAGGAAAGAGAAGGAACAACATCAGAAACTCAAAATGGCTGAGTATAGGCATTACGCAGATCCCGATCCGCAATGGGCTGATGTACGTGAGGATTCCGCTTTCAAGCGCAAAGCTGACTTCCATTTCGACAGTTCCCGCAAAATCTGCCTCCAGGCACACGTGTTCAGGGAATGAGCCGAGAGCGCCTTCCTATCACACCACAAGACGGTCTTGATATCTCGGAATTCAGTGTGCCAGCGCGAGACGCTCACCCCATCCTCATCCGGTCGTATCGACCATCAGACAAGCAAGCTGACGAGCTTCTTCCCCTCGTCATCTACCTCCATGGCGGCGGCTTCGTCACAGGAGGGTTGGAAACAGATGATGTCTCATGCCGCGCCATGTCATTGCAGTGCGGCGTCGTGGTCTTGAACGTTGAGTACCGCTTGGCGCCGGAAAATAAGTTCCCCGTCGGTTGGCAGGACAGCTATGATATCGTGAAATGGGTGAGCATACGCAAAGGTTTAGGAAATACCAGCGCTGAATGTTCCAGGCCGCCACTCCCGCCGCGCAGAAGCAGCTCTCCGTTGATCTGACCAAAGGCTTCATCCTCGGCGGTACTTCCGCCGGCGCAAACTTCACAGCCGGTATCTCGCACTTCTTCGCCGGGCACGAGGATAACGAGAAACTCTCTCCCCAATTGACCGGTCTGATTTTCATTGCCCCAAGTGTATGCCATCCAGATGTGCGGCCCGAGCAGTACAAAAGTCGAATCCTGAGCGTTGACGAAATCAACGATGCTCCAGGTCTGACGCGGAAGAGCATCGATTACTTTGCAGGTAAACATTTCTTCCCACAGACCAGAATTCGAACTGTACTGACCGGCCTAAGGCAAATATGGTGCGCCGCCTTCTGATAAGCGGCTTTCCCCTCTTCTTTTTTCCTCGCATACAGGTCTTGCGAAGAAGGTTCTCTTTCAGGTCTGCGGCTGGGATCCACGCCGCGATGAAGGTCTTCTGTTTGAGCAGCTACTCAAAGAGACTGACTTGCAGACAAGACTGCACATTTATCCAGGATTACCGCATGGTTTCTGGACGTCATGCCCGGATCTACCGGTGTCGAGGAAGTGGGAGAAAGAACTAGTTGAAGCGGTCAAGTGGATGGTGGACGGGGAGGCCTGAGAAATAATCTTCCATCTAAGAGTAATGACAACGCGACTTATGGTCGCGCCAATATTGCTTGTACTTAAAATTCATATGGAAACTCATAGCCGCGGAGTGTTAAGGCAGCTGCCATACCTGTCACACACGTGTTATGCCTGGTCTTTCAATCACACCAAAATGAGCAGACTTATTGACGAAGTACCAAGCGGATTCGATGATATTCGCCTCTCTTCGTTCGTTATTTGCTGTTTAGTAGCTACCGGCGCGTATATTTTCTGCTCTGAGCCACGGTTAGCTTGTATCAGCAAATTTCCCAAGCTCAGAATTTGGGTTTAGCAGGCGAAGCAGGAGGCACGGGCTATAATCAGGCGAAGCTGGAAGAATAAGCAATCTGCAGATAGCACGCCTCCCACTTCTTTGGCCCTTTCAGCTTCTTTAGCGCCGCTAAAGCTGTTAGTATTATTGGCAATAGTATTTCTAAAGTTCCTTTTAACTTAATCAAAGATTTTTTTTATTTGGTAAAGCTCTTATTCTATAGAAAGCAATGCTATTTTAAAAATAGATCGAAATTCACGCGATTCGTTATAATCCAACGCAAGCATATATAATGGCGGCTACTCGCGTTTTCGTATACTCGCTCCTTCACGTTTTCGTACCTTCGTGTCTTCGTACCTTTATTAAAAAAGAGTATACACTAAACTATTACTAGTAGTACTGACCGCGCTAAAAGAGCAGGACGAGTAGGATAAGCGGGGCGAGCGGGAGGCTCTAACAGTAAATCAAATTGCCGTATTAGATATCCGTCAATTTTGGCTCTGTCAACTCCGTCCGCGCTTCTAGCTCACTGGGAGATTTTCTGATGCTTATGGATCATCTTGCGCATTCACCACATATTATGGATGAGTTTACGTACATAGAGCTTCTCTCGTGGCGGTGGCATCCCGAAGCTTGTAGTATCCTCGAAGAATAAACAGCTAAAGGGAGAAATCATTCCCGTTGCTTAATCAAATAAGCGTTATTGGCTGTAATTCCCCGTCTCTAATAGAGCTTTGAAGTAGTGAAAGATCCCGCCGATTGTATAAAAACTCCCCAAGCCGCGCAATCAAGTCAAATGACAACAGACATATCCAGAAACTGTCTCTGTTCCATTCCCATGACAGACAGCCATTAAGAGATGCTTTTCGCAAGTGGAAGGATGCGTCGTAAAAAATGTCAACGCCGTCGATACTCATACTACCTTCCCTGAAAACAGGTCCTGACGGAAGTTGGCCAGAAATGTGCCATTCAGGAGAGTAACGACTGTCAGTGTTTTGGAATGCTTCTGCGTAGCTTCTTTGGGTTACAAACTCTTTCAGCCTTGTCACATATTGCCTCCAGCTCATCACCAGATCTTCTGGTTGCCCTTCAAAGCGAGCCCAGTCCGGAAACCCTTCGCAAAAACTTTTCTTAAATCCGCTCCGAACAGTCAGACGTTCGGGATCAAATGACTGGTTGGGCTCCGGTCTTACTAGTTGCAGGAGCTTATCGACACCGCTAGAGATCAGTGACTGTAGCATCTCTGTCCGCATCTGCTTCATCAGCTCCAAATAGGCAGATATGATTGGAGACTCAGTTTCGATATCGAGTGGTGTCCTGTTGGCTGTATGTTTGAACACATCGGAAAGCTTAATGTGAGGATTAGGACATCCTGACCTTAGGAAAAGACATTCCTGAAGAAAGTTGATAGATGCACGCCACGACAAAATCAAACTGGCCTCATGCGGTGTTATGTCATAAATAGCCTCTTCCAGCATCCGGAATCCTGGTGTCGGTCTTCTTCCAGGCGGAAATATATTCATAGAAAATTTTCCTGCTACTGAGAAAACCGACTCGGCGTGTTTCTTCAACACCAGGTGTTTGTGCCATCTGGGAAAGTAGAATACTTCAAGTTCTTGCTCGTTGTTTATCAACCGAGAAAGTCCATCAAATCTTGAAAGATCGATATGAAGACCGGTTTCATGTATTCCAGCAAATTTAAGCGTGCCCTGCGAGTATCGGAAAAGAAGGTAACCCTGAATGTCAAGGGAGCCAGCATCAGATTGTATGACTGGGCTTTTGATGATGTCGGTACCCATATGATTGGCTGCTTCTGAAAGTGTGTGTGGTTGTATCATAGGGTCGTAATTTGCAATTTCAAGGTTGTGGAACTGATCGGGCTCTTGTTTGGAGCCATTTGCGTAGATGTGTCCAAACCCACGGGATGATGAAATATCAGTTGTATCAACACCCCAAGAAAATCGAGGGATTGCGATTTTTGTAACATCAATGCTCACTCTCAAGCCCGCTTCGGTGTCTTGACGATCTGCAAGATTGCTCCAATCGGGCACCCACGAAGGCAAACCCGAAATCTTCTTCTCGCATTGTGCGAAAGAGAGAAAACCGAAAGAAGGCGAGTCCTGGGGTCGTTGGGCCCAATAAGCCGCCAGTCCCGTGTAAACTTGTTGGACTGTCAGGGAGTAGTCGACAGGGAGGAGCTTCGCTTCATCAGGGTGGACTAATCCGACAAGGCCATATACTCTGTCCCGTTGATCGGAACAATGTGAGTTCCTGGTATTAATGAGTAACTGCAAAAGCGTCGGAGGGGTTTGAGTAGTAAGGGTCGGGACTGAAAAATGGTTGATCCAGTTCAGATTGAGCCCGCAAGACTGAAAGGCAGAGCACAGACTGGTCCAATGGATAGTCTCATTGCCACATGTAACACTCGCTTTTCGGGCGTGAGCAATCTCTTGAACGACCCATATTCGATGGAAGTAAGGTCGTCCAAGGAGCTGTGTCAAAGCCTCCCTACCATCTTCATCACTCGTAGGGTCAGCTGCCACAAGTCTCATTGCCTTTTCAGAGGCATTTCTCTCCTCCCCAAGATATATCAACACTCTAGCCGCCGATTTATAAATCTCTGGCATCAGTCCAACTTGGAATTGACGCTCAAGAGTATCGTGCTGGTTGATACAAATGGCATCAACCCATACAACCCTATCGTGACGGGTTCGGAGGCTTCGCAATGCCGAATGACAATTTCTGGTCACAAGTAGGACTTGATACCGGGGGCCGATAAATATCGGCATGCAATTGCGTTTATCTCCATCGAGATCAGCCCATGTATAGGACAGAGCTTCGTATGTAGAGGCTTTGGGGTCATCCAGTGCCGTTACCTCGATTGAGCAATGCACTGGTGCATGCGGAGACTCGGCACCGTGTAGACGAAGAAGACGTAATCCATATGGTTTGGGAAGATGCCCATATATGTTTTCCAAAGCATGGTTCGGGTGGTCGGTCTGAGAGGCTCGTGCTGGGTCATCGATTTTCTTAAGAGCATTATCAATGCCAACTCCAACAGGTGATTGATTGGTCTCATTTCCGTCACGTGGTCCCTCTCTTGCTGATTCTGTGGCGGGTTTGCCATCATTCTCAGTGCCAAAAGACCCCGAACTTGTATTCTCCGATCGTTCGATATCTTCGATGAGAAAAGCAGTCAAATTGCTTCCGTTATTATCGAGAATGGGCTCTGAGTCGTACTCCACACATGGTGGCCACAACAATTTGAGTTGCGATCGTTTCTGGCTTTCGGGGGCAGGCGGGGGAGGCGGTGTCTCGATCGTATCTGTTATGACAGAGGAAGCCGAACAACCACAGGTATCGCAGGCAGGTACACCATCACACCATCTGAGGTTTACGTCGCTGCACGTATGATCGTGCCACGACATGCTGAGTGATTTTGTTGTCGTGGATTGAGATAAGGGCAAAGAATGAGGCAGGCTGTCTCTTTGTCCCAGCTGGACGAGGCTGTACTTCGAACATGCTAGGTTGCGCCTGACCATGCAAGGCTGCATGGACCCACATACTGCCCGCAGCCTATCACATCTCAAAGATCTGCTCCCATCAAAAATTGGCAATTAGCGGCTTCGACCATATTGAGAATGGATAATGCACGCACGGCGAGCCGCTGATGTGCGACCCAGCTTGATCCCAACATATAATGAATAGGTTGCAGACAGTGTGTCTGCCTTGCACAACTCGATCAATAGGACATTCATCACAGCCCACTGAGATTGCGTATTGAACGGCAAATTGGGGGGTTCTCTAACACAATTGATCCTTTTTTGAATATGTATTGTCAGTTCTCTTCTGGCGGTGTCCTTCCGGTCCATGCCCTAGATCGGCGCTTATATAGGTAGTAGCGAAAAAGCTCATCATAATGGTAGATAATGTACGAAGACAAACGAAAGCGTGTGAAGCTGGTAGTTGTCTTGTTGGCCTCATCGATTTGCGTAAAATGGATTAGTCTCAGTCAAGGCCATCGTCCATACGTATGCGTTGTACAAGCACGTAGCGACAGCTTACGTTTTGATTGAGTTGGGAGGCCATGTGCTTCACAGCTGCACTTTGAGCTGAGGTGACCCTGGACCCACCCCCATCTGATCCACGCATGGAGTGATTCGGAAGCTGAAACAGAGTGTCTGGAGTTAAAGAGATTCAGCCCCCAAACGTCGATCCCCCGCTCAGCCCTCCGCGGTTGAAGGTTTCCCCATCCGTCTCTCCTCCGCTCCGAGTCTCATGGGTACGTTTAATAGATTCACTACCTAAGCATGCAGGATGGCATGCTTCTCTAGTGAAAGTTTCAGGAAGATTGAATTCCTTTTTGGTCTTCGGATGGTGGCTATGATGGATGGGATGGTTCCAAGAACACTTCGATAGAGATTTTGAAAAATCGCAAAACGTACGATCCGTGATGTATGCCTCTTTTCGCCAGTTCCAAACATGACCACTCTGTTGCAAACCCTCGTATGCCCCGAATACCGCAAAGAACTCCGATGGTATATATATTCCCCACCATCTGCTATACTCCCTTTAGCCATATCTCCATGATCGTAGATCCCCCCAAAAAAACGCCTTCAAAGCACGCAACGAGGAAACAGAAGCCGCCCCTCCCTCTCGACCCACCCATCAAGGCCCAAACAACGGCTTCACCGCACCGCCCCCCGCAACAACCCCCACCCCCACCCCCACTCCCTCCCTCTCCCCCTCATCCTCCCCACCAAGCCTCCTCCTACTAAACGCACCGCCCGCCTCATCCCCCAACCCCCTGTACGCCCTCCTCCCGTTCGTCTTGAGGATCTCGTACACCGTCTCCATGCTCAAGCTGTACCCGCTCTTGCGCCAGCGAGCGTTGAGCCAGCTGGTCAGCGCGTCGCTGCTCTGGCGGAAGTCGCGCGTGTCCCACTCCTTCAGGATGACCTTGATGACGGGGCCGTCGGGCGGGAGGAGCTCGTCGGGTTTGGGGAAGGGGACGGAGTCGAGCGGGAGCGGTATGGGGCGGGAGGAGGAGGACGAGGATGCAGAGGACGACGTCAGGGCGGAGTGGGCGGAGTGAGCAGAGCAGTGGGAGTGGGAGGACGAGGAAGACGACGGGGAAGGGGAGTTGTTGTTGGTGGGGTGGAAGACGGACTCCCAGGCCGTCATGAAGTGCAGCAGCTTTGCTTCGGCGTGTGCCCTCGCCGTGACCGCGACGCCGAAGGGCCGCCCGTTCGACCGCAGCGCGCCGAGCGGCACGACCGCGATGGGGTAGCCCGCTGCGGCGGCGAGCTCGCATAGCGCGCTGTCGCCGGGCGCTGCTAGCACGTCGATGCCGTAGTAGTCAAGCACGAGGTCGATGCCCTCGGCGCCGCCGAGCCGCCGTAGCCCTTCCAGATGGTCCTTCACCACGCTTTCGGGCGTACTCTCGCTGAGCACTGCGATTAGGTCGTCCTGGTCTGGGCACGTCGGCTTGGGTAGTTCGATGTCCGGGTGCTCGGCGTTGAATTCGATCAGCCCGGCCAGCGAGCGGACTCGGCTTTCTTCCAGATTGGCGAAGAACTCGGCGATTATAGTCTTAAATTCTTTGTCTAGTAGTTCAAAATGTTGCGTTAGTGAACTTGAAGAATATGAGTTTTTCTGTCTTCTTTTCGCTGGAACTGCAATGTCTGTTGGAAGATACTTACATGCTACTATCTCGAAGCTGCTCATTGGCCCGCTGTTCCGGAATACCTGCGGCGATGGAGCCTGGACCGGGTACGACACTACCGCGCCGTTATCCCGTATCCTCGATATCGCCATCTCGTACATGCTCATCTAATCAGTCTCAGGCGTCAGTGACATCCATCCCACACTATCACTCGTCATCTTCAACAAGTCTCGATTCAGGAATAGGGAAAGCCCATACCATATACTTCTCCGCATCCGCATTCAACCTCGAAAAGTCCTTCCCCACCTTCCAAATCGCCGGATCCACAAACCCCACACGCAGCCCGTTCCACTGACTCCTAACCTGAAAGAGCCTGTACCTTAACGGCGTCGACTCCAGCTCGCGGGGCAGCGGCTGCATGAGGGCGTCCATCAGAAAAGTCAGATCAGCCGCCGACTTCGCAGCCGCGCCGACAGCATCAAAGCTGCGGCTAAGGGCCAGCACGCCGTCGGTCGGCACCTCGCCGACGGTGGGCTTGAGGGCGTACAGGGCGGCGCGGTTGGCGGGGGCCATGAGGCTGCCGACCGTGTCGGTGGCGACGGCCAGCGGCACGAAGCCGGCGGCGACGCTGACGGCCGAGCCCGCGCCGCTGCCCCCCGGTGCAGTGTGGTCCCAGATGAGCACACCCTTTTCCAGGCGGCGCGCGACAAAGGGCGACTGCGTCTGGCCCCCCACGGCGCTCCAGCCGGGCGTCATCTCGGCCGACTTGAGCCCGCACAGCTCCGACAGGTTCGCCTTGCCCAGCACGATCAGCCCCGCCGCCATCAGCCGCTCGACTACCGTTGCTGGCCGCCGCGGCCGCGCGCCCACGAACGCGTACGAGCCAACCGTCGTGTCGAGCTGGTGCGCCAGGGCGTCCGTGGCGATGTTGTCCTTGACCACGATGGGGATGCCGTGAAGAGGCCCGCGTACCCGTCCGGCTCGCCGCTCATCGTCCAGCCGCCGTGCGATGGCGAAGAGGTGGTAGCGTGGAGCGACGGAGATGATGGCACGGAGCTGTCGTCCCTTACGGTTGTGCCGCTCGATTTGTGCCAGGTAGACGTCGACCAGCTCGACCGATGTCAGCGACCCCGCGCGGAGCATGTTCGAGAGAGAGGTGGCGGTAGCCGTGAGGGTATCGAAGGGGAATTGGCCGTCCATGATGGTGGTGGTAGTTGAAGGTGGCTGAGGCTTGGAGATTTTGGCCATCGGTCAATGTCACTTGTGGCTTGTCCTCAAAGTTTTGCCTCTGATAAAGCTGTGATATGTTCTCGTCCTCGTGGTAGAGGAAGTAAGAGACCCTGATCAATCTGTTGGACTTTGTTGTTGGTAAAGGGCCGTTCCGGAAGTCATCGCGGTACCGTGCTCGCGGTAGGCGCGCCTCGTCGATGTTCGATATGGGCGTCAGCAGGACAGATGAAGACGGGTAAAAGAAGATCGTGTGACGAAGAGTGATAGTGGATAAGCAATCGAAAGGAGGGAACGACAAAAGGAAAATGGAATCGATCGGCCAGTGCAATAAGGATAAGGCGCGATATGTGACGGACGATATATATATGATCAGCCCCTCCAAGAAGCCCCGTCACCCCAGGCTGAAGTGACAGCTGCAGGTGGCAAGAGCCGAGGCGGGTGCCAGGGCGCATATAAGCACAAGACAGCTACCGGGTAGTCACATATCCCAATCCTGCCCCTCGGCCGCTGGACCAGAGGAAACGAAGCAGCGGGAAATGGCGCAGCAGGTACATGAATGGCCGGAGCCAGGTACAGCGCATCGGAACGGGTGTCTGGAAGCAGCGGCCGGCGATGCGCGAGCGGGACTGCGGTTCCTGAGCTCTAGGCTCCACACCATCAGACGCCCACGAGACACACATCCACATCATCGGGAGCTCGGGCCCCCGCGCCGCAAGGTCTTCGCGCTGGCTGGCTGGCTGGATCGTGTCGGCGGTGGCGGCTGCAGGCTGGACGGGGGGGCGTTTGCGTGTGTGCGCTCCCCGGGCTCTGAAACCTGGGGGCCGGCAAGTCCGTCCATGGGATCCCGCTCGCGTTCACCAGGTCGACGGCCAGGAAATGAGCTCAGCGGCACCCGGGAATCCGCGAGCGCGGCAATTGAGAGCGTGAGCGAGCCAACCTGCGGTTGTTCTCTGGGGATTGATCCGTTGCGGAGACCCTGTTGCCCCGTGCATTATTTTATATCTCGTGCATGGAAGCGAGGCGCAACGGCCGCAGTTGCCGCGAACGGCCTAGCCTGCGTGGCACAGAAGACGACCAGCGCAGCGGCCCTCTCATTCCGCCATACGAGCTGCTGCTAAGGCCGTGAGGCAGAGGACTGGAGCAGCTGCGCCGATGAAAATAACACGCGTCATGCGTAGTCGAGTGTTGAGAGGGAGCTGCGTTTGGGTGAGGCGGCGTTCTCCTTCTGGACTGGTGATCCACGTGGACGGACCACAATCCCGGCCGATACCATTTTCTCATTTTCCATTGTCGTCAAGAGCAGCGAGTGCGTTACGGAATGCGGCAGGTCGGCCGGCCGCAGCTGGAAGGCGGCTGATGCTCCCGAGCGGCACCCAGGATTGGAAGGGAAAATAAAAACCGGGGGGCGCGCGGAAACCAACAAGCTCTGCCGTGAGTTATATTACCAGAAAGCGTCAGCCTTGTCCTCGGAATCGCGGCCGTCCCAGAGCGGCGGAGATGGCCGCCAAGCTGACCGTACAGGGCCTCCCAAGCCTTACTGAGACGCTGATAAGCGAATCCGCAGCTGGAAAGACGCCTTTGCGAGCCCGCCGTGCTACTGCTGCATGATGCCGCCGCTGCGAGCCTCCATGTGCTCTTTGCTTCTGTTGATGCATGAGGATGATCATCATTATGTGATCGCGATTGAGGATGCTCTGTTCACGTGGCGCCCGCGAAGATCCGGAAAAAGCAACCTCCTAGACACGTCGCTCGACGAGAGAGCATCAAGCCTTCGTTCCTGTCTGATCTCAATTTTGCTTTTTCTCGTCGTACAAGCAAGGTTGAGAGCGGGTCGATCATAGCTCCAAAGCATGTTTCTGAGCGGTGTGTATCGCAAAGCCGCAGTTCGCAGGGTTGGACCTGAACTGGACATGAAAGGATTTCGTTCTCCGAAGAAAGGAGCGCCCGTGAGAGATACGGGAACCGTTACCTGTGAGTGGACACCCAACCCTTTACCGTCACATTTCACATGCAGACCCTCGAGGTTGTCGTCCATGATCTGACATGAGTCGTGTGTCTTGCGAGCGCCACATGCACCCCTAGGTTCTCGCATACCCATGTCGCCCTCGTGGTCGAAGCTTGCGAAGTGTCAGCCTTGTACTACAACAACCTCCACCACGCCCGGAGTAAGCTCTCCCTTGGTTCCCTGCATCTCAGCACTACTCTCGCTTCTTTCTGCTTAGAAGAGCCTGGAGTCCGAGCATGATCCAGAGCCAAGCGTCCCACGAAAAGGCTGTTCGACATCATCCACGGTACGGGTTCCTGCATGCAAATGTGCCGCCCTGAGGTCTGCATAAGCGCTCGGTCGTGGAATCCTTCTAGAATCCCCCTTTTCCTGCGCCGCAGATATCGGCCGGCAGGTTGCAGAAGCCACATGTACGTTCAAAGACATTACGCGATGCAACAATGCGACGAGAACGACTGTTGGGGAAAATGGCCTGTGCAAAACAGGCCTTCACACCTCTATAGCTGACGCCTAAACGGTCTAAACGAAATGAGCTATCTTCATCTAGTAAGATTTGAAAGGTAGGAGACAAAGACTCGCAGGCACTGCCCAGGCCTGTGGTACAATGTCAAATCATCGAAACGGCCTATGCAATGAAAGGAATCCCGACGGTTGTCCTGGCGCGGTACTTGCGATATTCTTCTCCGAAGAAATTTACCAGGAACTTCTCCTCGTCTGTTGACTTGCGGTCAGCAGCTGTCTCCATTTTGAAATCTGTATGGGCATACTCACGCATGATCCGATGGCTGAAGAAGCGCCACAACACAGCCGCATAAATAAAGAAGCACACGACGTTCCCCAGCATGAGCTGTGTTCCCAGTCCCCACCAGAAGAAACCAAAGTAGCTCGGGTGCCGCAGCACCGCATAAATTCCGTCCGTCACCAGTTCGTGGTCGGATTTCTTGCTGCTCTGCACCAGATGGTTGAAGTTGGTGCCCGCCTGCGCCATGGCTACGCTCCGCACCGTCTGGCCCACCGCGATCAACGCGATCCCAAGCACCGCCGTCAAGCCGACGAAATTGACCTTATCGTGCCAGTCGGGGAAGACGAAGTGCGTGACGAGGTACTCGAACATGGCGGTCGAGTGCGCAATCTGGTACTCCTTGCCATTACTAAACAAGAAGCTGCGCGTCTTGGCCGAGGGCGTGTTGTAGCGCGCCGTCGTCCAGAACTCAAGGAAATGGAACAGCGACAGCGTAGTCACGAAGAATGGGGCGCGCCACGCTGCGCTGTGCGAGACAAAGGCCAGGTATGCTGCTGCGGCCAGGCTGAGACCGAGCGCTTGTCCCAGCGCGAATGCGCGAAAACCAATGCCCGACAGCGAGCGCGGTTGGCCCGGCAGCAGTTCCTGCGCCGCGATAGGAAACATGGGCGCTTTCTGCTTCTGTTGGTATTGCTGCAACTGTGGCGCGGTCGCGGTACGCACGTCTTTCTGCTCGCGCAGGCGGATCTCGTGGTCGACCTCCGGGGTCCATTTCCCACGACTTGCTGGGCGGTTGACGGGCCAGGATATAGAGGGGCTAGCACCCTCTTCGCTCGGCGATTTGTTGGAGCTTGTGGTTGCTGCAGCTGCAGAGCCGTTTGCAGCGCCGTTCGAGGGGGCAGGCATCGTTTCAAGGGTTGGAGGCGTTGCTGTGAGCGCGTTGGATTTTTTTTATTTTCGGGCTGAGGCGGTCGCTAACACGGTCTCAGACGTTTAAGGTGGAGGAAGATGCATAGCGGGCGGGCGAATGCAAAGATAAGGGGTTGCGATGCGTGACAGTGGCACAAAGAGAGAGTGGAGAACAATGGGCGGTTGCGCTGGAGGTCAGAAGGGCGATGCGACAAAGCCGATGACGAACGCCGCAACCGGGACCCCAGACCCGATCGAGCCGCCCGGGCGGTGAGCTCTAGCGCTCGCACCCCTCAGCGGGGACCTGCTGTCGATCAACCGTCACCCACCAGCCTTATTATCTGTACCACTATCCCTCGCAAACGCCTTTTCTCAAGCAATCGCAAGCTACCCGCCATGTCTATCCAGGTCGATGAGGTGGAAAACAGGCGCAAGATGGCGCGCGGCGAGCTCTACCACGCCTTCACCCCCGAGCTCACTGCTGCCAGAGCACGTTGCCAGGCCGCTTGCAAACGCTACACCAACGCTGGTGAGGTTCCACGCAGACGCCTGGTAGAGTTATGGAGGGAGTAAGTAGCCAGATTCGTACGTCGACACTAGAAGAAACGCCACCGGCCTTACTTTCGCACCGACACAGTCTCCCCGTTAATGCCCCTCCCTTCTTCACAGCATCGTCGGCGACACAACGCCCCTCCCGCCGCCCGCAGCAACGCCTGAAGCGGACGATGCGCTCTTCGAAGATGAGCCGTGGGTTGAGGGTCCCATCCACATTGACTACGGCACCAACGTGAAGCTGGGCTCGAACGTCTTCATCAACTTCAATTGCACCATCCTCGATACTTGTCTAGTGACCATCGGCTCGCGCACCCTGTTCGGCCCTAACATCTCTCTCTACTCGGGCACGCATCCTCTCGACCCGCTCGTTCGCAACGGTACCAAGGGCCCCGAGCTCGGTGGAGAGATTCACATTGGCGAGGATTGCTGGCTCGGCGGCAATGTCACCATCCTACCCGGCGTGACTATCGGGCGTGGTTCGACGATCGGCGCGGGCAGTGTTGTGACTAAGGATGTGCCGCCATTCCACGTCGCAGCTGGTAATCCGGCACGCATTCTTAAGAAGATCGAGACCATGATGGATCCTGAGCAGGCTGCTCAGAAGCAGTCTGCGACAAATAATGGCCCGGGCGGGATGATGACAGCACAGGATGCTCTTCGTGGGATGCAAACTCATGGTGCCGAAGTAGAAATGAAGGAGCAAGCAGAAGAGGAGGAAATGGCCAAGCCCGTCGACGAAGAGAGATTCTGGCGCGCGTTCGCTGCTAGTGAGAAGCATGCTGCCGAAGGCGGAGCATACGTCAAGAAAGATTAGAGCAGTCCGCAAATAACGTGTACAGCCCAACAACTACAGTCGCTGCCCGACAAGTAGATTAAAAGAGTATGGGTCAAAAGAAAGAAGGTTTTACGTTGTATGCCAAGAGGTTGTTCATCACCGGGATAGGCGCAGGACATAAATGCGACACTGATGAGGCGCGTAGATAGGATACCCTCAAAATCACGGATCCTGCACCACTGTTCAGATTTGTGATCCCTCTTGGCCTTGAGTGTTCGCAATTTGGTTCATAGCGAGCGCCATGAGGCCGTGGCATCCATGTTCAAGGTAGCTGACGTCACCTTTCACCCTGGACTTACTGTAAAGGGAAGTGCTGCCTGTGTCTCCACAACAGAGGGCATCCCCGCAGCCGTGCGGAGTATCGGGTGAGTCGATCGACAATCGACCATTTAAATCCGACAAAATGTCAGCTATGCGGCTCAACGAGCTGGACAGCAAGCGGCTCTGACTGATGCCTCAGGAGACACGTACCTCGTAAGTCCGACCTTGAAACTCATCCGAGGAAGTCCATGCGATGCCAAGGGAGGCGCTCTCGGAGAACAAATCGACATAGCGACCCCGCATTCAGGATCATTAACCTTGCCACCGGCAGTCAAATCCGGTGGCTCGTTGCACTATGATAGTTTTCACAGAGTCTGTTCCAGCAGTGCCTACGATGGCTATCAAAAAAGTCGAAGTTGTCGGTGAAGTGCAGAGCTGAGCTGATGCATGAATTCCCGTATCCGGCTAGTGTGTCTTAGTCAGAAATGCGGTACGTACACTCCTGTGGATCCTGCAACGGATCTCCAACAACCAAGTCCGCATGATAACAGGTATCGTTCTATGGCCTGAGCGATGGCAGCTCGTCGGTCCCAGAATTAGCTGCCGCAAGTCAGATATGCTTCTGACGGTCTGGCCGCGGACCGACACTTCCACGGCATTTAGAGTTGCGCTAGTGACCGGAGCCTTTCAGCGTGACATAACTACCACTCACTGCCGAAGCAACAAGGCTAAATCCGACAAATCCGCCCATCAAGAATCTGGGGTAAAAGCATGGCTGGGGTAAGGGAGTTGTCTAGTGGCTGTGGCTGGCTGTATCACCAGCACCCCCTCCGAGCCCGACAAATCCGGTGAGGGAATGGGGCACAGGGGTGTGATCTGCGCCGGGCGACGTGCTCACTCCCCACATGATATCTTTCGGGTCATCGTGGATATATGTCGTCCTTGAGCAGTGCATACGCTCCGTGGCAGGGGATGATACTTTGTCCTCCTTTTCCGACCTCCGAGCACATTTAAATCAGGAGAAGATTCAACATCTTCTGGACAAGCTCGCCACGCTCGACAACTTGAGTAACACTTCGAATCTGCTGCTACCATGGAGGTTGACCTCGAAAAAACTTCCGGGTCTGGCATACAAGCCGCCCTTTCCTACCTCCAGTCGCACCCCATCTACATTTTCTATGCCTTCTGCATCTTCATAGTCCTTCGCTTTCTCAAAAACCGTTATGCCTCTCCTCTCCGCCACTATCCTGGACCTTTTCTTGCATCCGGTACCCGCTTGTGGAAACTATTTGTAACCTTGCAAACCCACCAAGAAACCGCTTTCATCAACCTCCACAAGAAATATGGTACGTACCACCACTAACAGATCTTTCTCCCAACTCCCTTCCACCTTTCATCTTGCTCCCCTCCCAACTCCCCTTTCCTCCCTCATCAAACCACCACCTAATCTACGCCTCCAACAAACCCCCTTCTTCCCAACTCCAATCCCTTAGCCCATCATCGCTAACAGAAAGGTGGGAAACAAAAAGGCCCCATCGTCCGCGTCTCCCCCACCGCTCTTTCGTTCTCCCGGCCATCTGCCGCGCGCGAGATCCTGTCGGCGGGCAAAGGGTTCCACAAGACGTCCTTCTACGCCGTCTTCCCGCCGCCCGAGAACCCGGACATCTTCACCGAGACGCGCGAGGCGGCGCACGCGCTCAAGCGGCGCGCCGCGGGGCCGTCGTACGCCATGGCCGCCATGCAAGGGCTGGCGGACCGCGTCGAGGCCGTCATCGGCTTGCTGTGCGAGCGGCTGGATGGGTTCTGTGCTGCCGGTGGCGCCGCGCCGGTGGAGATGGACCTCGGCGCGTGGCTGCACTTCTTCGCGTTCGACGTTTTGGGCGAGGTGGCGTTCGGGCGGGTGTGGGGGTTCCTGGCGGAGGGGAAGGACGTCGAGGGCTGCATCGAGGCGATCGATCAGAGTCAGCGGTATAACGGCGCGGTGGGCCAGTTGCCGCCGCTGGACCTGCTGCTGCGCAGGAATCCGCTATGGAGGGCGTGGCAGAAGGTGGTGCCGGGGGCGCAGCCGCTGGTGACGAGGATCGCGTTGGATGAGCTGCGGAAGAGGAAGGAGGAGGGTGGGGAGAAGGAGGAGGGAGGGAAGAGGAGGGACTTGTTGACGCAGTTGCTCAAGGCGCATGACAAGGATCCGGAGAGGTTCACTGAGGGCGATGTCTTTGCTGTGACGCACGGTGCTATGTGAGTCTTGCTGTCTTTAATTCCGTTTCCCACATATTTCCCCTCGTGTCGTTGCGCATTCACTGACGCCTCTTTGAACCGTTGCTCAGCTTTGCCGGCTCCGACTCCACCGCCTCGACCATGCAGTCCTTCATCCACCACATCCTGCGTGACCGCCGTGTCTACCTCCAAATCGTGGCCGAAATCGATGCCGCCACGAGCGCTGGGAAGCTCTCGCGCGTCGTGCAGTTCAACGAGGCGCAGCTGCACCTGCCCTACTTCCAGGCTGCTCTCAAGGAGGCGATGCGCCTCCGTCCCGCCGTCGGCGTCGCCATGGCCAGGTCCGTACCCCCCACCGGCGCCGAGATCGATGGCGTAAGGTACCCGGCCGGCACCGAGTTGGACATCAACGCATGGGCGGTGCATAGGGATAAGGAAGCGTTTGGTGAGGATGCGGAGGTGTACAGGCCAGAGAGGTGGCTGGAGGATGGAGAGAGGGCGAGGCTGATGGACAGGCATATGTTGCAGGTAAGTGTATTGGAGGAGATAAAGTACACGATTACTTGTAGGCTGAGTGCTGACGTCGTCTTAGTTCGGAGGCGGCTCTCACGTGTGTATTGGACGAAACTTGGCCTTGCTGGAGATGAACAAGGTGCTTCCGATGCTGCTTCGGGATTACGCCATGGAACTGGTGCATCCGGACCGGGACTTGGATTTCCATACTTACTTTTTCGTGGTGCAGAAGGGATTGAACGTCAGGATCTCAAAGAGAGTATAGCTAGGCTATGAAAACGTAAAGCATCGAGCATGAAAAAAAAAATTGACTAATGGGATTGCGCCTCCTGAATAAGAAGAAACGTGCGAATTTTGTACAGTTTAAAGACTGAGACCAATTTCTGGATAACTCCTTCTATTTCCCACGTGGACTGTTTTTTTTTAGGGTATATGAGACTCGAATATCATTTTTCTGAAGCCTTGATGCATAGTCTTTGACATAAGTGATTGAGAAAGATTGTTGATGAAAGAATAAGGAGATACCAAAAGACACCTCTTGAATCTCCCACCACTTTCATCATATCTCATTTTGTATCCTCTTCTGCTGCTCATCAACGAGTAGCTCGAGTATATCGACGACGAACGCGCGAGGTAGTGCCGCTTCTGCATCTTCCTTGCCGCCGGGCAACATCCGGTTCCGCTGCTGTTGCGTCAAAACTTCCCAGATGCCACGATAATCTCTCGTTCTTTTCTCACGTCGCAGCTGTTGACTCAGGAACTTTTGCATAGCTATACTCTCCGCTGCCCGCCGGAGGATGTCGACGGTTGCCGGAAGCTGATAGAATACAGAGACGACGGATTGATGGAAGGGTGAATTATCGCGATAGTCTTGGTACTGTGTCGTGATGGGAAAGTAGTTCCAAAATTCGGCGTTCGGCCAGCATGGAGTATCGCGAACATCGCTCGAAAAATGCTGGAGAAGCAGGCAGACGACATCGAAGATGTAAGCTTTCTTCTCGTCGTCGGCAGTCTCCGCGGATTTTAAAGCCTCCATAATAGGGCCCGAATCGTGAATGGCAACGTATTTAAGCATCACATGTAGGCTCGTGAGCCGCGTAGGATGGCCTCTGCGAGTATCGAACCAAGAGATGGAGTTGAGAAGGGCCATGAGTGGCGCCTGGCTCATACCGTCGGCGACATGTGGGGTGACATAGCGCTCTAAACAGATTTCAATAGCAGCGCGAGCGTCGGCTTCGATGGTGGGGTCAAGAACTCGGCTGCAGCCGGCACAGAGCGTGTACAGGAAGCTGTTCTTGCCATCCGTGACGTTCCTGAAGAGGAGCCGCGCGAGGAATGAAGCCATTCCTGGCTCTGAGCTGTGAAAAGATAGAGCGTGCTCAATCGTCATCTCGGTCTCGTACTGGTGTATGTTGCCCGGGAAGTGATTGATCACGGTCAGTGGGTCGAGTCCAGCGTTGAAGAAGTCGGCAAGCATGGCGAGACCGTTGTCTGGGATGCCCAATCTGTACGTATTGGGCTCTAGCCATGGCCTAACAATCAGATATTCCAGCCCCTTGAATCGTGCTCCTGCCTTTAAAAGAGAATGAGCGTATCTGGTCGCAATCGAGAAGTTGTAGTCTCTGATGTGGCTGATTCTGCGCTGCAATGCAAGCTCAAGAGCAGACATTCCCTTATATGGTCCTTCGCCTGCAGGAGCATCGATAAGTCCACTGTTCGGAATGATCAGCAGATCAGCGATTTCAAGGTTTGTTGCAAAAAGTATCGCAACCTGGAGCGCGTGTAATCCGTCCGAATTCAAAAGAGCCATGGATGCCCCGTGTTTTAAGAGCAAACCGACTATAGAGCAATCGTTCCGTCTAATCGCAGCCATGAGCGGCGTCTCAAATGTTCGGAGATCCTTGCAGTCAATTTCTGCGCCCTCTCGCAATAGAAGCTCGAGAACTTCCGGTTCTGATTCAGAGGCCGCCAGGGACAGTAAGGATCTCCCGAGTACATCTTGGAAGTCTGCCTTGTCGTGATAGATGGGGGTGAAGTCGATGTGCCAATTCCTGACCACATAGCGATATGGACCACGAAGGACCGATTCCAGATGGCCAACTTTGGACTCTTGTATGCTGTCTATGAGGCCCAAGATAATGTCGTCTGGAACATTACGTGACCATGGATCGTTTTGATGGATGCCCGCGGATGCTCTGGCTTTCGTTAGGATGAATAAACTGAATTGATAGACTCATTTACCCACGCTTGCAAAGACGGATTCGGGGCTGGGAGGGGAGAACGGCTATGAGGTGTTTCCGGTGGAGATGCGGAGCTGTTCCGATTCCTCTTGAAGCCCCACTCGTGTAATTTGACGCGGTAGGCGCGGGTTCTGTTCTGGGTCACTAATGATGTCCTACCACACTTGATAAAGGACACGTACGAAGCGGTAAATCCATGAGCATCTCGCAGGTACCGCATTACCTCAGTCAAGGATTTTCCTTGCCTGACATACAGTCTTTCTATTCCATCTTTCACCTGTAGCCAGTCTTTTGTCATTTTTGGAGATGGGTGTTCGGAAGAGTGCAAAAAGTGAGACGACTTGTCTGCAAGGATAAGTGGGCCACTAGGCTGGAGTACTATCGTTCAAATAGGCTGGGGACACATACAACAGCCTTGGGCTGCAGGAATCATGGTCACCCCTCATTGGCCCCTGCACCGTGCAAAATGCACAGTGCAAAAACGCCAGTCTGGATAAGGAAAAGCAGCTGCGGGATCATGTGGGGGCTGTGGCGGGAGCAGAAGTGCACTGTGCAGAAAAACCGCTGCGCCCCACAAGAATTGCACAGCAAAGCGCTTCGCCGTGTCAGCTGGATCAAGAAACACATCGCAATTTTTGCACTGTGCAAATACGCTAAGGCTCCCGCTCCCCTGCATCTCGATAGCTGAAGCTGGGATCTCGTGTTGTCTGTCGTTCTCATACGCCAATCAATGATGAGGACTGTCGTGTTTCGAATACAGGGGCGCACAATCGTGGGTCGGCTCGCGCCTTTCGGTGCCGCAGGCTGTACATGGGAGCTGGATCCTGCAGTTCTGCCTGTGAAATGCAGGATTCTTGGTAATGTGCGCAGCCCATCGCAGGCTATGGGTTTTTGCACAGTGCAGTTCACCAGCAATTAAATGTCTTCCCGCCTTGAAGCGACTCGTCTGTCGTTTCACTTGTCTCGTGCTCTGTGCTTGAAGAATTACCATTTGCAACCACACCAAAATCTCGATTCACAGACATTTACCTTTGGCGGCACTCGAACGCAATGACTACGACCACCACGTCATCTACAACAAGAACATCAGCTTGGTGAGTTAGCTTCCGCTAATCTTGTCCAACTTTCACTTATTTTCCCCATAGCGGCTGCGAACATTTTACCAGCCCCAGTCCAATCTCTACGGAGAGCGAGCATGTTAAGAAGTGCGCAGTGCACTTCAGCACTCAGACCAACCACCGAAACAATAACAGTTTTCAGTTGACAACTGAGAACTTGGCCGCTCATCAACCTATCAGCGATCCAACGAGGATCCGGCGACTCAATCAGGCTGCTGAGGAGTTGGGGTTTCAATTGCCGAGAAAAAGCCTGTATTTAGAGGGTATTTCAGATGAAGGGCCGATGGAACGCTGGATCAATGCTGATAGGTGCTGCTCTGAGGCGGCGATAGAGAGTTACAGCGTACGGAGAAAGGGCAAGTGAATGGAAATCTCAAAAAGAAAAAGAAAAAGAAAAACACTATATGAAAAACCAGTCAGGTGGAAAGACACGGACAGTGACCAACGTGGAGGCGACGCACATCAGTTCACCCTGCAGCAAAGCTTCTCTCCCACGCCTAGGGCTCGTGCTCAGAGACGCTTTATGCAGGGAGAGGGTGGAGCTACCGTCCAAACGTGAATGTACAACCGTTGATTCCACGTCCATGTCCAAACAGTAATTTCGATTACCTAAAACATGAGTGAAAAATAAATCCGAGTGGTACAGGACAAGGATTGATGATTAATATTGCAATTAATTACCTGTTAGGCTGTTCACTGTAGTCTCCTTCTAATGGTGTTTGAGATAGTCTGCAGCCCTTTCAGACGCCCCTCGCCAGTCTCGCCGAGGTACAGAGAGGCGACTGGCCAGGCATGAATACCTCCTTTTTCTTCGTAGACGTCAACATGTGCTCCTGCTTTTCTTAATACGCCAACCAAGCTTCGTATTTCAGGCCCAAGAACTTCTTCAGTCCCGAAGAGAAAGCACCAGCCTTGAGAAGGGGATGCTCTTGCCCAGCGTCCAAGGTCTCTGCAGTTACCCGGAGAAACCATTGGGTCGTCGACGGACACTTTGTTGCCGACGTACTGTTTTCCGTAGAGGTGGAGACTGTCGGAGTTGAGATAGTCGCTCGCCGTATTTCGATTGTTCGGAGAGATGATCGTGACCCACGGTGAAATCATGGTAGCCAACCCTGGCAGCTTGCCGTGGTGACGCGGGTGATCTGCAAGATATAGCAGGAGACTGAGGATGATGGTTCCACCTGCGGAGTCACCGCCGACACAGATTCGCGATGGATCTTCGATAACGGAAAGGACGTGCTCATATCCTGCAAAGGCCTGCTGGACTTGGGTTGGATAGATGGCATCGGGTACAAGGGTATACTCTAGCGCCAAGAGTGCTGGGTTCTTGTAGCCTGCTTCTTTCAGGAGGGAGACCCACGCAAGGAGAAATTCCATGTAGAAATAGCTCGAGCCCATTGAAAAACCGCCTCCATGGCAATAAAACACAACGATGTCCGGCTTGACCTCTTCGTCAACGGTGAGCCAAACACCGTGAAAGCTATCTTTCTTCACTTCTCTCCAAGAAATGGGTGAGCGGAGGCGGTTATGGCGCAGCATTCGCCATTTCAAAAATGGCAGGGATACAGGTTTTGAGAAGAAGACACGGCCAATGTATGCGGGCATGCAGGCGAAAGCGTAGCGCACGCATCTGATGACGAAGTCTTGGAATGGAGTGGCTCTCTGAACGAAGGGAGATCGATCTGCCCATGGGGTGAAGAATCTTTCACGCACGAACTGGTACGGTATCAAGATAACTGTGCATTGTTGATCAACGATGGTTCCACGAATTAAGGACAATGGATGTACCAATGTGGGGCAGAGCATGAAGTACCCATGTCACTAGGTCGAAAAAATCGACATTCAGAAGCAATTGGGGCGCAAGGAAGATAAGAAAGACAACGCAGTCCAGGTACGAGATCTGCGTGAGGATCATATTTCCTGGGCGATGAATTCGGGTGAGGGAGTAGAGAACATTGAGCTGAAGAGCGAGCGAGTGGTCCGACGTCTATGACGCTGATAGGCTGGGCGCCTAGGCCGAAAGAAGGTATCGAGCGCACGCCGCGCACACAACGCGCCCCGGCGGCAGATGCAAAGAGCAGCGGGAAAGTGGATGGGCGATTGACGCGTGGCGTGCCAGCGCGAGCCTGGATGACGTGAGGCGTCCGCGGTCGGCGGTTTGATTAGATAAGCGTCACGTGTCCTGAAATTTCCGCGGCCTCATTTGCTGCTTGGCCGGCGGCCTGCCATCACCGTCACCACCGACCACTTCAAGCAACCTGCTGCCTTCACGCGCCACGGGCTGGTTGCGCGCACGCAGCTGCTCCGACTTTGCGGCTTCTTTTTCTCTTCGTCTCTCTCCCTCTCCCTTCCACTGTCAACCCTGCGCTTCGACTCCAATGCGCTGAAGCTCGTCCCACCCGCCGGCTATCCAGCAACGACCTCCGCTTCCGCAAATTTCGCGTTTGCCCCACGCAAAGTTTTGCCGCGGAACTGAATTCGCACGCTGGAAGCCATGGACCTAGCAAGGTGCGCCCCCGCCTCAAACCCCGCGATGCTGCAGCTAGCGCTGACCCGCCACCTGTACAGCTCTCTGACCCAGGAAGAAATTCCTATCAAGCTGCGATGCGCCATCTGCAACAAGCTGGTCGTCAACGCTTTCGGCCTGCCGTGCTGCGACCAATCGATATGCGGAAACTGTAAAGAATTATACCCTTCCGATGCTCGTGTGTCGATGCTGACCCGCGCAGGCCAATCTTCGCTGCCTGATTCCTGCCCGGTGTGCTCCCACAGCCCTCTCTCCGCCGAAGACTGCAAGCCGAAAAAGAATCTGCGCCTTACCGTCAAGGCATACTTGAAGTCGGAGGAAAAGAAGCGCGACAAGGAACGCTCCGTCAGCGTTGTAGCCAAGCCCGACACTCCGGTAACTCCAGGTGGAACCGCGCCACCTGTGGTCCAATCTATAGAGCAGCCTCTTGATGCGCCCGACCAATTTGCCACCAGCGCCCCGGCCGCTGCTCAAGAAGCGAAGGACCAGGACCACAGTGACGTGGCCCAGACAAACGAGGTGCCTCAGGCTGATACGGCAACTCCAGTTGCGGACCTTGGACAAACAGAGGTGAGATTGGCGCATCTTTTTCAGGAGCGAGGCTGATATAATGTAGGGTGCAAATGAAACCGAAGATCCCCAGAACCAGGATCCGCACGGCCAGGACCCCGCCACAGAAGCCAGCGCCGGGGAAAACGCAGATTCTGAAAAGAAAGAGGATGGTCAAGAGAGTCAAGAAGGATCTCAAGAAGGTCAAGATGCGCAAGGCGAAGGCGACAAGCAAGCCGGAAACTGGAATGCCGGAGCGAACGGAACCCCAGCCCAAGGCCAGATGTTTGGAAACGGATTTGGTTTTGATCCAAGCCAAGCCGGGTTCAACGGCATGAACTGGACTGGCTCCGGAGGCTTCAACCCTATGATGATGAACGGCATGTCCAATGGCAACTGGAACAACTTTGGTATGATGGGTAAGCTACTCTAGTCCAGGTCACATATCGGCAGTTGTACTGACATGAAAACTCAGGCATGCCCGGCATGGGGATGGACCCAATGGCCATGTCCCAAGGAATGTTCGGAGGCTTCGGAGGTCAAGGCATGGGCATGAACGGAATGAACATGGGCATGGGCTACGGCGGAGGGTACGGTGGCGGATGGAATGGACAGCAGATGAGTGGTAATGACTTTGGTGGCGCAAATGCTGGCTATTATCCCGGAGGTGGATATAATCAACAATCGCACCAGCAAGGGCATTTCCCGCAGCATCAGATGAATCATCATCACAACCAGCAGTTCGCAAAGAATAATTTCCAGAACCAGAATCGCTTCCAGGAGCCCGGCGCATATCAGCAGCAGAAGCAGCTTGGCCCAGACCAGCAGGGAGATAGCGGTGCTGGTCCTGGCCAAGCTGATGGAAATGCTGCTGCTCAAGGTCAGGTGTTAGGCGAGGATCAAGGCGAGACCGAAAATAAGGCCTCCGAGAACCATGTTTCCGAGGCGAATGTGGAGGACGGCGCCCTCGAGAACCAAGTTCCTCCGGACCTTCACAATCGACGGTCGTCACAGGCAGAATCGGGCGATGCGCAGAATGATGCGAACGACGAAGAGAATCCTACCCAGCCGGCTGATGTCACGAACGAAACGCAAAACGAGGCGACATCTGGAGAAGTTCACGAGGGCGACCCAAGTGCGGAAACCAAGGATGAAGGTGACACTAACCCTACTGCAGGAGGACCTGACGCCCAAGAAGGCGAGACAGGACAAGCTCCCGAACTTGGTGAGGAGCCATCCGAAAACGCGCAGCTTCAAGGTTCCCAGCAGCCAGAACATGGGTTTCCAAACCAGAACTTCCCCCACCAGCCCATGGGTGGATTCGGCAACGCGGATCCTACTACCATGGGCATGAACATGAGCATGGGAATGGGCATGGGCATGGATCCTTCATTCATGGGTATGCCTATGGCCGGCATGCCCGATCCTTCGATGGGTTTTGGGCCTATGAATCAGCACTTCGACTACTCAGGCCGTGGAAGAGGTGGTTTCAGGGGCGGTTACGGACGCGGCTATCAGAACTTCCGGGGAGGTTTCGGACGCGGGATGCATGGCCCTGGATTTGGACCAGGAGGTGGTGGTTTTGGAGGAAACGTTACCGTTCTAGCAGGTGGAGAGCCAAAGGGAGTAGGAGTCGAGGGTGCTCCAACGGGACCTAAAGCCATGCGCGAAGGGCTGCCAAACACCGGTGCCAGTGGCCGACTGGGTAGAGCAGCATTCGCTGGTGGTATAGGCAGAGGCTTGCCGCACCAAGGATCGGCCCCTCCATCCGAGCACCAGTCAAGGTGAGTAAATTCCAAGCTACAGGAAGCCAAGCTCGAGATTCTAACATTAGGAAGCAAAACACCCGAAAATGGTCCCAGCCGTGCTCACTCGCCTTCGCGGCAGAGGTCAAAGTCGCGGTCGAAATCCCGATCTCGTTCACCGTCTCGTCGGCATCGCCACCGTCATCGGTATCACTCTGCAGATCCCTCGTCGGAGACCGAATCGCGTGAGCGTCGCGAGGAAAGACGTCGTCACCGCTCATCGCGCAAGTATGAAGATGAAGACGAGGCTTCGTACGAGGACTCTAGAGCCCGCGGCTACAGCAAAGAGCGCCCCAGAGATTCATCTGTTGACTCATCGAGACACCGCAGCAGACGGGACCGTGATAAGGACCGGCACCGGTCTTCGCGGTCTCACCGTGACCGTAGTCGTGAACACCGTCGTCACCGACACAGATCCAGGACTCCGACGGCGGATGACCGCGATGATGCGGTCAGCATTGCGAATGGTACGGATGCCGGTAGCGAAGCCGGTAGCCGCAGAAAGCGTGACAAGTACCGCGAGCGCGAGAAGGAGCGCGACCGTGACTACGACCGCAAAGACAGAGAAAGAGAACGCGACCGTGATCGCGACAGGGACAGAGATAGGGAGAGGGAAAAGAAGCGCTCCTCTCGCCGGGACAGGTCCGGCTCCCCATCGCACGATTACTCCGACGACGATAGGCACCACCGTTCATCACGCCGCCGTCGTGAGAAGGAAAAGGAGCGGGAAAAGGAAAGAGACCGTGCGGCTCGTAGAGAAGAGGGTCAGGCCGAGGCTGAAGAAAGCGAGTTCAAGATTCAAGGCCGCTCCAAATCGAAGCTGGCAAATGAGACGGCTGACTCGTCCTCGATGCCGCCTCCGCCCAAAGGTATGTCTAATTCTCGAGCATCCCCGCCTTCGCAGGCGCCCAAGGGCCCGTCGTCGTCTAGAACCCGTGACCGCGATCGCGATCGTGAAAGAGAAAAGGACAAGGAGCGGGAGAGCTCGTCTCGGCGCAACAGCGTGTCGCAGTCGCCAACGACGGACGGGCCTTCCCAAAGCGCCGACCCGCACACGCTCGAGCGCGAGGCACGCAACCGCGAGCGCATGCTCAAGGAAGCGCAGCGCAGGGCGTCTCTTCAAAATCCTTCGTCTAGCAGTAGTGAGAAAAGAAAGCGCGGATACGATGGATACGAGGATGATAAGTCGTTTGCCCCACCAACGGGTCCCAGCGCAGAGCGCGAGCGGCACAGCAGCAGCAAGAGACGCAGAGGCAGCGAAGCCGAGGCCAGCGGCAGCGGCAGCAGGGAAGATCGCAGCAACAGTAGCAGGAAGAGGCGGGTGAGCTACAAGTACGAAGATGAAGAGAATGACGAGGCTCGAGCCAGGCGTGTGGAGAGCGAAAGGGAGGCACAGAGATGGAGGTAAGAAAAGCTTGGAGCGGTTGGATGATGCGTTTGGAAGCATCAAAAAGAAATAAGGCCTCTGGATGAGGTGCTCTAATCACTGTACATTAGCCATTATTACTCCGGTCGCAGCAGACGTGACATGTATCAGGGCGGCAAAACGTTGGGTTGGAGTCGTATGTAGAGCTAGTCGCCGAAGAAAAAAAAAGAGACCAGATACCAGAACAGCATGCATGTGCCATCAGGAGTGCAATAAGGAGGCGGAGATGAAATTGATAATGTAAGCTTGGCAGTCTCCTATTCCCGCCCAAGCAGCGCCGAGGTGTTCCCGTGACGCTTGGCCATGGTGGAATGTTCCTGCGGCGCTGCCCTGACCGTTTGCTGACGTCTCCTGTTCCGCGTCGTGCATCTCACTTCTTGGCCGCCACGACGGCGGAGCAACAGCCGAGAATGTCTCATGCCAGGCGACGTTGTTACGAATTCCACTGCCAAGGATTTCCGCTCGAGCCGGAGAGAGAAGAAACGATTGAATGCTGATTGCACACGGTGATCTCCACTCGGTAGCCCTGTTCTGCTCAGGCGTTATGCTGGCTCGCACGCCCGGAGCCGCAAAGCCAACGTCAGCTCTTACAAGTCCCGGCAGCCCCCTCGTCCATGGAGAGGTTCCTCACGCCAATCCCCGCACTACGCGCCAGGCCAATTAGACTAGAGGACGGACGGTAGCGACGCGGCCCAGCCCCTCAGGACTACGCGTATGCATTTCTACAGGGCAAGAAGGATCGCGGTGACAGTGGTATCGCCGAGTGACGCTCGGATCGGGCCTCCGCTTTTTTAGTCGGCAAACGAGATGACCAGCAATGGATCCGAGTTTTCCCTCTACGTCGCCTCCTTCAGGGAACAATAAGGATCACGGCGCGCGCAAGCCTGCTTCTCTTGGCGTGGAGAAAGGGCACACGCACCACCACTCGGGCGCGGGAAACTAGTACTTCTTCGCCATGCCTCCCGCGTAGTTCTGCCCTGTTCTTCCATTCCTGTTCCCTTTTCGCGTTTGAGAGAGTGTGGCGGCGCCACCACAACGACTTGCCGTTGTTCCGCCATGGAGACGACCCGCCGTGGCGTATCCCACTACCTACCCTTGTCCATCGTTGCCGCATTTTGGCTTGCTCCGCCCACGCTCGCTCAGGTCCCTTTTACGAATAATGATGGCTTGTACAATTTCGTCACTGTACGTGCTTCTTCTCTCCAGGCCACCCCGTGGGACCCCCTTCCCGAAAGAGACAGTGAAAAGTGTCCACACTGCCAAGAAACCCCCCAACCGGGATCCATATCAGCAAACACGGTGCCAATCCGGGGGAAAGAGAGATGCTGATCATCACGACATCGTCTAGCGCCCCGAGATCAGGGCACCTAAACTCGACGTCAGAATCTACGACAGGGATGCTGTCACTCCCGGCTACTGGTTCGTGGCGCCATACAACACCAACAATGGCTGGGAATCCCACCAGGGTCCTCTGTATGAGACGTGCCAGGTCGGCCCGGCCATATACGACAGCAACGGAGTGAGTCTTGCAACGCAACCTTAACGACTGGACCTCACGGCTCACGAGTCATTTTCGTAGGACCTGATATGGAGTGGGGCGTGCGACTTCAACAACATGAACGCCTTCGACTTCAAGCCGATCGACTACGGCGGCAAGAAGTACCTCTCGCTCAACGTGGGGCGCGGCACGCCGTCGGTGTACGGGGCGGGCGTCATCCTGTCCGACACGTACGAGGTGGTGCGCGAGGTGCAGATGAGCGGGCACACGGACGACTTCAACCAGCACGAGTTCAACGTCATCGACGACGGCGACGCGGTGCTGTACGTGACGGAGCAGAACCTCGAGGTGCCGGCCGCCAGCATCGGCCTGGTGGGTGGCGAGGCCGCCGATGAGCCCGTGAACCTGTGGGCGCGCAGCAACGGCATCGTCGAGGAGTCGCTGCTGTGGGGCCGCGAGGAGACGGTCAACTTCGAGTGGGAGTGCGTCGACGGCATCCCGCTGAACGAGAGCACCTTTCCCTGGCCCGAGTCGGCCGAGGAGGGCCGCGGCTGGGACTACATGCACATGAACTCGATCGACAAGTTCCCCAACGGCGACTACCTGTTCTCGATGCGCTACTCGGACTCGCTGATGCGCGTGTCGGGCGAGGACAAGTCGATCGTCTGGCGGATGGGCGGCAAGGCCTCGGACTTTGAGATGAAGGACGGCTTCCACTTCTCGCGCCAGCACCACGGCCGTATCGTATCCACCAGCGAGTCTCACACGATCCTGACGCTGCTCGACAACGCCGCCGGCAGTTTGGGGAAAGACGAGGTCACGACGGCGAGCGAGAGCTCGGCCCTCATCGTCCTGCTGCAGCACGACCCTGCCAACCGCGCCAGCTGGACCGCCGAGGTCCTGCGCCGCTACCCGCGTCCGGACGGCGACTACTCGCACCTCCGCGGTTCCGTCCAAATCCTCTCCAAAGGACAAGCAGCCGACGAAGACGAATCCACCTTCGACCCGACAAAAACACCCTACCCATCCAGCCTAACGCACATCCACGACCGCTACCCGGACTGGGAGACGGCCAACCTGTTCGTGGGCTGGTCCAAGAACGGCTACATGACCGAATTCCGCGCCAACGGCAGCGTCGTGGCCGAGGCGCGCTTCGTCACGTCGCACCTCGACACGTACCGCGCGTACAAGCACCGCGGGTTCGTGGGCAGGCCCGTCGAGCCGCCCGCGCTCGTGGCGTACGCCTTTGGGGATGTCACGGGCCAGAGCTCGGCGATTGTGGATGGCAGCGGCCGCGGCGTGGGGCAGACGATGACGGTGGCGTACGTGAGCTGGAACGGCGCGACAGAGGTGAAGCGCTGGCGCGCGTTCGGGAAGGTGGTGCAGGACGGCGGCGTCGTGGTGCTGGGGGGCAATGGGCCGACGACGTATGACGAGGCGTACGGCCTGGGGAACGCGGTCGATCCTGTCGGGGGAAAAGATGAAGTGGAGGAGGATGAGCGCCCCTCGTCGACTCTTCCGTCACCATCACCGTCATCCGCATACCGTCTCTCCCCGTCCTCCTCCCCTTTCCCGTCGTCCTCCTACCCCTTGTCCACCCTGAACAGCGGCGGCCGCGCCGTCCGCCACCGTCGCCGCGACAAGATCCCCACGCCCTCGGACACGCACCCGGCCCCGGTCACCACGCACCTCGGCACCTTCGCCCGCGCCGGCTTCGAGACGGTCCTCACCATCCCCAACCTGCCCGTCTCGCACATCTGGGTCGAGGCCCTCGACGCCCGCGGCAACGTCCTCGGCCAGAGCCCCGTTGTCCGCGTCGTCGTTCCCGGGGCGCAGCGGCCGTACGCGCCTGCTGACGTGCTCAATGGCGATGATGACGATGGGGTGGGAGGGGGGGACTTTGTCTTTGCGGATGAGAGTGAGGGCTTGATTGGGTTGGTGAAGGTGCCGCCGCAGGCGGCGGTGGCGGGGAGCGCGGGGTGGGGGTATGCGAGCGTGAATGGGGTGAGTAGGGGAGGGGAGGCGTGGGGATGGTTGGCGGTTATGGGGGTGGGTGCGGGTGTCGGCGTGGGCGCGGCGATGGTGGTGTTGGGGGTGTGGTGGGGGTGGAGCGTTTGGTCGTCGAGCAGGAAGGAGGAGAGGATTGGTGGTGGAGGGAAGAGGAGGAGGTGGAAGGGGAAGGCGCCGGCGGTCGACAAGGGGAAGTACAGGGCCGTTGCTGGGGATGAAGAGGACGAAGACGAGGCGATGGAGCTGGTGGAGACGGGGAGCGAGAGCCGGAGCAGCGATGGTGGGGACGAGTATCTGGGCAGGTTGGATTGGGCGCCGATGATCTTTGGGAGGGGCACTGCGGGCGTGGGTGGTGCCGGGAGAGGGAGGGGCTTCGACGAGGAGATGACGTTGGGAGAGGTGAGGAGGGGCATGGCACAGATGAGACAGCAGCAGGGATACCATCAGAGGAATGGCAGTCAGGCCGAGTACTGGGGTTCCGCGCCATTGGTATTCCAGGCGAAGAACAAATGGGATGGTGAACGCATGTAGGGAGGGATGAAGCGATGTTGACAAAAGTCGGACAAAAGGGTAAGCATGCATTATGCGTTGGAGATGGATCTGTCACATTTAATCTTTTTTTGGCGTCTCCGAGCATTTGAGCGGATTCTCAGTTAGCATAGCGGTCACATAGCATGGGGCGGCGTTGGTTACTCAAATGCCTACTTCAAAACTAAATTTTCGAACACTGTATCTAATCATCAGTCACCGTATGTTCGAAGAGTAAAGTCGATAATATACATCCTAATATGTTGATTTTCATCGTTGTTCAGACATGCTGTGTTCCGTCATCGCCTCCGCTTCCCCGACCTTCGATCAAAGATAAATACTTCCACGACGCACACGAGAAGAGGGGAAGTAAACCCGGGCCATTACATGATCGGTATACCCCCTTTGCCACACAGTAGCGTCCTTTACCATGTGTGTCTTGCAATTGCAAGCTGTGGTGATGATGATCAATGATGCAAAGAGCAAGCGGAGAGCTTTAAGAAGCCTGCAGATCTACCCAAAAGACGCATCACCTGCATGCGTTCGGCACATATCATTCCAAAACATAAGGAGCTATGGTACACAGCGGATGCGGCCTACGTGTGACGTGACCATAGCGTAGGGGCGGATCAATGACTGGTCTGCTGGCCTGACAGGCACTTCCGATACGGTGTCTTTCCGCAATGCTGTCTTTAAAAAACAAAATTGTCTCTGAGACACACAAGAACGAGCTAGATCGTATCACTGAAAATTGAAATTTTGTTACCTGAATATCTCCGAAGGACGAATAATGAAACTCCTGTCCGCTTTTGCGAGCTCCTTGCGGAATCTATCGAATTGTGAGCGGTTCCGTCTGCGTAGAGGAAGCTTAGAGCTTCACTTTAGTAATGTTGATTTACGGTATATGGAGAGGTTCATCATGTTCCAGAAGTGATGGACTTCCCAATTCCCGTGTGCTGTTGGCTACCATTGTAGGGGAAATGGGTTCAAGATTGAAACATAAGAAGCAAGGAATTAAAGTTATTAAATGATATAGACTTCCCACGAGTTGTTTTTGGCAAACCGACCCGTATTCTCATGTCTCTCTGAGTTCCTGGGTGAGTTAACCACACCACCGTCTCTTATGCGAAAACATGTCCCAAGGGTGGTAAGTTGGATGGCAACAGGCGGAAGAAAATTTTGTACTACAACGTGAGATGAGGCGAGTGTTTTCCGCCCAAAGATCGTATTATTGGGAGCACATAATACAGCTACAAGCGTTCCGATGATAGTTCTCTAAACATGTTAAAGCTGGAACATATACATCAAGTGTTTATACTCTGAATATCGCAGTAGCTTCTCCGAACTCTGCGGCAATGGTCCGAGATTTATTTTGAACCTTTTTCTTGTGGAGTATTGAGATTTTAAGGAAAATGATGCGCATATCAGTTCGTCCATCTACAGCTGTTATGTGCTTCAGAAGCACTACTACGAGATATTTCGGTATGATTATGATGTGAAAAATGCTTCTGGTAATTCACAGTTCACTTACTTTCTTCATAGTGAGGAGCAGACGGTAAAGTCACGAAAGATTTGAAGGAATTGTCATACGGACCACCATGAGATCCAACCCATTTGAGTATTATCAAATGCAGGAAAATTATCTTGGACACCGTTGTAAATTATCGCCTCTTCGCGTAATGATGGTCCTTGATGCTGAAGTATGAATCATCGATAGTGATGCGTTGAAGCTTAATGGGTTGTAATGGTTTTCTCGCTGTAATAGCTCATTGGAAATTGCTCTAAAATCCCCCAAGGGCCATGAGCGAAACCTCCAACGTAGCTTAGTTGTTCTGCGGACAATAATTCATGCCGAAAGGGCCTGAAGGAATAATTGTAAGCACAAGTCACTCAATATCCATCGCGGGATTGTAAAGACTGTGGCATAAGCTTCTCGCATGTGCTGATCACCTGCCAGCGATACTTTGTAAGCGTTGGCAGCTGAGAAATTCGTGTGAAGCATGCATTATTCTTTGGCAGTCCGAAATATTAAAACCCTCTCTTCACCTGTAGTCGAAGCGGGTGGTTCCCAGATTCAGTGAGCACAAGCCTTGACATAGCAGATGTTGCTGCTGCTCAGTACTTTTGGCCGGGTTTCAGAGACTTAGATGCTGTGTATGCCATGACTGAATTAACAATTTTAATGATATATAAAAAACAGTTATTCAAGTTGCCCTTCATCATTGCGCTATGTTGGTGAATGGCTATATAATCATGATGCAATAAATTGTCCTCAGTGCATAAGATAAAATAGTTATTGATGGGTGAAGGAAGGCGATCGAATCACCCAAATCAGAGGAAAGAGAACAAGAGGGAAGACGAGAAAATTATTAGACCCGGGCTTACTCTGAAAAGCAAAGAGAACTTGTACGGAAAGAAAGTATGAGCAAGAACTTGAACGAGTCAATAACTCCGTAGAGCACACGAAGACACCAGTATCACCCAAAACTCGTAGTAAACACAGCTTATCCGTAGATATATCTTATATTGTTACATTATTTTCCCATCTCTACAGGTATCTTTACAAAAGCCCAGTCGACCATAAGCCGCCTACACGCCCCCAAGACCCGGATACCATGACCAGCCCAATATACAATAATGCCGCCCGTGTGAAAGAGAGGGGAGAGTGTGATTCGTGGGAGATGTGCGATTAAATGCAAGGTTGCGACTATGCGGCGGCCTTGGTCCTCAACTGTACGCCGTGCCAGCCCTTGATCTCGTCTTTCAGGATCTCGTTGACCAGTTTGTGTTGTTTGATGACCGTCATGCCCTTGAACTTGGGGCTTTCGATATCGAGCGCGTACATGGAACCGCAACCACCGCTAATGTCCTGGACCTACTCCACAGAAAAAAAAATTGTTAGCCCTTCGTTCATCCTCACTTCCATTGCCACAGCCGAGAGAGAGGGCAGCGTGAGAGGGGGTAGGAGAGGGGTGAGGTTGGCATGATCCGACATACCTCCAAGCGCACAGGGTCTAGATTGTCCTTAATCTTATTGAAGACATGCAGCTCGCCCTCAGACAGGTAATCCGGCGGCTCGGGCGCGGCGCTGCTCGACATGCAGCGGCGCGCTGCAGCAGGGCCTGGTGCGAAGGCTGCGGCGCGGGCAGCAGCTGGCCGTGGCGTCGGGGCCTTGTGCGAAAATAGCAGTTGGGTGTAGGAACGCGTCAGTGGAGTGTGGGCAGATGCTGCAGCAGCGGCGCAGCGGCGCGTGCTGAGGGCTGCGGAGGCGGCGATGCGCGAGGCGGCTCTTGAGGGCGCCATTGAGAGTCTGCGGGGCGGTCAGAGAGGGGCGCGGGGGCAGCAAGGGAAGACGGTATCCGTACCTGGGAGAAGTTTGAGGTTTGCGGGAGAGTGAACGCTCGTCATGGACTCGTTGCGAGCACCGACATCACGGCCGGCCGACCGACCGGGGTGGGTCAAAGCAGCCGGCCAATCGCCGCGCAGCCATTCCTCAGAGCCTCACCACCGACGTCCTTCGTAACCTTCGCCTCAGGAATCAGTATCCCGCAACGTCGCGCAGCTCTCGCGAACACCAGCTCGGCTTGCGGCATCGCAGCGCCACAGCCAGAGCGGCCGGAGCCATGTCTCGGATCAGCGCCGGGCGCGAGATGCGGGGTGGGTGCGAAGCGTGAGCTGACTGGCTGCAGGCCGCGCCGACGTCGCTCTCCCCCAGAGCAGCCGTCAAATAACTGCACGTCCGCGCGGAGGTACCTCCAAAGTACCCCTCCGTCACTACCCACCCTCCGCACGCCGCAACAAAAGGTACATCTCCGCAGACGTCAAGGGTCCTTAGCCGCCACGAGTCTGGATGAGCCGCTCCTCTCGACCTTAGGCTCCAGACCATCGACACCGCGATCCGCCTATCGCTTCCCCTGCCGTTTCGCGCTGTCACGCTTATCTCAAATGGAGATCCCCAGCGTCTCGTTGGGGCCGGACGAGCCGCCTGCCTGCAAGGGAGCCCTCTGCCTCTTGCGCCATCTCATGCCGCCTGCGATTGCAAAGCTTCAGTCGCGGAGATTGCAAGCTGCACGCAATGCGAGTGTAAAGCCGCGCCGACCGTCGCCCGAGCCGCTGACGGGCGGGCGCTGCTGATCCCTGCGCGCGCAGGAGGATGGGTGGGTGGTTGAGTTTTGTCGACGCAATCCCGCGCAACCCAACCACCCCAGAGGTTCGCTTGACGCCTCAAGGGTCTTCATCTTGCTTGCGGGAGGAGGCGTGCAGCCACCCTCCTGTCAATGCTCGAAGCGGCGAAGATAAGCAAGCTCTACGCGGGGTTGCATGCTTGGGGGCAGGGGCGTTCTGTTTGCGGCGCCATCTCAAGCTTGCCTCCTCATCAACAGTGGCAGCACTACCACCGCGGCGCCGCCGCTGCCGCTCTCGATCCGGACAGGGTTTTCTCGCAGCATGCACGCCAGCGGCATGGCGAGCCCCACAACACCAAAGCAAGCGCGGCATAAGCATCACCACCACAATGGCTGACGGCTCGACGCGTACGAGCCCCACAGCACCCTTACTCTTTACCCTCCATCTGCACTCCAGACACTCGTCCCGCACTATCGAAACGGGTCCACAATTCGTCCCTCTCACCAAGCCGCATCATGCACTCCACACAGGACATGCGTTGGTGGTGGCGGCGCAATTGCGTCTCGGCACCCCCGCCATGCATCGCCGGCTTTGTTGGGTAATCCTGCCTCACCACGGAATTATACGAGCGGCAAACGGGGTTGGGCTTCCGAATTTCGGGAGTCGTAGTCAGCCTTCGGGAGGCCAACGCGAGTGAGCAGTGGCAGTCTGCATAGCAACTCGAAACTGACACTTGGCAAATTACTGTTGCATTGCTGCTCTCACGCCACGGACGAGGGCCGAGGGTCTGGAGGTCATGACTTTTGGACCCTGCATGTGAAGTGTAGTCTGAGAAGCAGCGAGAACCACCGAGCACAAGGCTCTCGTGCGCACATCTGACATGCACTGCCCGTGCTACCTGCGTCTTTGCCAACGCCCCCAAACATCAAGGGCGCCTATCTAGAACCGCCGGACAAAGGTCGTCTCCAAGCAGCGGCCAATTACCCGTCGAATGCAGGTGGCAAGCTTTTCATCCGGCTGGGGGGTTGCAGCATGCAGGCAGGGTCCAGTCAGTCTTGCGTCGTGGAGAGAGGGCTTACCAATCATTGGCCTGGAGGTTGCGTGGGAGGGGTGGGTGTGGTGGCTAACTAACAAGGTGCTAGCAAAGTCAGCGTCTGCTTCTGCCCAGACATCCCACAATCCACTCCCCCGCCTTCCCGTCTAGTTTCCGTTGAGGTGAGTCGATTCGGACAGCCCCGACTGACCTGAGCTGGGAATAACAGGGAGTGGTGATGGGATCATGTCCGCTCAGTCCACGCGACACCTTTTGATCGCAAACGTTGGCTTTTGCGTGGAGAATGCCGTCCTGTTCGCGCGTTAGCATCATCCTCGTTAAGACTTGGCGACGCAGGCGTGGCTTTGTCCCCTCCCCCAGGGTTGACGGACAGCAAGTCGACGCCGGGGGAGAGAGGTTTACAATTTGTTGGTATCGGGAAGCTCAATGATGCCCCGCTATCGCTCCATCGGGCATTATTATTAGCAGTTTGAATTTTTCGTTGTTTCCTTCCCGACCGGACACACACGCCACCACAACGCGCCTTATCGGGGCGGCGACCCGGCTACCGAAAGCGACTTTTTTAACTTTGCGCTTCATGCAGAGCTAATCCGTCAGTGCAACATCGAGGGGGAGGAGTTCGCGACGCGAAAATGAATTAAGATCACCGGAAACGCCGATATAGGTGTATGTGTTTTATGTGGAGTTGCTTGGATCCTACGGTTAGGTTTGTCGTTCCAGATCAGGGTCCGAAGATCTCTCTGTGCGTATAGGGGTCCCAGCGCCGCTTGCGTACTTTTTTTTTTTTTTACTCTTTCCCTTTTTTTCCCCCCCTCCTCTCTTCTGGTGCGGAACGAATGCCAGCGCGCCCTTTCCTATTCCGGACCTTTCTGATTCTAAACGGCTTCCCTGCCACTTGTGTCATTGGCTCCGCTCTTGGGGCGGTTCGAAGCGGGATGGCGTGGCTGACCGGACGGAGGCACTAGTAATGCCAGACAAGTGACGTGCGGGGCGGATTGGAGAACGACCGACCAGCGGACGGGGGAGACGACCGTGGGTGGGTGGGGCGGGGCGGATCTGGAGGGGGGGGAGGGATTTTTGTCTACGGTTCTACTGACGGAGGCACCCGTCTGGATTGTGGAGCCAATATGTGCTGGAGATATTTGGCGGGCGGCTACTAGCGCGGCGGGAAGGAATGGTGGATGGTTGGATGGAGAGAGATAGACGGATGAGGCAGACGGACGGCATTTCCACGGAAGGAAAGACTGGTAGGTGGGCGGTGGTGCAAGGTGAGTAAGTGACTAATTGACTACTACTGCACTCCAACGCACACCGCTGCCCGCTATGTACTACGAGGTGGAGAGAGCGCGGGCGTTCTCTGTGGAGTGCGGAGCGTGTGGAGTGGGTGATGGCGGTAAGAGGCACCGCGGGTGCGATAAAGGTAGAGTGAGACGGGAGGATGAGTAGAGGTAAGTGATGCGGGTGTGGTTAGGTAAGAGGACGGCAGATGTGTCGAGCGTGTCTATTTTCGTCGTCATGGTTGTAGCGGCTCGACTCTACCGCCGTTTGTACTTCAACTGCCTATTCCTCTTGAGATACACCAGCGGATGGTCTCTTGGTGTCAGCACCTTATCTTGTCTTACGTACAACCTGTCTGGTAGGCCATCCTCTCTCTTCCCTTAGGCGTCCTCAGCTCTTTCTTCTGGGCTCTTAGCCTTTTGCTTGCTTGCTGGGCATGGTCTGATCTCTGTTGTTTCTATGAGTCAAGGCGGCGGAAGTTTTACGTTTTGGGTAACACGAAGGGGACTGGATCATCGGTGTTGAGTCTGGGGCAATCATCACTTGGACTTGCCACTCCGGATGGCGACGGGTGGTTACAGGAGCACACGGGGGCGATAGGGAAAGGCGAATCGGCAGCGGCCGGAAAGGTTGCTGATGTTCAAGTAGAGAGGAATGACTATTTTCGAAACAGGACATGAGTAGGATAATGAAGAAAATTTGCGTGAGACTATTGCTGTTTCTGGCTAAATGGCATGATGTTGTGCAGCAGCAGCATTTTCCTACGAGCTCAGGTTGAACAAGATGCTATGTGTTTGAGCCAGCCACCGAGACGATGGGCTTGAGAGGCGGCTTTTTGGTTGGGGCGGATTCGAAATTGCGAGCGACATGTCTATGTGCCGGTGCACGTTGATGTTTTTCATTTTGCCACCGCCACACCGGCGGATGTCGGGGGGGTGTTGTGTTCGCAGCGAGCATGAAGGAGTGAGTGGGGGCGTCCGTCTCCGTCCATCCGTCAGAAAAGTCGAGTGGCTTGTCTGCTGGCTGCGCGAAGACCCACAAGCTACCCCTTGCTCTCGGCTGAGGCGTGCAGCGGCGCGTCTCGCGATACGACAAGCGGCTTTGCCATCATGTAGCCACGGAATGAGGTCGCTGAAAGCCGGGCTGGCAGACGAAACGGGCAGCGGCAAGAACTTTTGAAGTCGTGGCCGGCGACCAGGGTGCAGGCGCTAAGAGCGGGTCCCTTGTGTTGAGACGTCTACCCAGCCTGGTGGGAGAAGGCGGCTTTGTTTACTGCTCTCGTTGTAGTTTGCATTCGCCCAAAAGACACGCTTCGTTATTTTGGTCCCTTTCAGATTGCTGCCGCGCGTGCCTTTGCCATCTCTCCACAGTCCCCTCTCCTGGGAGCCTCCCGCACGCATTGGCTTCCGGCCTAGGCCTTTTTGTCGGTGTTGTTCGTGGTCTCTTGTCGGCGTTTGAAGAGCCCCATTCCCTGTCTGTCGGCATGTGAATTCCCAGCTCGGACCAGCTAACTACTATCACTATCTACCACCCGTTGATGCAGCATTGCCTTCTCGTGGCGCGTTCTACCACCTAGCGCGATGCAGGGCGACTTGGCGTACCCACGAGCTTCCCGCGTTTACCTGCTTTGCTCGCGGCGCCCATCACTTGCTGCTCTGGTAGGACCCTGCATCGCGACCCTTCCGAGCGGACGCAGCGCCGCGGTTGTGATAGGGTGCTTGCGTGTGCGGCTTTGCGTCAGTTGGCGCCCGGCGGGCTAATGGCAAACATGATGCTGTCAAAAGAAGAGTGTCTCCTGAGCACAACATCAGCCTGCATCGCCCATCGCATCACCATCACAGAACTT